TTTCCCCGCAGAACTGTGGAGCCACAGTCTCCAGTTCAAGGTAGCGATGTAATTTTGAATGAGCTTGTGAGCATCCCAGCTCGTTCAGAAGTAATTGCCATAGGCAGAATTGCATGTTCTTACTCGACTGGCTTGGTTGAGAGAATGCCCTCCCCTAATTGCAGTTCTGTACTAGTAGGTTCTACCTTGGTCAAGTCGAGTGTTGCCGGCGAAGTTCCTGTTCGTTTACTAAATCCGTCAGATTCCCCGATAGTTTTGCGTGAGCATCATCCCATCGCCACTTGGCATGGAATGGAATCTTTTTCATTCGCTGAGTTGGACGATTTTTCGCCCACAGGTTCTCCTGTGGAAGGAGCGGCAAACCCATCAACATCTGCCACTGTATCCTCCGAAGAGAGAACATTTTCTCCCCGTAATGAGACCCCGGATAGTGTAATTAGTAACTCTGGAGTCCAGTTCCACGGTACTAGACCCCCAGATTTTAATGACTGCACCCCTTTTGCACTGATTGCTGTGGGAAATGTTGGTGCTGCAGGCAGACTTTTCCATGGTACTAGACCGCCTGAGAATAATTATTACTCCAGTGCCCCCTTGTGTGACAATATCCATTCTGACCATACTGTCAAGTGTTTGGAGCTGGTTTTTCATGGCACTAGACCACCGGAGAATAACCCTTGACTGTGTGACTGGCCTCTTTAGACTCATTAATTTGTTCGTCTGAAGTTGTATCCTCTCTGACACAAGCTTTGTGTTTAGTAACTCTTGTTGTTACTATACTGCAGACGCTTCCCCGTTGACCGTTTTATGCCTATTCGTTTGGAGAAACGCACAGGAAGACATGTTTGAATGCTTGAGATGGAATGTGCCTTTTCTCCCCTCCTACCTCAACTTTCCCTGTGTGGTAATATTTGTTCTTCATACACGTTTGCTATGTTGAGAGGTTTTGCATCCTCGACGCCCTTTCCCCCTTTCCATCCGTGTCGAGATGCTTTAGAAATCCTCCACGCCCCTTCCCCCTTTTCATCCGTGTCGAGTTGTTTTGAATCCTCCACGCCCTTTCCCTCTTTCCATCTGTGTCGAGATGTTTGAATCCTCGACGCCCCTCCCTCCCCTTCCATTTGTGCCGAGATGTTTGTCAACGTTGACACTCCCTCCACTGTCTGGTTTTTCTTCATGACGTAGCAGTCTTTATGTAGAGTGGTGTAGATCCCTCTTTCCACCTCTAAATATTTTCACGCCAACTGACCCTATCAATTCCAACTGTCACGGTTTATATAATTTTCATTCATTCAGACTTTGCGATTTCCCAACTTCCAAAGTTCCCTCTATTTACCTTTCCAACAATCATTTCATTAAGCCCCTTTGCTTGTCATCTCCAGCTGAGTGTTCGTCCTCGCTGTGGAGTTTAGCCCTTCCCAAGTGCGAGGAATCATCATTTCCCTAGCTTCTTTCCCTCACCTTTGGCCCATTTGTTTCCATGCCTCCAGCTGAGTGTTCGTCCTCGCTGTTGAGCTTCCCCCAACAGCTTTGCATTCTTGTTGTGTGCTTGTGGTTGTGTTTTGTGTTCGTTCTGAGTTGAGCTTACCTCAGGATGCTGCATCCACTGAGTTCTACGTCCGTTGCACCCCGACTAGCAGCAAGAACTTCCCCAACGGAGTTACTCCACTTCCAGAACCACAACATGCACGACTCCTGATCTTCTCTGCTTGCACCTACTCTTCTTTTGGTTCCCTCTTTCTTCTCTCTACATCTCTTTCTATCATTCACTTGCCTTACACGTGTTCTGTTTGTACATGCGGGTGTCTGCGGAATGCGTGCATGTCGGACTCGTATGTGCGTAGTGGGTTACATGTCCGTATATGTGTGCTTGTTAAAATGCATGCCTCATTTTTAGTATTATCATTTTTTTTTCCTAGATCGTGGGGACACGATTTTTGTTCCCCACGGGGGGAGGTAATGTTATACGCATCCCATATTTGGATCCCGACCCCGGCATGATTCCATTACCCCTAGCCCTGCATGCAGAGATTCGTACACATTCCATTACCCCCTACCCCTACCCTTGCATGCAGTAATTCATACACACTCCAATACCCCCTACCCCTGCATGCAGTAGTTCATACGCACTCCATTACCCCCTACCCCTGCATGCAGTAGTTCGTACACATTCCATTACCCCCTACCCCTGCATGCTGTAGTTCATACGCATTCCATTACCCCCTACCCCTGGCCCTGCATGCATTAGTTTGTACACACTTCATAACCATATTTGACCCATTATCCCCTACCCCTAGCCTTGCATGCAGTAGTTCGTACGTACACACTTATAACCATATTTGACCCATTTCCCCGCTGCCCCTGCATGTAATAATTAGTACCATACACATTTGTAGCCCGTTTTCCCTCCTTCTGCCCCTGCACATAAAACCCACCGTACATTTGATCTAATTACATCCCTTTATAGTGTACATAGTCGGGCTATACACATAATAATACGCGCCCAGCTAAATGGGCGCCCTCATGCATTGTACCGTACATTCTATTCTAGTTCACTCTAAGATAACCAAACTTCGATAATCTAGTCAGAAGAAGAATCCACTCCCTAATGTTGATGTCGAATAATTCTGTCCTCGTCGTGAGATAATATATACTTTACCAACTCTCGTAAACTGGTCTCTCTGGTGTGTGAATAGACAACATTGTGAATTGACAACATTTCACACCAAGGTTCAACTCGAGTTCAACTCGAGTGACAGGATCTAGGACTGCACCCAAAAAAGGTCAAACAGGCTAGTAAGTTGTACCCTGCAGGCACGGTGACCAGGTGACTGGTGTACGCAGGAGCACGTGACCGCTTGTTCAACCAGGCGCGTGCACCGTATGAGGTTTTTGGTGTCTGGAAACCACCTTTTTTCGGGCAATCTTGCCAAAGGAAAAGTGTGGCTACTGGATTGGTTATCGTGCATACACGTCGATCGACGGGCAGTTTACAGTACAGTGACTATGTCCTTATTTCGAAGTGAGAGAGAGTTGCTTTGCATGCAGTTCACAATACATTATTCTCTCTTTCTTCAGTGGAGAGTAGCTACAGAGAGATCGATCTCCAGCTCTGGCCCGCTCCTGGATTGGCGATGACGTTCAAGAAATCCGTTTTGTCTCCAAATTTGAGTCAAGCACGCGCGATGCAAGTCAGTTCAAGGATATTATTGACGAAATCTCCTTCCAAACTGTTGACTCAAATCAAGATCTCCACAGCCTTTCGTTCTCGCTCTCAGAGATCTTCGTCAAAATCGTTTGTCGACTGGGAAGACGTAAAACTGTGCGTCCATCATCCACTTGCGCTGCTGGCTGCGACTCCGCAAGGACGCGGGGCTTCGCTTTTCTTTCGCGAGTTTCCATCGAAGCAAGGTCCATAACTCTTGATTGAATAAGGAAAATTACCAATACATGCTGAAAACTTCATCATAAGAACAGAAAGAAAGATACGTCGAATGTAAGCAGTGTTTTGATGAAACGAACATGCCTGGAGTGGACTAGTGAAGCACCTGTTGTTGACTGTAGTGTAGTGTAGCCTGGGCGGCTGGGCACCGGGCTGGGCCTATCAAACTATTTTTACTTGTTCAATATGACAAACATGTCATGTACATGTATATGTGCACATTGCCTTTTGCACCCTTTTGCAAATGCATGTAACTGCTGGTATGTAAAAGGTAACCCGTTTTATCCTGCTACCGGTTATACTAACATTTCTATGTAACATCGTCCCCTCCCTCAATTCCTCATTAGGCTCTTATTTCTGTCCTTTCTAGTAAGTTTCTACCCCTGGACCTGGTTCCCTCTCAGACGAATTTGTGCGGGCATGATAGCAGTCGGAGGAGCCCTACATCTCATCAGCACCAGTGTCCATTGCCGGGCATTGGTGCCCTGAGCACCGCTGATCTTGAATCCCCCCTCCTCCCTAGCCCTCGCCGTTATCTTTGACGGGATGTTCGGGGGGATGCGCATGTGCACAAATACCGGTACATTAATATACAGCGGGTATCCAGAAAAAAATTTACCAACTCTGGAAACCCCCCTTTCAAGACTCGGTGCACGCCACTGTCAACCATGTTCGATTGGGAATAAAGGAGGAACGCTGCATTGCAGCCTTTTCGGACCAAAACCAATCGACTCAGCGTCCAAAAGACTACAACATATGGGCCAATCGCGGTCATCCATACTTTTATAAGAACGAAATGGCGCTTTTAGTGACATTTTGCATACATATCCCCATCTAGTAGGGCGCAGTCACCCAGTTTCGGTGGAAGTGCGCGAGTTCGATTGGGATTCAAGTAGGAAGGGAGCGTCTCAGCTTCCTCGGACCACGACCATTCGACTCAGCACCCCGAAGACTACAACTGGTGAAATTTTAATTTTTGCCTTAACTTCCCCTTTAAAAAGGGTGGGACCCAAGATTGTTCCCTGCGGAACCCCTCGGGTTACAGGGAGAAGAGATGATGTTCCTGTAGCCTAGACAACTGTGTATCCAACCTGTATGGGTGGCAACTGCAACTTGCAATATGTTTTCTGCAAGATAAGCTGTTTCCTGCAAGGACTGTCAGGAATAGTCAACATTAAATTTTTCTGGCCAGGTAACACTAGTTACTAGTGTTGTTACCCCATTACTTCATGAGCCTGCGTGAAAGTCTATCCTTGCACAGCCAGTAATCAATCTACTGTAAAAGCCGTTATTCTAACGAGGTGCATGTATAACGATTTCCCAAAATCGACTAGTTTACGTGTACCAAAGGTAACGATTCTCACTCATTCTCAACGCTCAATACTGACAATAGGACAGTATATGTATCGATTTCTGTATAACGATTTCTATTTTAACGACAGATTTCTCCTCGTTAAATCGTTAGAGTTAGCACTTCGTTATACATGGCTTTTACAGTACTACGGAAGCATACCGGCACGATAAGAGCTATTGCATGCTATTCCAAAACACAAAATATTACGTGTGCTCCAAGGACGATGACGTCACAGTTCTTCGCCGCAATCCTGCTGATGTGAGGACTGTCGGCAATGTAGGCCACGATAGAGCCATTGCGGAGACACTCAAGAGCTTCGTCTGGCCCACCGACGGCTACAACCTGGCGAAGTCCAAGCTTGTCATTGACATATGCCCAGTTGGAAGTGCCTGGGAGAGAATATTGGTAGACAGGCAAGGCATGTAATCCAAATCCAAATCGTATATCAAATCATCAGGCACAGGTACATGTTTGTTCCGAAAAGAAAGGAGGACTTAACTGTTCTTACACTATCAGCAACATGGCCAGTATTCGTACATGTATGAAGTGTGAAACCATGGCCCGGCATTGCTAGCTAGGCATTAGTGCATCCTTAAGGCTAGTCCACTGAGACTGACCATTACGACAGCCCACTGGCTTCTGGTAGAGGTCGGCATAATCTGTGATATCTGACGCAGCAGACTGCAGAAAACACAAAATAGAAGTCACTCACAGGATTTAATTTTGAGGAACAGAATTTTCAAAGACCAAAAAATTAACAAAGCGTCCCTCTGTTCATTTCTACTCATATCCCAGCTCGTACCACCCCCTCCCCCCCCCCCCCCCCTAACACACACACCTCAGACCTGCCCATCGCGGAAGCGATGATAGCGAACAGCTATGTTAGACATAGCAACTTGTGCTGGGATTACACCATTCAACAGCTTGCAAGGCTGATGAATTGACCGCCACTATTTTTAGCCTGGTATCCACCACACAGCTGATTGAAGTGACTTTTTCTGGCCAGTGAATCCCTATTTTCATTTTTTCAATTTTTTTCTTTTTTTTCTACACACACACCACACCACATACCACACCACATACTCCGGCATACACTGGCTGTTGGTAACCACCCAGGAGAATGAAAGAAAAGTCAGGAAGAGACCGAGAAAGAGAAGAAAGACGTGTGCGACCATAATCGTCGGGAATTGAACCCGCAACCTCTCGATTGGAAATCGACTGCACATACCCCGCGTGTCCCAAGCAAGTCTGCGAGTCTCTGTCGTCTGCAGTGACCAACCTCGCCAAGTGGCTAGATGACATCGGCCTACTTCTGAATGCCCAGAAAACCCAAGTTCTGTTTGTAAAGCCAAGAGGCGGTGCTGATGTTCAAGAACATGTACGTTGTCGAGGACAATCTCTGGAATCAACAACATCCGCGAAATACCTGGGTGTTGTAATCGACAATGACCTCTCCTGGCAGCCACATATCAGCCATGTAACACGCAAGATCGGGCCAGTAATTGGACAGCTATGGCGACACGGCAGGTCCCTGAGCCTAAGAGCACGCCAAGTCTGGTATGTCAGCATGATACAGGCTCATCTGTCCTATGGATCCAACTGTTTCTTCTCCAGTCTTTCCAAGCAGCTCCTGGATAAACTCCACCGCCTGTCAAAATCCGGTGTCAGAGCGACCCTGCAGCAAAGGACTCTGGTCCCGACTGCCCCCCTTCTCGAGCTACTGGGTGTGCCAAGCTTGCCACAGCTTCTCTTCCAGAAGCTTGCCATCTTCGTTTTCAAATGTTTAAATGACAAGACAAGTCCCCTGTTAAAGAATCTGTTCGTGCCGATCAACGACCCTGCCACACCTCAGCTGAGGACGACACGGGGTCAAGTGTCAAGCCTGCTGAGAGTTCCGTTCCTCCCTGGTCCTGCTGGACGTCGTTCAATTCAGTTTGTTAGCAGCATTCTGTGGAATGCTCTCCCAGTTGCAGTCCGTACGGAAGGTGATTGGCAGAAATGTAAAGCTCTAGCTACGGCTCTCGACTTGCCCAGCCTTTACCCATATTAACATTCTCTGTACCTAACTTCATGTCGAAATCCATTTTAACAATCCGCATATCTCTCCTCCTTCCCCCCCCCCCCCCCCTCTCTCTCTCTCTGTCTCTGACACACACACTCTCTCTCTCTCTCTCTCTCTCTCTCTCTCCCTCTCTCTATCTATCTCTCTCTGTTGTTGTTATTGTTGTTGTTGTTGTTGTTGTTGTTGTTGTTGTTGTTGTTGTTGTTGGTCATTTTGTGACAGCTTGTACAATTCCCTGTCCAGGTAGTAAAGCGTCTCTCTCCTCTCCTCTCTCTCTCTCTCTCTCTCTCTCTCTCTCTCTCTCTCTCTCTCTCTCTCTCTCTCTCTCTCTCTCTCTCTCTCTCTCTCTCTCTCTCTCTCTCTCTCTCTCTCTCTCTCTCTCTCTCTCTCTCTCTCTCTCTCTCTCTCTCTCTCTCTCTCTCTCTTGTTGTTGTTGCTGCTGCTGTGGTGTTGCCGTTGCTGTTGTTGTTGGTCTGTTGTTGTTGTCGCTGTTGTTGTTGCTGTTGTTGTTGTTGTTGGTCATTTTGTAAGAGCTTGGACAGTTCACTTGTCCAGGCAATAAAGCAGTCTCTCTCTCTCTCTCTCTCTCTCTCTCTCTCTCTCTTTCTCTCTATCTATATCTATCTCTCCTCTCTCATCATGCATGCGTCACACTCTCATGGATTTATTTATTTTATTTATTTTTATTTTTATAAGATTGCATGCTTCACACTCTCATGTAATATTTCTTTCCTTTCTTCGTCTTTTTGTGAGAGCTTGGACAATCCACTTGTCCAGGCAAGAAGGCAGCAATGCCTGTTCATTCTGGCGAAGTAAAATAAAATATACCAGCCAACCAACCAACATACCACTGCACCATACACACACACACACACACACACACACACACACACACACACACACACACACACATGCAGCCCCCCCCCCCCCCCCCTCCACACACACACACACATGCGACAACAGCGACATGAGTCATGCACTCACCTGGCCGGCGAGGAAGGTAGCCATGTTAGCGGTGTAGAGCGTCACCATCACTAGCATACAGAACTGGACAACAACCAGGTAGATGCGCGCCCATGCCATCTTGATCTCATCTGCCTCGTGCACAAAGAAGAAGGACATAAAGCTGAAGAAGATGCCGTCGATTGCGATGCTCTTGTGACGTTGAGTCTCCACCCCGGCCGGATCCAACACGGTGAGAACAAATCCGGAGAAAATCAGAACCAAAACCAGAACAACCCACACAGTCCAGTGGAATGGCAAGAAGAAGCTCCAGAAGCCTCCTTCCTTTGTGGGCTGTGGACGGTTGACGAGGATGCGCAGGCCGCTGAGGAAGATCGACTGGGAGAAGGAGCAGAGCTTGGCCCTGGCGGCGTTCACTGTGATGCTACCGATTGCCAAGTCGTACGGCGTGCTTTCATTTCCCACCGTCCGAACCATGTCCGTCCAGGAGCCATTCCACAGGGTGAACGTGTAGTTGAATCCAGTGGAGTTGGCCAGCATGCGGAGAATGTCCACCGCCACACCGGAGAAGTCTTCATTTCGAAGCGGCGGCTTCCTCAAGAGAAACGTGAATGGGTTGGATAGAGGCACGTAGATACGAAGGTTTTGATTGAGGAAGCCCCGCGTTGATGGCACCTCGTACGTGCCTCCAGTCCAGCGGATATTTCTCTCCAAGAAGTCGACGGAGGAAAAGTTCAGCTTGTTGCTGCTGGTCCAATCTCCAACCATGTCCAGTTTTCCATTGACCAGATTGAACACGTCATAATCAACAGTAGAATAATCATCTCCTAACTTCATTGGCCCACCAGCACCGGTTCTGGTTGGCAGGTTGCGCAAAGCAGTCACCAGCAGTGAAATATTCTGCCAGGGCCGTAAGGAGAGGGCACCAGGCACGACCTGCACCACTTCACCACAGTTGACCAGGCGTGGCGCACCCGTTGCGCGAATCCAATCGGGGATGGCAAGACCTATGGACTGCACGGCATCGTATGAGTATACTGACTCCAAGCTGAGCGAGTTGACACCACTAGTGGGAGCATATGCTGGTGATCGCTGATGTAGCGATGCTGCAAGAGCAGATGCCTGCACATTATCCAGCTTTGGCCGGAACACCAGTGCTCCGTCGAGGAGATCAAGAAGTTCCTGTGGTAAAAGGTCAGGAGATGTAAAGAACTGTAGCACGATCCACGCATAGCCTTTCTCTAGCATTCCCAGTTTCTTGGCATATTGCAGAATGGACAAGAGCTCGCTGCCGTCCACGTTCAGTACAATGATCTTGCAGTTCTTAGCGACAATGGACGCCATCTTATCCAGTGTTTGCGAGGAAAGGTTGGTCTTCTGGCCCGTGACGCTGTCAAACGACGTTCCATCAAACTCCACGTGAACGCTCTGTACGACGTTGACTCCGAAGCCCGGTGCTTTATCGATGATGTCATTCACAGCATGGTAGCCGCTGAATGCTGTCGAGTAGATGAGTGCGACGGAGTGCCAGATGTAGTGCAGCACCAAGTCCTTCAGTGCGAACGGCAGCAGCACGTCGGAAGGACAGGCGCGCAGAAACGTTGGGTAGAACGAGGTGGTGTGTGTATCCCGGTTCGTGACGGCCGTCGCGATGGCCGGCACCCCAGCCCTGCCAGCTACCGGCCCTACAACACTCACAGTCGTCGACGCGGCCATACCCACTATGGCAATGGCGTGACTGGTCTCGATCAACGACAAACTGTCCTCGAGAGCATCAAATCGCTGCCAGTTCGTTGGCCTCACGCTGGCCACGAGTTTCCACTTTATGGCGCCCGTACGCTGGTGCAGGGTAGCGTTTCGGTTGACTTCATCAATAGCTAGTTGAACAGCCTCCATTGTCTGCTTACTTTCCTTATCGGTTAGTGAGTGGACGAGAACACCAACGGGCAGCGTAAACGTTCCGTCCTCCGTCAAGCCTACCGCAGCCGTTTGCTGACAATCTGCTGACGTGGTAGCCGCGAATGCCTCCTTCGTCACGCCGACCAACAAAGCAAGCGCTAGGCATGCCGACATGATTTGGTGAAAGGGTATCATTCGTGTCCATCGATTGCAGCCTTTTCGCCTTGTCGACATCATGAGTGTCTCGAATTCTTCATTCACTTTTAGCGGCTTCGACCATTCAATGGCAGCATGCTTCGGACATCTTCCTTCTTGCCTTGGGATCCTTAGTCCTAACACAATCTGAAACGCAGCTGCGCCTCAAGGCAGTCAAGCACTCGTTAGCTGCTATTTCAAATGAGGCAATTGGAATCCAAGCGTGATTCGGAAATACGCTCAGAACGTCGAAGGGAATGCAAAACATCCACTTCGTCAAACGCGACTATTTTAGTGGTCTATCAGTATCACCATGCATGATCACGCGAACGCTCACATGATTCATGCTGGAATCCAGTAGGTGCGCTCAAGTACGTCTGAGAAAGGCAGTCTACTCGTAGACCTACCCTCTTCCCCTCCCCTCAGGCTCTTGCCGCCCTAATCCTATCATATACTCTAGAATAATACCGGTAGTCTAGCCTCTAACTACATGTAGTATTACCGGTACTTTCTAAGTCCCCTTGCAATGATCACACCGACGAAGACGCCAGTTCGCGGTAGATCAGGCACATAAACCATGTAAACCAAAGCCGCGAAGGAAACCCCACATGGATTAGGACATTCGGCTAAGACTTCCGACGTGTCCACATACAGAAAGCGGCTCCGAAACTGCATGAGGTTGAGCGGCGGCATGACTCTGATGAGAAGGACCCAAACTCCAAGCCTATTCTCGGAGTGACACCGACCGCTGGTTGGACAATGGTAATATGCCGGCAGCCATCGCCCATCGGATGAACCGACTTGACTGTTGGTCACGCTCAGGCAGGTTTCAGGACAAGACGCCTTGGTCTTGGAGTTGAAGGTCAGGACCAGGGATAGTAGTTATAGTACATGTACGTAGGTGGACACTAATAAATCTACCGAATGCAGAAATTAGAAAATGAATTTATCGACGGAAATTCTGGAACATGGCAATCTAGATGTCGAATGTGCTAAGCTCAACAGGGAATAGGCAACGGAGCGGAAGAGAATGGAATGCAACCTTACAAAAATGTTGTAAGACATGACCCGAGAGTAGGCATTGGCGGATAATGCTCGAAAATGTGGCAGATTCTGCTCGAAAAGTAGTGAAATTGGCAGAACCATACAAACCTTATGGCGGGCAATTCCTCGAATTCTGCTCCATTTCTTTATCCACATACAGTCTGTATCGGCTATAGAGTGACCGGATATAAGAATATATCGGCTACAGTGATATTGGTACGAAATATCAAAAGCAAAACGTATTTTATCCAGTAAAAATATCACTATACCCAATATTATCGGATGTAATGATATATCGGATATTGTGATGGCAACAAAGACTCAAAACATGCATAACACACTATATTATTATCGGTTATAGTGATAACTTTAAAATACATGTAGCAATAATATCAAAGGCCTTATTTTTTACTTTTCTTCACGCTGCTTATTGTTATAGTGATACATGTACATGTACATAACAGAATTATTTTATGGAAATGCGGGCACTGTCAACTATGCAGCATGCTCATTTGTCAAAACGCCATGCTGGAAGTATTTCCTTGCCTTTCATGTGTCGATCGAAAAAAATCGATCGTATCGCATATAGTGATGCATCGGTTATAGTGATAAAATCACGGAAATCAAAAGGGTACGCTATAGCCGATACAGACTGTACCAAACATGCATGAAACTTACCAGAAAAAGTACCGAATTCTGCCAATTTTTCTGCCGGCATTATCCGCAAATGCCTACCCGAGAGGTTCTGTGTACGATCCGATGAGTGATAAGGTCAAGTACAGTGCTGCTCCGACTGAAATCCGATCGAGTGAGGCATGTTTGCACCCTGTGGCAGTGAACAATTCAGTCGGTTCGCAGGTCTAGGGCCGCTGCACAGCGTGTGGCGTGGCATTTACGCGCTTCAATTGGATTTCATTGAGCAGGCGCGTGCACCGTATGAGGTTTTTGGTGTCTGGAAACCACCTTTTTTCGGGCAATCTTGCCAAAGGAAAAGTGTGGCTACTGGATTGGTTATCGTGCATACACGTCGATCGACGGGCAGTTTACAGTACAGTGACTATGTCCTTATTTCGAAGTGAGAGAGAGTTGCTTTGCATGCAGTTCACAATACATTATTCTCTCTTTCTTCAGTGGAGAGTAGCTACAGAGAGATCGATCTCCAGCTCTGGCCCGCTCCTGGATTGGCGATGACGTTCAAGAAATCCGTTTTGTCTCCAAATTTGAGTCAAGCACGCGCGATGCAAGTCAGTTCAAGGATATTATTGACGAAATCTCCTTCCAAACTGTTGACTCAAATCAAGATCTCCACAGCCTTTCGTTCTCGCTCTCAGAGATCTTCGTCAAAATCGTTTGTCGACTGGGAAGACGTAAAACTGTGCGTCCATCATCCACTTGCGCTGCTGGCTGCGACTCCGCAAGGACGCGGGGCTTCGCTTTTCTTTCGCGAGTTTCCATCGAAGCAAGGTCCATAACTCTTGATTGAATAAGGAAAATTACCAATACATGCTGAAAACTTCATCATAAGAACAGAAAGAAAGATACGTCGAATGTAAGCAGTGTTTTGATGAAACGAACATGCCTGGAGTGGACTAGTGAAGCACCTGTTGTTGACTGTAGTGTAGTGTAGCCTGGGCGGCTGGGCACCGGGCTGGGCCTATCAAACTATTTTTACTTGTTCAATATGACAAACATGTCATGTACATGTATATGTGCACATTGCCTTTTGCACCCTTTTGCAAATGCATGTAACTGCTGGTATGTAAAAGGTAACCCGTTTTATCCTGCTACCGGTTATACTAACATTTCTATGTAACATCGTCCCCTCCCTCAATTCCTCATTAGGCTCTTATTTCTGTCCTTTCTAGTAAGTTTCTACCCCTGGACCTGGTTCCCTCTCAGACGAATTTGTGCGGGCATGATAGCAGTCGGAGGAGCCCTACATCTCATCAGCACCAGTGTCCATTGCCGGGCATTGGTGCCCTGAGCACCGCTGATCTTGAATCCCCCCTCCTCCCTAGCCCTCGCCGTTATCTTTGACGGGATGTTCGGGGGGATGCGCATGTGCACAAATACCGGTACATTAATATACAGCGGGTATCCAGAAAAAAATTTACCAACTCTGGAAACCCCCCTTTCAAGACTCGGTGCACGCCACTGTTGAGCAGCAATTTTCATAAGCCCTCAGTGCCCTGTGTGTGTCGAAGTGGCTGACTTTGCGGTTCCTGCCATCATGGGAAGCAAAAATAATCAGTGTACGATGAGCAGCATACTTGGTAATCTGGGATACCGACTCTGAGGATCATTGTACCCCCCCCCCCCCCCCCGACTGTAATGTACATAATTATGCACTCATGATTCCGGGGACTTCCAGCCATCCAGGTCGTTTCCCCACAAAGTTCATTCCCAGTATCTGTACTGGAGAATGCGGGAAGGCACCTGTCGGCACAGTCACCCTTTGCCTTGCCTGTGGTCGGCTCGCGCTCACAACTCCTTGGCGAAGGCAAGGACTGAAGGAATCCCGGGGTCAGGAATGCGAACGGGGCGATTCTGTGCATGTGCTGCTGTGCGTAGTGATGAGTACTGGTACACGATGTACTTTAGTAGTGCCAAGAGAGACTGGCCCCTACTACATGTACTACAATAGTTTACTAAGGCCCAGGGCGCGTTCGTCTTCATCAACTGTTCTAACATTAGTAACAAATTGTATAAAAGAGATTACTAGTAGTCCCATAGAACGGTTATAGGCTATCATTTTTAGAGTTTTTCTCACTGCACTGTACTAGATCTAGTGACGCCAAAGGGGATCTGCTTCCGTCTTACAGACGCGTCGTTTTCTTTGTGTAGTGTGCATAATTTATTTTATGTCAAAGTATTTTGCTTGTTTGACATACGCCTCAGTTCTGTAGGTGTCCGGGCCGGGACTCGTGAGAGGACAGAGCTAGACGGTGAAGCTGTCGAAGACGAAGGGTAGAACTGTTCGCAATCGTTGATATTAGCAGATGGACAGATGGATTTGTCACAGTGGCGTTTGTCGTGTCTTCATAGGAGATGATTGAGCTTCGATCATTGACCCCTCGAGAAGAAGATGTGGACATCGACAGTGAACTAAGCGATGAATCAGCGGAGCTAGATATGGGTGCTGGCAATAAATCAGACTACGTCCCCTTGGAGGAGAGTGAAGATGAAGCTGACGGACGGGCGGTATCGTGCACTATTCGCTGCAATGAATGCAAGAGTAAAAACTCGTTTCGAGTGCACGTGGCATTCTGGTTGCTTGGCCTCTGCAACAATTTCGGATATGTTATCATGCTGAGTGGAGCTCACGATATCCTGCTGGACGAAACGGGAGATCATTCCGGCGAGGGCTCCAATTCAACGACTACATTGCCTCCTACAAGTAGTACTGGCTATCCTATTACGACTAGCAATAGCACGAATACTACGGCGGCAGAGTGTAACAGGTTGGATTGCAACAAAGAGAGTACCGCCACCATTCTTCTGGCTGATGTCTTACCCTCGTTGCTTATCAAGATCACCGCGCCGTACTTCATGCACCTCATTCCGTTCCACCTGCGGATATTTCTGTGCGTGGCCTGTGGAATATCTAGTTACGTGTTGGTGGCGTTTGCGCACGTGATTGCCCTCAGCTACTTGGGCGTCGTGTTTGCTAGTATCGGCTCGGGGCTGGGCGAAATCACCTTCCTCAGCCTGACGTCGCACTACCCATCCACCACTGTGTCCTACTGGTCATCGGGCACGGGCGCGGCCGGTGCGGTTGGTGCGTGGGCGTATGCTCTGCTGCGCCAGGGCCTGTCGTCGCGCGACACCTTGTTGGTCTGTAACGTTATCCCGGTACTGATGGCCATCACTTATTGGGGCATCCTCCCGAAGCCAACTAGTGTTGTGAAGTATGACGTGTCCGATGCACTGCTTGACGAAAACAGCGATCCGAATGGGGCTTCAGATAATGAAGCCAACGAAGGTGACGCGATCTTCTCTGATCCCTCGCAACCACAGACCAGCGGACGTCGAAAAAAGCTAAAGCCGCCCGGAGCTAGCGCCAAGATGACGCTGAGAGAAAAGTTGATGTTGCTGCCACCGCTGCTCAAGTACATGATTCCACTGTTTTTTGTATACTATGCTGAGTATCTCATCAATCAGGGCCTGTATGAGCTGATGATTTGGCGATCGTGTATCTTCATTGATCCCGGTGAGCAGTACCGCTGGTTCCAAGCGACCTATCAGTTTGGTGTCTTCATCTCCAGGTCGTCTGTTCAGATCCTTCCGATCAAACATATCTGGCTGCTTGCTGTGCTTCAGGTGGTTAATGTGGGCATCTTGTTTGGCGAGTCGTATTGGCATATCTTTCCGACCATCGCCATATCCTTTGTAATCATCTTCTATGAGGGTCTGCTTGGAGGTGGCTGTTACGTGAATGCCTTCTCCAGGATACGCAAGGAAGTGGACCCGAAGCACTGTGAGTTCTCTCTCGGCCTGGCAAGTGTGGCCGATAGCTTCGGAATTGCGCTGGCTGGTGCGTCGGCCATACCCGTCCACAAGTATGTTTGCACTGCACTGCAGGCTACATGAAGGAATCCTAGGTTTTAGTTTTCTCTTTGATATTAAACTTTAGGGGGTGAGAGTGAAGAGCCGTTCGAATTTTACTTGGGCTCTGACTCAGTTCTATGGAGATAATGAGACATATGTACCGCCGTATGTTTAGGGAGTCTTGCGTTCAGACACTTCTTTTAAAGTGCTCTTGGATGTCTTACGGAGATGTGTATTGTCAAGACGATAGTATTCACCGCGCTCCGCGTTTGATATCAACGTCAGCCTCTGGTCTTCTCACGTAGGGTATATTTATTGTGCCAAGACAGTTCTCTTTTGGTCTCTGTGCCGTGAGACGTTTCATTTCGCCTTGACATCCTTTCTTCGGCAACATGAGTATTCTGACGATATGCAGCTGTGCTGCTTTTTCGCATCTGTTATTGACACTTATTATGCATGTCAATCAGATGGACGTGCCGTTTTGCACCATTTCAATTTTTATTTGCAGCAAGGTCTTTGGCAATATTCTTTATATCATTGGATTTCTCCTGGCCTCACAATTCCGCTTTAGTATACAGTTTTAACCTTTATTCGCTAGAAGCTCGGCTTCATGGTTCTACTGGCATTTAGTGCATTCGAGCTATTAATTTGTCTATTTTTAGGATTTTATATGTGCCTGTATGGTGCAGATTGTGTACCTGCCATGCTGCTCTACGAGAATTCCTATTGAAGTTTGGAAACGTTTACCCATTCAGTACCCCGGCTTGCGAGTACAGTCAACTTCGCTTATAACGACACTCGGCGGGGCATCAGAAAAGTGTCGTTATTCGCGAAGTGTCGGTATATTATGTGTTACAGTTGGATGGGACTTTGCTCTGGGCATGAAAATTCTGTCGTTATTCGGGAATTGTCGTTATATCCGCAGTCGTCATCAGCGAAGTTGACTGTACGCAGAAGTCCGTACAAAACTCGTGTACAGGGTCACGCATTGATCTTTTTGAAACACACCATACATGTACGACATACACTAGTAAGTTCTGTGCAGAGATGGTCTTAAATTGGTCGCCATTTTATCGCAGCCGTACAAAATGCAGACTTCCCTTCTCTTATAAACCAGCGACTCGCCGCTCTAAACCATACACTCATAGTGAAGTCGTAATGATAGACATGTATGTGAAGGGTGGTGTTTGCCAGGCAAGCGCACACTACCCCCTTCCCTACCGTACATTCCGTAAGGTTGTGGTAAATGGCGACAATTATGGACGGCCCCTTACCATGCATATGTACTATAAAGCTGAGGGACAAGTCCAGAGCCTCATCATATGGTGACACAAGACAAGTACAGACAGCTGGGTGCATTGTTAGTGTACTCGCAACTGATGCTGAAAAACATTGAAACCGACGGATGAAAAGTGAAGAAGTACCGGTACACATGCATACAACAACCAGGCGCATAGCTCGCACGGGGAAGGTTTTGAATAAACGGAATCCCCGGAAATACATTAATTTAAATCGTACAATCAAACTACCTGACTGGCTTCAAACTAAAAAAAAACACGAAAGAGAGCATAATAGTAATTATTATGTTGGCCTCAAGAGAACACTCAAGTTATATTACTGAAAAATTACAGCTGGATACTAGTATATCCAGTACTTGCGACTTTCCCAGCTCAAAGTAAATAAAGTATAAACGATTAAAAAAAAAACATCCGCTGGAAAAAGGCAAAACGTTGCCAGATACAAACAATATTACTACAGTACTTGTAGTGAGCACTGGAGAAAAAGAGCAAAAGATGGGTGCCGTTGCTGCTAACAGCTTTTCCAATACGGACGAACACTACGTCCCGTTGGTTGACTTCAAGAAAAGAAAAAGAAACACATAATTATGCAATCAATAGGACAAGCTGAATCGACGTGTGGAAGCTATACTCATTTTTCCTCGTCGTCTGTTTACATAAGTACTTGAGTGGTACATGCCGAAACAAATCACGGCACAACCAACACAAACCGGTAGGCTGCTGCTGCTGTCACTAAAAACGTGCCAGATGATGATAAGAAATCTGCAACACAGGGAACAGAGTCCATGGCCACGACTGCACCGAAGGACAAAACAAGAAGGTGAAAATACCAGTGCACATGCATGAATTTTTTCTCCACGCCGATGTTTTCACTGTACATGAAAAATAGAAGAGTACAAAAAGCCTATACTATGTAAAAGCAACTGCTATTTATTTGGCTTCTAAGGAGGGAGACTAAAGAGGGACGGGTGTGAGATTATTCACAGAGCACCATGGCGTTTGAAAATCTCATCCAAATAAGATTCTAGCACTGCATTGACCCCTCGCAGGCCCGCAACAACAGCTGCTGACCAGTGGAAGTAGTCCTGGACGCGCTGCTCGCTCCAGCCTTCCGGCGTGCTCTTCTCCAGGTCGCGCAGGTTGTACAGCTTGTCGGCCAGCTTGACCAGCTTCGCCTCCCGGCTGGCGTGCGGCGCATGCTCGATCTGTAGACGCTTTCGCTCGGCCTTCGGCAGGGCCTTGTCATCGCTGCATTCACGCACGATCTTACACACCTGTGGCAGTGGAGGCATCCGACATACACAGCAATGGACAGCCATATTGAATACAGTCAACTTCGCTAATAACGACTGCGGATATAACGACAATTCGCGAATAACGACAGACTTTCCATGCCCAGAGCGAAGTCCCATCCAACTGTAATACATATAATGAGACTTCGGGTATAACGACACTTCGCGAATAAGGACTCTTTTTGGATGCCCCGCCGAATGTCGTTATAAGCGAAGTTGACTGTACATGTATGCAATCTCCTAAGTAGGGAGCAATGAGTGGGTTCTGGGACAGGGGGCGCCCTGCCCCCGAAATGGGGTGTCATGGTATACATGCACCGTGGCCATGTGGGTTTGAGTCTCACATTTGACTTTTTGGGGGAACATGTGTACATTGGCTACACCACCACCACCGTTGCGCTCTGTGGCCGACCACACACACACTTCCCACAACAACCGAGACAGCTGTCAGAAAAGTTCAGTACTCCGAAGGGACCTCTTGTTGTGGTGGGAAGTGTGTGTGGTCGACCACAGAGTGCAGTGGTGATAGTGGTGTAGTCAATGTACGCAGAATTTTCAACGGCCGAATGCTGCAGCTTACCTTATTCGACACGTGATGTCCTGCCCTAAATCATGGAGCATTATGATGTGCATAGTATCGAGTGTTTACCGGTATTCGATTTCCGTAGTGGAAAGGTCCATGAGGTGTAGAGTGTTTCCAGCTTTCCTCTCAAATTCTTTTCGACATGATACATTGTTTTCTCGTATTTTCACAATTTTTCAGTTGTTGAAACTTGAAACATTTGTAGACTCCAGGCTAAAGCTGTGTTCACAACTGGCGCGTGGACGCGGTACGCTTGCGGTTCATGTGTGCCCATACGCGCGCTCAAGCTTTCACAAAAAACAGTAATCCGAGTCGTATTTAGCGCGTGCGACACTTTCGAGTACTAATTTGTTGACCCCACCAGTCAAAGTGACTGGCATGTACGCTGGTGCGCGCCTGATATGCGCTGAAAATTCCAACATGTTGGAATTTCCATTTCGGCGCGTTTCCGTACGCATGACGCCCCAAAAGCCAGCAAAAATACGCACAAACGCGTGGTTTCACGCGTACACGCGCCAGTTGTGAACACAGCTTGAGGGTGCGTTTGGTTGGTACGATCTAGAACAGGATCGAACAGCTGGTGCACATGGAGCAGCCTCATGTTAACAAAACGGTACTCCAGAAACAGAGCACATTTTTGTGAAAAATATGCCAAACTTGGTGCATTCTTCAAAATGTGTATGGGTCACCATGGTCACTGTGTACGGTACGACGAGTCCAACCTAAAAGCGTATGCACGTGATCATATGGGACCAAAATCGATGTTCCCGCCAGGTTTCACTGTGAAAAAGTGAAACTGCTCGGTCTGCTCCGGCCTCGAGGCCGGAGCAAGCAGAACATGTTCTGGCCGACCCAGAACAGGTGCAGTCCCAACCAAACGCGCTGTTCTGGTGAATCCTGTTCTAGGTCGTACCAACCAAACGCGCCCTGAGGGTTTCCAAAAATTCAAGAAAAAATTCTCAAAATCGAAATTCAAAATTCCAAAAATTAGGCAAATTTCAATGATAGAATTCAAAACAATCGCAAAATTTAAAAAATTCAGCCAAACACTCTGGTTGCGCCGAAACTTCTGGATATCACCATGGCAACACCATGGTAACGCAAAATGGTGGCCGAGGAAAAATGATTGTGGTCAATCTTCTGTCAATCTGCTTTCCAGTTCCGGTGATTATTTATTACCGTAAAAGCCCCTGTATACGCCCACCCTCCGTGTACACGCCCAGTCAGGGGAAGTCAACACTTTTGTTTCAAAATAGCGCCCATGCCCATGTATACGCCCAGGTATGCCGGCAACACCAGTACATGTACAGGTACTGATACCCGAAACTTACTGCTATCGCTATTCCAAGTATACGCCCGCTTCCAAAATAACGCCCGTGCCCTTGAATACGCCCAGGAAATCGAGGCTGCTATTCTATACGCCGGGGGCCTATACACGGGCCTTTACGGTATTATTAATTTTTTGATCCAAGGTTTCTCCACCCTGGTAATGACAGGTCGATGGGACGATGGCATCCAACGATGTCAGTGTTGTAGAAGAGGACAGTAGTGATAACGAACTTTCCGCTGATCAGACGCCAGTTGTTGATACGATAGTTTCTGGAGTATCTGCCTCTGGCTTGCTCAGTCGATTGAAACCTCCGGATGAAACCACGCTGAGTAGGAAATGAGCAATTGAGAAACGGCGAGCAGAAAAGGAAGTTTCAAGCCGCCGAATGTGAAGTATGAGCCGAAGACAAAATGTCCAAAACAAAGAATCGCTCAATTTCCTGGCGAATTTCTGTGTGTAAGATCTGGCAAGTTGTACTGTGATGCCTGCAGGCATGAAATATCGACTGTGAAGGCCATCATAACCCAACACATTGCCTCCACCAAACATCGGCATAGTAAGTCCAATTTCTCCGAAACTGTGCGTGAGAACAGCCAGTTGCTGATCGATTCTAGTGATTTCCTGAAGAGAAACTCGGCTGTTGGTACCACTCTCCCGGATGATGTTTTGGTCTTCAGGACGAAGTGTTTGAGGACGTGGATGAAGGCAGGTATCCCTCTCAAGAAGATTGATGAGTTACGTCCTCTCTTAGAAGAGCATGAGCATTGCCTCACAGGCAGCCAGCACTTGGGAGATATGATTCCTATGATACAAGAGTCAGAACGTCGAACAGTTCGCAAGCAGATTGCCGGGAAAGATATATCGGTGATCTTTGATGGCACGGCGGCTGTGTGTGAAGCATTTGCTGTGGTCGTCCGCTTCATCGAGAAGGATTTCTCGATTCACCAAGCTCTGGTCAGGCTTCAGTTGGCTGCCAAAAGCCTAAGTGGTCAGCAGGTCGCTCACCTCTTGCTGTACACCTTGTCCAACATGTATCAAGTAGAGCCATTGTGCTTGATTGCTGCAATGCGGGACTGGGCGTCTGTGAACAATTTGGGCATTAGATCCATTCAGCCACTGTACAACCAGATGATGTATGTTTCATGCTTCTCACACACCCTAGACCATGTGGGTGAGAAGGTGGAGTCTGAGGAGCTTGGTTCTTTTGTTTCAAGCTGAGTTCAACTTTTCAGCCACAGTCCCAAGTCACGCTTGGAATGGAAGACCCAGGCAGGTGTGAACATGCGGCCCTACAGCCGAACCCGGTGGTGGTCAAGGTTTGAAGTGATGGTGCAGATGTATGATCTCTTTGGTGACGTTGTCGACTTCCTTCAGGCAGAGGTGGAGACTTCAGCTGCCCTTCGCTCTCGCCTCAGACGGAAAGTGGAAGATTTGCAAGCGCGTGGCCAAATACAGATGGAGCTTGCTGTGACCGTCGAGTTCTCAAAGCCGTTTGTGCAAGCCACCTACAAACTCGAGGGCGATGGTCCCTTGTGCCTGGAGGCTTACGCTGCGGTGTCTGGTCTCGCCCACTTTGTTGCCAATCCACACCTCCTGTCCACAGAAGCTCTTGCTGTTCGTTTGGGTGGAGGCAACTAGCAGCACCAGCAAGTCTGCATGAACTACGCCCTAGCACGCCTACCAGCAAGTCTGGATGAACTACGCCCTAGCACGCCTACCAGCAGCTATTGCGTACTTCAGAGTCCGGTTTGCAGAAGGTGGCACTCTGTGGCCACTTGTGAAAGCATTCAAAGCAGCACGTTTACAGCCTTCAGATAGACAACATCACGCGTCTGAGCGTGCATTGATGTCACTGTACATGATTGTACAACTTATTTCCAGCGTGAAGTGCGGTATTAAAAGCGGAAAATGTTTTCAGCAGGAGATGAGTGGATAGGATAATTGAAAACATGCAACATGGAATGAGGTGGCACCGGTGACAGTCATGATGGCCTAGGGGGAACACTTTGATGTGGGCTCGTTCTTTGGAAGTTCCAGACACGCACAGCGGTCTGGTTCATGTACAGTCCGTATCGCCTATAAGGTTGGCGGCTATAGTAATATACCGGATATAGTGATCAATTTCTCAAATTCATTTTCATTTGCCATAACTAAGTATACACAGTTATCGCGTATAGTAATAATCGTCTATAGTAATATATCGCCTATAGTGATCAAATTCGTATTTCAAAAGACCTCCATTACACTATTTTTGCATCGGTTATAGTGATTGATGTAGAACCAAGCGATGTCAGAGGAGAACAGGGTGTTACTTCTTCGTGAAGAACTTGTCCAGTGAGTGTTGTTTGGTGAGTTTTGCTTGTACAAGTTGCCAAAATATGCCTCCTTCATGAGGAAATCCTGATTTTGTGTGTCAGGAGCTACAGCCAGCTACATGACATTGTACATGTATGTAGTGCGTATGTGCACGGCGCGCGGAGTCGTTTGACACCCCACTCGCATACATTGCATGCAGTATCGGTCATAGTAATATGAGCCGCGCCAAGCTAAAAAGTGGCTTAGCGTTTTGCCAACAAATCGAGAAAATCACCAAAACGTCACAGTCGGCAAAATTCTACTCGAGCGCAGTCGCGAAAATATTCACTTTCGAGCACCCTTTGAACCTTTCAAGTAAAATAGTTTGCAAGTGGAGAAGAAGAAAGAGGCCTTATATTTTTGAGCAACACTTCTTCAGTGTTCCCTCTTTCATCGTTGTGGGGATTTCTTGCCCCTGCCAGAGATCGTAATGGAGCGTTCTGGAGAATGTGGAGGTGAGCAGGATGACACTCTGTCTCCGTGTGCGCCCAACCCCACTTGACGAGGAAGATTCGCTCATTCATAGTGGCCGTGTTTCTCATCGTGGCCACGACTAGAGCGGCTAGTATCTATGGGGAGACGTGTACAAGCCGTCCGACTATCATTCTGACAAGCTGCCTAGTGAGTTGGCTCTTGCTGCGATGTCTCACTTTGTTTCGGCACCTTCAAATGTTCATGACGTGGCGTACTGTATTCCAAAATTTCCTCATTTCAAGGCCAATGGTGCCACACGACGAAGCGACGAATTGACTCTACCTGTAAGCATTATTGTGGTGCCTTCTACCACTACCTGCACCAGGGAAGGAGAATGACATGGACTAGGACGGACAAGGAATCAGTGCCGCTTTTTAGCGATGTGCTGTCTGCTGGACCTACACGTACGTGCAAGGGACGGATGGAGCTCGATCTCTGGCACAACACTACGAGCTACATGAAAGGATTAATTCATGCTGGCATAGGTGATCGGAGAGAGTAACGGACTGTCTTGGTAAGACTTAGATGCGACGTATCCCAGCCCAGCGAAAATAGAGTCACAGACTCACAACATCATTGAAGGATATGAAAATTCGTGGTGCGTGAAGAAATGACATGAGATACATAGATTATTATTCATTCTTTCTTTGGATCTTCTAATTAGAACACAAGTGCTCGTTCTTCTTGTATTTGCTTCCACACCTGCTAAGCTTTGTCTCCACTTGGTGTCCCATGATTTTGGGAGTTTGGGCCGGTCTTCAAATCCTTAGTGTCATTGATACCAGGTATGCTGTGACATGTGCGCAATGTATACGTATTTATGGCACATATACATTTCAGATGGGCACCAACATTTTCCTGATGGAAATTGGATAGGTAGACATCACTTTGGCATGGAAAAAGAAATTTCCAAAAATTATGCCTAAGCCACCTTTTTGCTTGGCTCGGCTCATATATCGCTTATAGTGATAAAATGCTCAAAATCAAACACCAACGCTATAGGCGATACTGACTGTACTCTTGATGGTGACTTAGTACTGTAAAGTGAGAAACTTTCGCTAGAGATTAAATTTCGCTATTTTCGCGACCATCACACATTCGCGAATATAAATCGTCGCAAACCTCTCTGTACATTGATTATAGACAGTACAAAATCCAACTGAAGAGATCCGATCGCGAAAGTTTCTCATCGTGAATCAGCCCAATTTATGAAAACGCTAAATTTGCACGCCGCGAAAGTTTGTCGCTTTACAGTATGCTTGGAAGTTTTATCATGTTTAATCATGTTACCTACAAAACTAGTGCTGTGCTTCAAGTACGTTTATCATTCCAATGTGATTTCATTGGACAATTTTCTTAAATAGCCCTAACCGTGCAGAATTCAGTCTTACCTCGTCACCAAATTTTGCCTCGAGCTCCTCAAATGTGCAATCAGTGTCTTCAACCGTGTCATGCAAAAGCGCAGCTTGGAGCACTGCAATGTCATCCACTCCGGCTTCGTTTGAAAGTATCTGGGCCACTCCTATGGGATGGTTGATGTATGGAGTTTTGCAGGGGTCTTTGCGTCTCTGATCGCGGTGCTTGATTGCAGCAAAATCGCAGGCGTCAAGAATGCGACTCGACGCTGACTCCATTGTTGACAGATGCACAGATACTGAGCTGGATTCCAAATACAGTACTGTACTTATTACTATTGAAAGAAAAAGCTGATGAGAGAGAAGCTCTCAAACGTAACAACAGCAAAGAAAGAAAAGCGCCAAACATGGGCTTTGGACTTCGGCCAAGTAACTTAGCTTGTTATTGTTTATTTCGAACATTCGAAAGGTAATCTTCTAGTTCTGCTGGCGACGTCGCTGCAGCTGGTGGCCGAAACAGACTTTTTCAAAACTAAACTCAAGAGTGTGCCTTGTTGTCAGTTTTTCATCGTTTGTTTGGCACGTGCACATGCATACGCGGCAAGCATGGAGCCTGTTGCCGATGGGTTTTTCCCTTTCACATAAACAAGCCATGCCAAGACCATACACTACTCACTACGTAGATCTACGTAGATCTACGTATGAACAAGAGTAACTCTTAACCGGGGAGCTGGAGGGGGGTTATGAACTCCTGCACCTGGCATGAACTACCGGTACATGTACATGTATAAAGTCGAGTTTACCTCCACACGATGCTATTCGTATTCCCTATACTCGTAGATCTACTTCTGACCCAAGCGCGTCGCCATTGTAGCGCCGCCGTTGGAGGTGGTCCGGCCGGAGAGTCCATGGGGTCTCCCAGGAACTTTTGAGATAGGGCGAAATAAACGAGGCCGGGCGAAAAAGTGGTCCGGCCAAAGCGTCTGTGCGGCTACGCCCCTGTGGCCAAACTATGTACCAAACTATCTCTTGTCAGTTGCCATGATTACAGTTGGACAGCGTTCCGGGAACATTTCCAATGCACACCTGCCCGATGACTGGCTTTGCACGGAAATGTCACACAGGGTATTCGTCTTGAAGCATGGCGTAAACCAGGCTGTGGCCGAGAATAATGAGAAGGTCAAAAACCGAACACGTAACACACCTTGGCACCATGGACTGTGAGCGCCGACATCGCTGGTTCAGGGATTATTGTCTCAAATACATGAACTGCAAACAAAAAGTCATATAAGATAGGCAATAGTTCGTGAAGAGCCCGGAAGCCCGTAGCATAACAACACTGGATATGGGGCCTGGTTGTGCTGTCCCAGGCCGCAGGGACTGGTCTGGCATTATTTTGATTCTGATTTTGTTATCCACGTACTGCCCACACTCCATGGCTGTCGTGATTGGCATCCAGATAGGCGACCGTTTGACAAAAACAAATAACACCCTGCTGCTCCACAGCTGAAGAGTGGAGCCGGAGAGTGGAGCCGAAGAGTACTGTGTATGTGGTGGCAGTGGCCAGAGCAGCTAGACTAGAGATCTCACATGCGCAAATAGATAGGCTACTAGACCAGGCACGGTAATGATGATAGCAGACAAGCTGCAGGCTGATTCAAGCTTGTTTGGAGCTCCTTTCGAGTGGAGCAAATCTCATGATAGATCTTTCTCACTGATCATCGGGAATAGAAGTGTGGCTTAGACACTGCCGATGTGTACATATGGGAACCAACACTAAGTCTTGTACAAACTAACGTTATTCATAATGCACTCAAGTTTGATTCTACTGTGTGCTAGGTGATGAACAGTCTGTCATGAGCGATCAGTCGTCAGAATTGGCCTCTGGACGCGACCGTTGACGGATATGTCGTGCATTTTACTTCTACCGCGCGTGTCCAGGCCCAGCGCTTGTGCCTGCGCTTCGGTAAGTCCGGGTGGCAGCTGGCTTGTTGCAGCCATCGCGTGGCTGCTGGCTGAGGTGGTCCTTGCCATGCTGTCACGCAACTGCTGATCCCTCTCCTCGTGGCATCTTGCACGGTAGCTGCGGAAGGATTCCATTGCCGCATCGCGTTGTTGCTCTCTTTCATGTTCTCGTGCAGCCCTGGAGAAGAAGGACAAGGAGGTAGCGCAACACAAGTTGCACAGACAGAATAGAAATGCTCGATAGGGCTTGAAAGTGCTATGTCACAGCATAGCAACAATTTCAAAAATTCAAAAACTGGATCCACTTGGATCCAGTTTTTGTATGGATCCAAGCACATTTCAAGCGGTCTTACCCACAGCATGGTGATGTAGCCAGTGAAACTGACTGATTTGGCTACTGGGGGCGGGGTTACAACTGGTGGCGAAATAAAAGTCACACCTGCATGCGACATGAGTGGGTTGCTATGCACCCACATACTTAGGCAATAGCAAAGTCACACCTTAGTGGATCCAAAAATAGAAATCTGATGTCAACTTACTACTCCCTGGCCGTTTTGACGTCATCACTTTCAAGCCCTATTGTGTAGCTTAGAAATACGAAAAGAATGAACACTACTCTTGTCTAGAAGTCCTATCCCTTTTGTTGAAAACACTTTGGACAGTCTCTATAACTCTTGAATGGTGGAGTATGATGCGCCCGGCCCTGCTCTGGGCTGGTGGGTGCAACAAAGGCCACCACGTAGCAGTAGATCAACGAACAAGCAATAGCTAAGCACACTCCTTACAACTCTCAACACTAATCATGAAAGTCTATTGATCCACAATGCTGATGCCCACACAATGAGGGCAGATGGGCCTTTTAACAGGAGGCATATACTGAAAGTAATAGTTGCACACATGTTGCCATGGCAATTCTCCAACTAGCACAGCTACAACAGAACCCGTTCAGTATCCTGCATTCTTACCTATCCAGTCTGTCTCTCTGTAGTCGCCGATGCGTGTCTGTGAAGTCGGCCTGTCGTCTCAGCGGCGGCGGTGGGAACTGCGGGCCTGATGCATCCAACATACAGCCATGCATGTCATCCTCCTGTCGGTGATAATAGAAGAGAACATTTTACCAACATCATTTGTGTACAGTCCCTTTTCAGTCTGCATTCTGTGTTACAGATGCTGTTGTGCATGCATGTTTTGCAGCTCTGCTTCAGCTGGCCGCACACGATGACAAAACACCAGTCTTTAAAAATATCAACAGCACCTTGAAAGTATGCGCACGTGCCAGATTTAATATATAATATAAACAAGCCTTGGGGATGAAGGCTAGTGCACAACATAAAGGCGGACATGCACTACCACATGATTTTGGCCATACCTACACACTGCCTTAGTATCTAGGTAGCGTATGGCTGGCAGTGAGCTTACCAGTTGTCTAGATCGACGTTCCCTGGCTTCAAGCATGGCTTGGTCTAGCCTGCTGACTCGCGCCATCACCTCGCGTTCGGCCAGAAGTGGTGCGTGCGGGTCAGGGCGCATCCTGGAAGGGGGAGGCATTTCCGACGTGTTCCTTAGTCGGCTGTGCACTTGTTGATACTGGCTGCGCTCTAGATCACGCGTAGTGGCCTGCGCCTGTTCACCTTCCGACTCACGGGGTGTTTGCTGCAGGCCTTCAAACGTTGCGCAGAGTCGCTTCAGATACTCCTCGCCGGCTGCGCCTGACAGCGCCGTGCCGCTCAGCTCATCAAGTAAAGTCGAGGAAGTGATTTTGGTGGCCGGCGGGCCGGCTGTGTCTTTATCTTTGCCACTGGGCTTGGCAGCAGCTGCCGCATCAACGCCTCTTAGGGACTGCTGGCGAAGTCGTAGGAGAATCTTTTCGGTGTGCGAGCCAAGGCTGGCGGCATCACGGGACAGGACAATAGGATGGCTAGTCTGTAGGGTAGTGAACACAAGAAAGAATCGGATACCCTGGTCGGACATGACCTCTCATCCTACATGTACATGTATTCCTTGAATGCGAGAAAACACTTCTGTGGTACATGCAGTTTTCTGTGGACCAAAACACAACAGTGATCACAGAAGTGTCACCAACAGCACCTTGAACAGCATAGATTCGAATAATAATGATTTCATTTACTCAAACAATAGCTACATTCCATGTGTCCCAAGTGGCAACACACACCACCAGCATTTTTATGTTATGCTCATCACAGTAGATGATCAGCTTCAGAAGCTAAATCAGCTAAGGACGGTGCTTGCTTCCCCAAACACTCGAACGCGGAAACCGTGCAGATCTTCACAAATTTCCGCCATAAGTTGCAAGACCCCCCCCCCCCCCCCCGCACACACACACTGACCTAGAAAACCAGTAACCAGCTTACCACACCATCTTCCGCCTTTGCTACAACACCCAACTTGGCACTGGTGTCACTCTCGCGTACCACCTGTGGCTGCACTATCGCGGCCTTGTTCGACTGCGTAGGATCCGGAACGGCGACACCACGGAAGAAGTTGTCTAGATAAGGTGGTTCAGGCTCTAGCACACAGCAACAAAAAAGAAAATGTGCAACAAGACGCTTCAACGCCTAGCAAATCTTCGTCAAATGCTACATGCCCCTCGGTAAGAATGCCAAGGCAGAAACTTCTGCAAGAAGCAGTGCAGGGGGAGGGAGGGGGGGGGGGTTGTCATAGACAGGGCAATGGGGAGTGGTACGGGGGGGGGGGGATAAATCGGATTTTTTTGGCCAACAGGGCACGTTTTAGCGCTCTACAGGCACTCTGGGCAGACCATCCTGGACCAAAAGTGATACGACCATGGTCGTACCGATCGTGCCGTGTGTGATGTCCCTGCAGTGAATACATGGCTAGTTGTAGCCAAACAGGCTGTGTAACCTGGACAACGATTGAAATTTTCAAATCTAGCGGATTGTTCGTACTATAGTTGGGTAGTAAACACTACATTGTAGTTGAACGTGCTACCGGCTCTAGTAGACTTAACACTGGTAACAGGGATAAGACAAACTTTTGTCTTCTGTGACTCGTTATCAGGCGCGTGCCCCGGGCCGTATGGGTTCCTGGGTGCCCGGAACCCCCCTTTTTTCGCTCAAAATGCAGGATTTTGCTTCATTTTTTGAAATTTTTCACAGGGGAAGGCCCCGGAGCCCCCCCCCTTGAAAGGCACCGGCGCACGCGCCTGGTTATAGTGGACACATCACTGTGTGTACAATGCGTACAACGTATGGACAAGAGATATACGTATCAGTTTGTTTGAACAAATTCTATCGGTGCTTTAGAAGCTGCATCTGCGCCTTGATCCTACGGATGCAGAAAACTCGGCCTCTTGCCAAGTCTCACGCGAACCATGAATTTTTAGTGTTTGTCTTTAAGACGTTTGGCTGCATCGAGAACTTCCTGCATGCCACCAGCATTGCAATTATAACGGAGTGGCTTGATGGATGTAATGCCGATCCAGCCAAATGCAGGCCATTAAACGGGCATCTACACCCCAACAGCCTGGCCTGTAGCTTCCCTTATATCAGCAAGATTTGTACTAATACACTTTGTCCTCCAGCTACCGGTACCCAATAGCAATACGTACCGTCTCCCGCAGTGTACACGTCTTCAGCAATGTCCTGGTCACCGGGGTCCACTTCAATCGGCTGGCACTGCAACAAACAGGCAAGTTGTAATATCGAGCATGAAGTTGATACCTCTATCATGCCTAGGTAGCTAACGCAAACAGACACACCATGCCCTTCTGCAGAATATGTTTCAACACAGCAAACATCTACACAAAACTATGGGTGTTACATCAATTTGTTCACAGATTTGTTTTTGAACCTTGCATTTGCAAACATGCACATCCTAGTCTAGTCGAAATAGGCTTGCTGCAAAGGTACACCAAACTTGGTTGCACTCGCCACAGTTTGTACAAATCACACGATACAAATAGTGCACGCCAACTCCAATGCAAAAGTGTATTGGCACCTGGTCCTTTCAGCCAAATTCAATGTTCCTGCCAGGTTTCACTGTGCAAAAGAAGAAAACCTGCTCCGGCCTCGAGGCCGGAGCAGACAGAACATGTTCGATCGATTCAGAACTGAGGTGCAGTCTCAACCAAACACGTGCTGTTCTGGTGCGGGATCCTGTCGGTCTAGGTTGTGCCAAACAAACACACTCTGAGACTGACTCACCTTGAGCAGCCGGTTCATAGCCCGCCGCGCCAGTGTGACACAGAATGGTACAAGCTCGCTTTCAATGTACTCATCATGCATGATGCTGTATGCCCCATCAACCGCTTCACGGACCACCTTGGCTGCCAGGGAGCTGCCATCGTTGATATCTTCCACAACTTTCTCCCTGGGCATCAGAACAGAACACGGCACGGTGGAGAAGATTACGATGATAGCCCTGTTGTTTTCGGCAATTCTTCTGCTGTTTTTCGTGGGCGACATTGCGTGCGCTGTGCAGTGTGACCAGAGTCGTCCTTGCTGTACCTCTTCCCTCTCTCCCCCTCAACACGCACACGCAGGCTCAGTGTGCTCCCAAAGCTGTGACACACTCACTACAACTGTAGTGTCCGAGTATGCCCTTTACTGGTGTTGCTGATGCTCGCACTCGTGCTCGCGCGTGCACATGCACACACACACACACACACCACACACACACACACACACACACACACACCACACACACACACACACACACACACACACTCATGCGCGTGCACACACATGCACGCACCCGCACACAGGCACACTCATTCACATAGCTCACCAGTCTTTCATTGGTAGTTTCCCATCGACCACGTCGGGCTCTGGTGTCGGCGGGCGCTCCAGCACCACTGATGGTTGCGCCACAGATGCAGACTTATCTAACTTTCGCTTGCTCATGTTGCTTGCAGTCCAGGTACCAACAACACTATTTCGATGCTCAGTGTGATGCGACTACGAGCTGACCCGAACCGTAGGCTGACGGCCACACCGATCAACTCTCACTCTCAGGGATGCCAGGCTTCCCGTGCACCTAACTGTTGCATGCTAGCGACAGTGCTGGCTGACGAGCTCGAGCGACTATTTCCACGGCACGATCATTGTGTCTAGACACGTACTGCGCTGCACACATCCAGCACGGCAGTAGTCAACGCTCTTCGTTTTCTGTTTCTTTGGGACGATACGGACTGATCCGTGAAGAGGACCAGCTCAGTTGCACTTGCATGCACAACTCATCATATCTGCCGCAAGTCAACAGCGCTCGCATGCACTGACTGTGCAGCCGACTCGCGGCAAGGACGACTCTGGTCGATGAGTGCGCGCCAGGCCTGCAGGCTGCACAGTCAGTCAGACTGCAGTGATCAGTCTGGTGACATGATGCAGGTTGCAGTTGGGCGTTTTCGCAACACATATCCTTCCCGTTGCCATGAGTACAGTTTTCAGGGAAATGACAACACAGTTTTACGAGTGACGTCGTAGTCTACGTGCTACTTTTATGATGGCCTTTCTTGTTTCCCGGGAGTTTTTGATTTGAAAGCTAAAGAGCTTCACCATGCATGGTGGCTTGAACTTACTTGAAGTTAGTTGAACAGTCTACCCAGTCAATTCATTTCCTCCCAAAGCTCGGACGGAGCAGGCCCGTCACTGAACTCAGATTTACGGACCTGTACGTAGACTAGACTACTAGTACTAGCCGCAGTGATTTCCACCAGTCATGGTAAGACGCAGTTTTTATACAGTGTACATGTAAAGTTGTGGCAAGTGAAATCCGACACTACAACATGTAGGCATAAGGGACTGCACCGTGCATCCTGCAGCCTCTGCAGCCCTGCATACGTACAGTACATGTGTTGCATACAACTTTATCTGTCTGATGACAGAATTCGTACTCATCACAGTCAAGGTTCAAAAGGTGCTGGCAAAAATGACTGGGAATTGGATACCAATACTCCTTATGTGTACCATGTTTGTGAACTGTGTGTATCTAAGCTGTGACCTTTCGACCTGTTTGGGATGCATGCGGCTCTATAGTACAAATTAGGTGCAGTGCATTACATCATTGATGTCTATTTGAGGCGCTGTCCCCTATGGCAAGTGTCGGATTTCACTTGCCACAACTGTAGTATGCTTTTTGTTTCAGTACAATGTACCAGATGTACTGGTACATGTATACAGACATTACAGTGTCATGTACATGTCAGGCGCGTAGCACCACCGTACCGTTGGAGGTGGTCCGGCCAGAGGGGTTCTTGCTCCCGGGAAATTTTTGAAATTAGGGTGCTAGATCCTGCATTCTGGGCCTTCGAAAAAGTGTTTGGCCGGACCAGCTGGACCGGCTGCTACGCCCCTGCATGTACATTGTATACAGTCGTGTGCAATGTACAGAATCAGTGCATGTGCAAATAGATCTTCATGTACTGTCGGGAGTACATCATGCACCCGCTTGCCTACAGTCCATTTCAAAACTATAGACGCGTACCTAGGCAAAAACCGTTATGCCAGCATCTATACCACATAAAATCTGTGATCACTTTGTGCATAATTTTTTCCAAATTGGGCGTCTGTTATCCAATCCTTTAGAAACTATATGAGAGTAATTGTGGAGCGATCCTGAGCAATATTCCGAAAACTATTCTCAAAAAGTTCCAGCCAAATTTGAAATATTTCAAAAACCCTACGCGTCTATAGTTTTGAAATGCACTGTAGGGCTGATGATTGATTGAAGTCTGTCTCAAGTCAGGTTATGATGATCCGAGCCGGATGAGCCTTTTGGTTACGGGAGGTCATGATCGTGTTTACTTTTTTTTAAACATTTACTCTTTCCGTTAAGCCGCAGTTCATGACACAGAAGTTCTATTTCATGAAGCTTACCGAAATGATCCCAGGACCAATACCGGTATTTTGTTTTGGAGGCCAGAAGTTTCTGACTGCTTATAGTCACGGTACAAGTCTACAGTTGCGTAGAGTCACAACAGCCTCGGAGTGCCGGTGTTGGTCGAACACTACGCACTCGGTCACCGGGACTCCACAGTGGAGCCGGAATAGTGGTCCACTTTTGAACTGAAACAAAGGCAACCCGTGCCATTAATCGGTGTAAAGGACTCTTAGCATCAGAGGTCTTAAGCCATCAGAGGAAATGAACGGCGACAGACGTCTAGACTGCATGGCTTGATCGTAACATGCACACATTCTCTCTGAGTCACACGGACACTACGGTAGTCAAACAATCTATTTAATAAAATTTTTAAAACCAAAGCTGATCAAATGAAGTGCATATGATAAATGCTAGAAGCAGCAGATTTTGACAATGACAGTGCATCTGCACATGGGCACCGCGGACAAGCGAGAATGCACGTACGGTAGAATGGAGCATCAAAATTAGCAATCATCCTGGAACTAGCGAGCCGGGAAGCTGAGAGCCACATGCCAGTGACCGCTATCGCCTCTCAGTGTCAACATACAGTTTAAGCACATTCTTGTAGTGTAGTAATTGCCTGTCACGTCCACTACTCTTGATCACCATAATCAGTATCTAGACACATTTCCAGCAATATTTTCAAAATAAATACAGATCTATTATTAAACGAGGCAAAATAAAAAAAAGAATTTTGCAAAATAAACTTTGTATGAACACCATTGATAATTGGTTGTATCATGCAAAAGCTTCAGTGTAGCGTTCATGGTCTTTCAAAGCAAAGGTTGATTTGTCACAGGAAGAGAGCATAACTTTTGGGCAGCGTCAAATGGTGCAAAATTGTTCTAATAGTGGCGTATGTCTTACATGCTTTGGGGGTTGGAAATATGGTACAAGGAGACAGTTGCGATTATTCAAATGGCTGAGCAGGTGGTCCACTGTTTATTCTGTGGACGGATGGTGTGGTGGTGCTTAGCGTCGCTTTGCCACGGCCTTGCGCTGCTTCTCCACAATGATGTGAGTGTAGTCGCGGATCAAGTGTGCAATTTGCGAAGCCTAGAAGAGAAACAAGACGAGAGAAGATCCTAACTGCACATTTCTACCATGTTGGCAAGATCACCTCTCGGGCAGTTGTTTGGAAAGTTGTTATACAGCAATTGTACACTGCTTAAAGCTCAGTGTCAGCACTACACACTGTTACGGTGCATATTTCCTGAAGACATTTCAGGGTACATTCTCTTCCCCGGTCTAAAGTTCATGAATGAAGACAAGCAAAGACTTTAAGTAAGCCGGCGACTAATGTGAACTTACCTGGCTGGTGTTGAAAACAAACTTTGTGCCACGCGTCAAGCTCTCCGTGACGATCATCAAGTTCTTCAGCGAGGGGCTGATAATGTACGCACGTGGACACGCACGCATGCACGTGCACACACACACACACACACACGTGCACACACCCACACACACACACACACACACACACACACACACACACACATTTACACAATTGTACATTAGTGACAGGCGTTCGTATCCACGTTACATGTATCGTGATACTATGTCATGTAGATTGATTTGCCAACCCCTCCCGCATACACTGTATTATGCTGCCCCCCCCCCCCCTTCTGAATTGCTAAGTCGTTGAACTCAGGATAAGTAGGGTGCACACTACTTTCATTAAATGAAAGTAACAAATTTTGTTGTTCATTCTGGTCTAGTTTTGCTGGCAGCGCATAGAGTTGACGGCCATGCGTGCAATACCAGTGATATAGGTAAGTTTCTCTTCATGCAATCTCGGAAACGTTCATGCATAAAGTGATCGCAGATTTAGGGGTCGTCCGTAATTATCGAACTTTTTTCACGAAACGAAATAATTTCGTTATGGGGTGGGAGGGGGTCGATCAATTTCGTTTCAGAAAAGTTCGATACATGTACATGGCCATAGGAGCAGTTACACACTTGCGGGTTTTGTTGTATATGCATTGTATATGTCAACAATTTTTACGTTTTGAGGGGGAGGGAGGAAGGGGTTGGGTCTAAACTAAAATAATTCGTTTGGTGAAAAAAAGTTCGATATTTACGGACGGCCCCTTATGTGGTATAGATACTGGCCTCATGGTGTTGTGACAGCAGTGGTCTATACTTTCGAAACACACTGTAGAGATGGAAAGTAAGAAGGACATGCACAGTGTGTGAGTGGAGATAAAGTGGAAGTGATGTGCTCGCTGCTTTACTGTACCTGTAATTGACAATGTTGCGATAGTCGTAGGTGACCAGTGGCTCCTTGTCACGCCTCTTCATGATGTGGATACCCTGCTCATTGACCGCCAGCCACAGGTTCTTTGGTAGAGTGGCCGTGTAGGATTGCTGCCGTGACAGATTTATTAGCAAACACACGCGCACGCACGCACACACACACATACACACACACACACACACACACACACACACACACACACACACAGAGATTATCACATGGATGTACGAGTACTTACAGTGACATACGTCTCATTAATACATTGTATTAATGAGAGGATTGTGTCTGCAGGATAGGATAGGATAGGGTAGGATAGGATAAGACGGAGCAGGGCAGGGCAGGATACGGCAGGGCTGGGCAGGGCAGGGTGAGATAGGGCAGAATGGGATAGAATTGGGTAGAATGCTGCTCCGCGCACTCACCAGGACTTCGAAGATGGTCGAGCCGTACATCTGCCACTGGCGTACAAAGTCGAAGAACGTCTGGCTGGCCTCGGCAGTGCCCATGTCACCGAGCTCGCGGTGCTTACGTGCCACGTCATCCGGTTGCATTGGCTGTCGCATGTGCTTGGGTAGTAGAGCATCAATCACAGAACTGCGCGTGCATGCACAAACAACATGGAACAAGTATACTCAATCTGCGGACAGACCTGTTTCGTCCTTTGTGGACACAACAGCGCAGCACAGAGAAAAGAGGCCGAACTTGATGGCAATGAAACATAAAATTTTCAAAAGCCAGATTTAAACCAGGCCCGAACGAACAAGTATACGGATATTGTAGATATATATTGTGGCAATCTTCAGTTGATCTACCATGTGACTTAGTCTTGTACTTATGTAAAGTGTACTGTGTACTTGCAGTTGATTGTTTGCTAGTGATGGTACTCCTTACCTGTAGTCTGACCTTGGTCGGTCAGTGTAGGGGCCGAGCAAGACCTGTGATCTCAGTGCACAGACATAGACCTGCAGAAGCACAGCCAAACGGAGCATACAGTACAAACGGGGCATACAAACGGAGCTTACAAATGAAGACGTGAAGCACTACTCCTGTGCACTTCGCCAGTATTCACACAGCGCTGGACCACACTGGAATTGTTCTACTTAAAAAATGGCAGTTTTTCTGTGATAAATATCCGAGAAGTGCATTTTGCCAACGGGTCGACGCAAGTATTGGAGGCTTGTGACAACCTCGAACATTCTATCCTTCAAATGTGCGACAATCACGGGACCAAACCGTTTGAATGCTTTAAATCGTTTTGTCAGCACTAATTCTAGTCTCTACTTACGCCTTCATTGTAGCTGATAGGGAATCGGTCATTAGCCAGGTCATCAATGGCCTGAAGATGAAATAGCAAGCAGATGCAAAACAAAGCATGTTGAGACGGGTCAGTTCAGATTTTTGCAACCAAACAAAATGGAAAGCCATTGAAAAATCGTTTGTATAAGAGTGTGGACGTGTGCTGATCCTAGAATGTTATTGTGAGTGTGGTTGCTCTGGTAGACCACTACTCCGTGTACTGAACAGTTGCTCTGGTAGACCACTACACATGATTGCACTGAACAGTTGCTCTACGAGTGAAACATGTGTATAAGCGTGTGGACGTGATCTGATCCTACAGTATGGTCATTCCTTTGCCTTTTTCCAGCCTAATGCATACGATTTCTAAATTTTCTATAGCATGACTTGGTTAGTAGAACAATGTTGTGTGGAGTATGCAGTGTGAGTGTGAGTCTGGGTGCTGTATGCAAACACTGTCTGATTATTTTATACTCGGATAGAGATTAGAGAGCCAAGGATTAAAATCAGAAAGGGAGCACCGATAGTTTACAAGTTATCCGTTGTTAGTGTTGGACAAGCAGCGGATAAATTGTAAACTATTGGTCCTCTATTTTCGATAACTGTCATGCTCTGTAGTACTGCTGATATCTCAGTGAGTCCCGTACCTGATTGAACACGAGGTTGAACTCGACCTTGTCTTGCGCGTTGATGAACGGCTTCAGGAACAGGCGTTTCTAAAGACCAAACAGCAACGAGACACGCTGATTCTTCATGTACATTCATGCAGAGACAGGCACAAATATGGTGGTCCAATTTCTCACCCAAAATATCTAAAAGATGAAGAGCTCACCTCGCTAACACGGTAAGCGGCATTCGGTAGTTAAAACACCAGGTTGAAAATAAACAAACTAAACGATTTGAAAATTTGAGTATGTCAAACTTTAATCTGGATAGCATTAGGTTGATAATGGTACAGTAGTGCCGGAGACTTTAGAGCTGACCTTGAATGTGAGTTTGAGTGATCGTGCTGACCCTGTGCTCTTGGCATACTTCTCCCACTTGAAGATAGCATCGGCGACTTTCTCGGACGGCAGCATGTTGCGTTCTGCAGCAGCAGAGACAGTGGTTAGGACACGCCATTCGTGTTAGCTAACTGCATTTAGCACTATGGCCCATATGGGTCTGGCATACACCTTAGCCTTGATGCATGCTCCTGCGGCTAGACTCTTCCAGTGTATACCCTTGTATCAGGAATTGGAAGCAACCCTCAACTCGTCCTATATCTTGTTAAACATGTCAGGCTGACATCCATCGCACTCAACGCCATGTGCATAAAAAAATACTTTTCATCTCGTGCTGGATTCAGTTTGGTGTTAGCGAAAATGCGCATCTAAGCGTAAAGTGAAGAGTGGAATCGAGAGAAGCGATCTATTGATGGCATCTTACAGCGCGTGTGACCAGTTGATGGTGATGATACCGTGCATATGCCTTCATAATACATGTTACGTATGATGCTTCTGAGGTCCTGTTTGTGTTTACGACCTACCAAGCTGTCCGAACACTTCGAAAAGGGAGAATCCAGTTGCCGCCTTCTGCAGTCCGATTCTTTCCTTCACGATTGCTACAACCTGTGCAGAGAGGAAATGTGAGAGAGGACGGGAAAATGGGGGAGAAGAAGCATAAATTATATCTGTGCTGAGTATTGTCCATTCGTATTAAAATATTGAGGCTGCACTAACTTATTGCAGGCATTTGCCTTAGTTGAGTCTATACCATATCTCCTAGTCAAAGTGCCGCACTGTATCCAAGTGTGGCCTATGCGCCGGGTCTACTGGCAGTTTGCATCTTGCCTTGCTCACTCACCTCCTCGACAGTGGAAGCGGAGTCGAACTCCAGAGCGCGGAACTGACCATCCATGAAGTAGAAGCGGGCGTGGATCTTGCGTCTACAGCAACACAAACGGCCATGCATTCTATGCATTAATGCTATTAAGCGTATCAACTATGAAGCCTGCTTGGCGTGCGGCTAGCTGCCAGTGCCCTGCCCCCCCCCCCCCCACACACACACACACTCACAAGATTCATGGCATTGATTACACCAGTTTATACCAAGTGTGGCAAGCTGTACAGGTACAGGTGTACAGGTGTGAGGGATTATCACACAATACGGGGGACTGGAGTTGAGACTGACCTGTTTGTGACACACATGATCTCCTGCGATGACGGCGGGTACTTGCGATTTCTGTTCTGTCCTGTTCTTTGTACACACTGTGATGAACAAACATGAACACGATGTGCAAGATCGAATGCGAATGGCGGACTGGGCCTCCATCTAAAACTGGCATGCAGAAAAAGAAGAGTACTTCCAAACGTTGAAAGCAAGGAAAGATGATGCTCAGATTTCTCTCCTCAGTTCAGCCGAACAGAATGCTTTCTGGGCTCACTGTTGCCAATTTATTGCTACTCTGTTGTGTCAGCGAGTGTGTGAATGTTGCACAGTGTTGTACCTTTGCTGCGGTGCCGCCAGTCACCCCTTACCTTCACACAGAACTGTGCTGTGGTGCTACCGTATTTCCCCGATTATAAGTTGCACTCAATTATAAGTCGCACCCCCATTTTCAGGTTTGAGCGATATTGATTTGATATATTGACTTCAGTAGTAAGTCACACTCGATTGTAAGTCGCACCCCCTTTTTTACCCTTGAATTTTAGTGTAAAAAGGTGCGACTTATATCCGTGGAAATACGGTAATAGGTTAAACACCCTTTCCAATAGCTTACCTTCATACAGAACTGTGCATATTTGCCCTCCTCGGTGTTGGAGTCCGTTCCACACTTGCGCAGGTGAGCCATCAGGTAGCTGAGGATTTCCTACACACGATTGAACGAGAAGATAATAACGACGGTACCACCATGGTTACAGAGAGTCAGGAAAGACTTACTTGCCATCGTTCACGGCACAGCAACAACAAAAAAACAGGAGCGGGAAACCGCGATTACGATTAATCTCACACGTATACATTACAGGCTATCCTCACTTACTTTACTCCGCGGCACCACAATGCTACAGGTCATTGCCATGAAGCGCCAGTTCTGAATGTTGATGCGACTGTTGGGGTCTGCACGGGACAAGAGTCAAGTGGACAAAGACCATACAGAAAATTCAAGTTTAACTTGGACATGCAACATGCACCCAGTCTTACAGTATACCAATAGCAGCAGTGGTGGTACAAGTAGTTGTGGCAGGTGCTTTGGCAACGGCAGCAACGACAATGCCGGTGGGTAAGACTTCTGTAGTCCAGCGGTGTCGGATAGTCAGCTGGACTGGCCATGCTCTCCATACCGTCTACCCGCCCCAGCCATGTTTTCATCACCATGCACTATTACACTGACCTGGTCAGCTGTCTGCTTGTCTGTAGTTCAGCTGTTTTGGATAGTCGACTGGACTGGTCGACTGGACTGGTCATACCCTCTACCACCACCCTCTACCCCCTGCCATGTTTTCATTACCATACACTATCAATTCATACACTCACCTGGCTGGTCAGTAGTCTGCTTGATGAGCTGCAAGTAGAACTCATTGCACAGTGCTTCCTTCTCCAAGCACTTTGAGATGACCATCTGTGCCATACCCATGTGCTGCTCATCACTCTCCATCTCAAAGCCACCAGCCTTCTCGATGCCCGCATAGATCTGTCAAGCACAACACAGGCAATTCATGTTACCACCGTCATTGCTACCGGTATGTGTTGCTACATTGGCACCTCTCAATCATGTCAGGGTACCCCCTCTCTCCAGCACCATCTCCTTCCAGTGCCTATCATTCCGCTAACCCCTTCCCTTACTGCAAAGGCTGATCCCGACATCCTACACACGGGTCTTCCACTGGCAATAACAGTGCAATTATATTATATCCTGAAATTTAATGAGATGCATATGCAGAATAATAGTCCGAGGCTGTGACACACTCATGACCCACTAGCCATGTACTGTATCCATTGTACGGCCGTAGTGCTATGAAGCCATAGTGCTATGAAGTGCAACCGTGACTAGACGATACAGAGCAATATCAGTGTATCAGCATACCAAGAGTGACTGGAACATCTTGCAGCCCGTGTCCTCCAGCTCGTCGCCGATGATAATGGATATGGGCTGCGCTAGTCGGTTCTTGCTGTACGACCAGAAACTCTGCTTGAAGACCTTCTCGAACGGCAAGTTCTCCTTCTGCTTCTGCAGGCGCATCAGCTTCTCTCGACTTGGCCTGCACACAGAGTCGTGGAGATGCAAAGAAATAGTCGTAACTCTCCGGGCTGTAATCATCTTCAATTTTCTATAATGACTTGTATTACTGCACTGTTCAATCTGTCTGACATTGTCTGTAAATATTTGCTGTGCAAGACCACACGAATCTGTATCAGATTGATATTGAAAGCTGCAGAACAGGGGCAGCGGAACCGGTCTGGTTGGTCAGGCCGTGGCTAGACCAGCTACTTGGCCATCAAAGCGTGTTTACTGCTGAGGAGGTCATGTGTACCTGCCGTATCATACACAGTGTAGAGAGACTATGATATGGTCGGACCGATCAAAAACTAGTTACGCCAGTCCTGCAGAGTGATTCACTGGACCCTGCATTGGTTCAGGCTTAACTTACCGCCTGAGAGTTGTCGTCAAGAATCCTGTGCTGGTGTCGACAGGCCGTTGCAGGAGGTTGTTCTCGGCCAGGGCTCTCCGAGCGGACAGCACCTCGTCGTATAGCTTCATCTTCTCCTCGTCACTCAAGTGGTACTGTGTAGTGAACAAGCGCATGCAAGGAGCAAGATGAACATGTGTTTTTCGGACATCTAGTGGGTGCACAGGGGCCGTAGCACCCAGTCCGGCCAAGACCTGAACTTATGAAAAAATCGATCCACCCATTTCAACGATTTCGTGCACACGGGTACATGCAGACCTGGGGTTGATAACAAGGCAGTTCCTGGTTTAAAATGCTCATTTCCATCAAGTGTCCCATTTCGCCGGACCCCCCCCCCCCCCCAGATCCCGGTGCTATGGACATTATGTAGTACTCCACTCCACATTACCTTGACACGTGTTGTACCACACTCCACAGCCTCTATATTTTACAAAACATTCATTCTGGGGCCGCCAGGGGTGTATAAGTAACATTTCCTGTCACTTGGCTGTTGTCAGTATGAATTTGCTACAGTCATGAAGATCAACAAGACCTCAATTTCCGATGTGCAATTTCATTCACAATTACTTGAGACTTACCGTCTTGGTCTTAGCTTCGCCGACTCTTGACCAGTTGCTGTGCGACGGAGAGTAGCTGGCGATCAGGTTGGCAATGTCCTCCTTCTGCACCGTTTCAAACATGTAGCACTTCTGCTCTTCGGGGTTCCTGACCTTCATGTTTAGGACCACCACCTAACGGGCAACAAATATGGAGGTGAAGGAGATTGATCGACAGAACTTACTACTAATGCGTTTTATGTAGCAGAAACGGCGATCATCCCAACATTTCAGAGTTGTTGTTCTCTGATAGAGAATAACCAGTACAAAGAGCAGGATTTCACATTGGCTCCCAACAACATGATTCGCGATGTCAGGAACATGCATTGATGCATAGTTCATAAAGACTTGGAAGTGAATTGTGTACCTATGAAATGAGGTGAAAGCCATGATACCCTGGTGAAAGCATTTTTGAGCCTTGACTGAATATCCAGAGAGCCTGCTATTCTGCTTCATGTGCTGGTCCATTTCTTGGCACTTTGCAAAAGTGGGGTAATTCACGTAACGGCACTGTTTTAGACGCCAGCAGGATTGGATGGTGATAGCTGCACCATTGCCTGTCTGTCCTACTTCACTACCCCAGTTGATGGTTGATTCCCTGCATAGTACTAAGTATACTGGGCACAGTCACGGTCAGTCCAGCTTTGGTGTAGCACTTACTGGATCTTCATGATCCACGCTGACGCTCTCCAGCCGCGTCCACGGGAAGTCGGCCATGGTCGCCTTTGAGCGCATGTTGACGAACTTGAAGCCGCTCAGGTCCACCGAGAGTATGAGGTTGTTGGGATACGACCAGAATCCCTTGTAGCTGACAGGGAAGAACGTGCTGCCATACAGTGGATAGTGCTTCACTGATGTCAGGTACCACACCTTGGCCTGGATCTCAGTCTTGCCCGTTCCAAATTCCTGTCGGCATCAGAATGAGGACAAGCACAGCATTATTGTAGTATCATGGTCAGTTGTGATTAACTGCATACACATGCCACCTGAAATGACAAGCAGGCCTGTAGGAACCGGTTAGGTGTGCCCACTACATCATACACAAAGTATGAAAGGCTGTAGTATGCTAGAAAGTGCTTCCGGCGGTTCCGACAAGGTCTGGTGCACAAAACTGCTCTGGCTATAGCACTGGAAATCAAATACTGAGCACACATTCTATTGTCTTCGTTGCCCAGTGCTGTTAGCAGTTGACTGCGTAGACACTTTTCTGTGTTTCATCCTTATCTCCAGCTGACACATGATGTCTTTATCAGTAGGTCTTCCATCCAGCATGCACTGGGAAGTATGTCATGTCACTGGATATAGTGGATAATCTGTATCTGCAGCAAGGTCAGACATTCACCGACATTGCCAATACACTACCATCACCTTGACTACCATCACCTTGACTACCATCACCTTGACTTCGCTAGTTATCCCACTGTCTTACCCTGTGTGCTTCTGACAAAGCCGCACTCCACATCTCGGTGGACCGAGGCTTGTCCTCCAGAATTCGACTCGGGATGTGCGAGGCAGGCTCATTGTACCTTGCAGGATGATGAGAACAAGGCAGAAAGGTTCAACACATGCCACAGCAATCAACCACATGCATTTTAGCATGGCATGCATTGAATAGCAACCAGCTTGCTGGTGGACATGAGCAGACCCCATGCATGCAGACCCCGTGCAGGATGTGTTTCAGACTTGATCATGACTTATAGCATCCTGCTCTCATCTAGCTTGAAAGTAAATACGACAGTCCTCTAGCAAAGATCAAGGACTTACAGTCTACCAGTCTACAGGCTCATTAGCAGCAATAGGCTGTGCAGTGAGGGATTGCTCCAATTACATACTAGTGTTTGAGGTCATACTAACTCTACACTACTCACCTCGTATCCTTGCCAGGTTCGTAGTCGCCCCACAGCACTTGCAGCTGTAGACCGGCCAACTGCAGTGCTACCTTCTCGTTGACCGGGAACTCGTCGAGCTGCACCACGCTGTGCACAGCCTGGGCGTACATCAGGTGGTACTCGACCGGGTCTTGCGGGATTTCTCGCGGGTTGCGGAAGATGCGCTTGCGGAAGACAAACTTGCTGTCGCCACCGCCGAGCGCTTCCTTGTGTCCCTTCTTGGATACGGTCTGGTAGCGTGACATGTTGGCAGATGTTCTCTTGTCCCTGGAGTTGAGAGGACAGTGTGGTTGAGCATGTTAAAGCCGAATCACGGATCAGAGATTGGCAATGGTGTACAGGTGAGCCGCTGGATATCATTGCTCATCTTGTGTTTGAAGAGCTCCCACAACTAGCCGTGCGTGCAGCCCGGACGAAGAGCTCTGAATTCACCCCGGCTCCTTAGCACATGCTAGACCCCTGCACATACAACTTGACTCACACCATACCATGCCATCAACCATACCTAGATGCATCGGTATTCAATCAGAGCATACCTTTCCCACTGGCCAATGATGTCGGCGATGTACTCGTGGCCCTTGATATAGTGTTCTGCTTCCGGATTCAGCTGCAGAATTACACGCACGCACACAAAGCTTGTAGTACGTTGGTCACCCTGTAGTGTTTGAGCATACACTCAACATCCATGTGAGTCTGTATGGACTTTGGCTGGGTAGAACATTGGTGTAGATTAGACCACAACACATGTGACATCACAGTACTGTGTTCACTGCTGTACTGTTTTGATGCACTCACTCACTACAATGCAAAGTGCATCCAATATCAACACACTTGGTCAGCAAGACGTTATCATGTTGTTTCTCAGTATTGGAGCAGCCATGGACTTTGGGGGCAAAACACGCCACAAGCAGCATACCTCATAAAGCGCCCATCCGTCAACGCTCTGCAGTTCGATCTTCTCGGCCAGAGCTCTCAGCACATCAGATGCAGTCGCGGATGGATCCACTCCAACTGCCTTTGCCTTGCCATCCAGGAAATAGAATCGGCAGATGAGCGGATTGAGGTTGCGCACGGCCTGTATATAGAGTGAGAGAGAGAAAGCAAGCCACCAAGGGAGTAAGTTGAAGAGAGAGAGAGAGAGAGAGAGAGAGAGAGAGAGAGAGAGAGAGAGAGAGAGAGAGAGAGAGAGAGAGAGAGAGAGAGAGAGAGAGAGAGAGAGAGAGAGAGAGAGAGAGAGAGAGAGAGAAAGAGAGAGAAGGAGAGAGAAAGAGAGAGAGAGAGAGAGCACAAGTAAGACAAATGTCAAATTTCTTAACACAGCTTTAATGGACTGGATGGACATACAGGCTGAAGTATGTGGGAGGAATTGCTGCTTGTCCATTGCACCGCTTCAGAACTAGGTTCTTCTTTGCATCTGTCAGGTATAACTCTCCATGACGAGAATATGAAAACACATTAAGCACCTGGTGTGACTTACCGATATCTCCATGGCCGAAGGAGGATGCTTTCTTGGAGCCACACGAGTCAGACATATCGTACCAAGGCACCATCTGGCAAACCGCTGACGTTTCTCATCCTCAAAGTGCTTCTTCAGGAAGGCTTGGAGGAACTGTAGGCAAATAGATGAAGGAAAGAATCTCTACCAAGAATCTGGGACGATACATTCACATCAGGTGCAAGTCATGAATGGTGAGGGGTGTTTGTGCAGCCTTCAGGTGTGATATCAAGATGTAGCTATATGGGGCAGTGGAGGTGTTGTTCAGCTGCAGACTGACGTGAGCAATGACGGGAAGGGATGAGCAGGTTTGGTGCTGATGTGTGAACGTGAATATGCCTGTGACACAAGCTGAAGAGCCACTCATCTAGCTACAACATGCGGTGGTAACTAGCTGCAACTTGCGGCAAGTGATAATGGCTGATCTGTTGCAAACCCACCACCCACCTTGTTCAATGATCTTCCAGGTGTCATGGCCGCACAGGACAGGCAGAGAAGATGCCAGCCACGGTCAGTGTCCTCCTCACGGGGGTTCTCCGTCACCTGGCGCATGAGCTGGCAGAAGACCTCGTCGCGCAGCTCCGGTCGATCGATGGCGTAGGCGATGATGTTCTGGATGGTGATGTTCACCTGTTCTGGCTTCAAGTCGCCACGCATATACTTGCACAGGTCCTGCAAAACACAACACCAATCAAAGGTGTGACTCATTAGTCTAGGTCCAACAATCAATGGCGTGCCTGATCGGTTTAGGTACTGCATAAGTGTTGAGTGTTTTTTAAATATCTTTTTTCCTCTTTTTTCCCGCTTGAAGTGAGCCTGGGAAACTGGGTTCAAGAGCAACATTAGCTGAAGTCACTTTTAAATAGATGACCTATCTATTTTGTTGCAAATCATTTCATCATTGTGGCGATTTGTGACAGAGAAGGTTGACAGCACCTGATACTGCCTGCATCATTGATTCATAGATTTACGCTGCCACACAGGGAACTTGTTGCAATGAAAACAAGCTCGTGTCCACGTAAGCATTTCTCGTATTGGCTTGAAATGCATTGTGCCTGTTACGGTAGATAACTTTACTGCAGTGCTCTGGGGGCATGCGTATGTCTCCACTCCAGCTCCACCACATTGAATGTATACACAAGCTGATGATGTGAAAGGGCATGGGAGAAAGAAAAGCAACTAGCATACCTTCCAGATTGTGCAGGCCAGGTTGACGTTCTCCGGGTCGTGCAGGTGGATCAGTGACGTCGGTATTGACAGGCTCTTGGTGTAACGAATCATGTCTGCTTTGGGAAGGGCTTCCTGTGGGGCAGTCAGTTCAGTCAACAGCACAGTCATACAGTACAAGACCATCAGTATGGCAGATGTGGTCAAGTGCATTCGCAGAACCGCATTTGAAAGCATCCCAAATTCAAACATTGTACTGCAACTAAACTAGGGAATGATTCTCCCTCTCAGTATAGGCGATTTGGCCAAATGCATTTGCAGAACCAAAGCATCCACAATTTGAACACTGTACTGCAACTAAAGGAGTGTGTGATTCTCCTTTACCCACTTATGAATGCTAGCGTAATGGCAATGTTCATCAGAAAACGCAGTACCGGGGTCATTCATTGGACTCAACATTAGTGTGAAGTATTTGCCCCTGACCTGTTTGCTGAATTTCTTCCTCCTCATTGTGAACGTGCCTAGTCCGGTGATGTCCTTGGGATGGTTGTTGAACCACTTCTCGGCGAAGGTGAGCATGTCGAACTGCGCCGGGTCCTCGACGGTTTCCGTCTGCTTCTTGGCCGCCTCTTCCTCCTCCTGCAAGATCAGGAGCTTCTTCTCGATTCTCCGTTTTCTCCGCACTGTCCGCCCGCCTTCGGGCTTCGGCTGTGAAAGCACAAAGTAACCAAATGGTGGAGGGCATTTAAGTTCACTTGGCAGTAGTCATGGTTATTCTATTGTTCCTTTTTGAACATTGATCCAATCAACCTGCAATAACTAAGTGTGTGAATAACTGCAGTGTAAGAAACTACCTACACGTACACTGTACCAATGTAGGCTAGAAGCCTAGAAGGAGATGATGCTATACGCATGCTGATGCCCAAAGATGTAGCCCTTTCCCCTTCTAAACAATACCTGTGATGACTGGAACATGCCATCTAGCTCCTTGTTCAAGTCGCTCAGGAAGTCCTGCTCCTTGGCCACTTCCTTGGGCGCCTCCACCAGGAAAGTGAACATCTTGTCCAGGTCCACGGTGCCGCCGGAGCCCAGTGCCTTGTCCACCTTGGACTCTGCAATCTTGGCCAGCGAGTACAGTTCGCGCTGGGCTGACCTGGACATGAAAGGGAGCAGTGTACGTATACAACAACACACGGGCTGTATCAGCAGGAGGCGATCATGCAGAGAGACAGCTACGTAGGCATAGGCAGCCTGCCCCGTGTGCCTACCTGGGTGATAACTACATGTAGTAACAAAGTACCTCTAGAGAGTAACTAATACTACTAACTTTATACCATATTTCCTCGAATGTAAATCACACTTGTTTACACTAGACTTCAAGGGCAAAGAAGAGTGTGCGACTTACAATCAAGTGTGACTTCCTACTTATGTCAATGTATTGAAACAACTTGGCTCAGATCCAAAAGTGGGTTACGACTTATAATCGGGGGAATACGGTACTTACTCCAGTGACGCTTGTACAGCTTTCTGCCGTGCCTCCTCTCGATCGCGCTCTGCCATGGCGAGCAGCTCAAGGCGTCGCTTCTCCTCCTGTTCTCTCAGCTTCCGTTGCCTCTCCTCTTCTTCCTTGCGCTTTTGCTCCTTCAGCGCAGCGTAAATTTCTCTTGCGAACATTCCACGCAGATGGGACTGTAAGGAGAGGAGAGAACGGAAAGTATCAGTTTTCTAATAGGTCGTTTGAAGATTTGCGGTTTTGAAACACCCCACCGGGTATTATCAGCCTTCAGCATGTGTGTGTGTGTGTGTGTGTGTGTGTGTGTGTGTGTGTGTCCGTATGTGCACGCGTACATCAACATAAGAGAGTGTCGGGGGAAATGGTGATGTCCGTAACACGCTCACCTGAAGAGTAATGGCAGCGCGACGTTGCTTGATATACCAGAGGCGCTGCCTGCGTCCGCGGTACCAAGATTGGATCCTGACTGCCGCTGCTTTTTTCTTCAAGAACGCTGAACACATCAAAACACGAGAAAGATGCTGATACTTGCCACTTGGTGTTTTGGAATCTATAACAGTCCCACCTCCTCCTTGGAGATGTAGGTTCTACTCGGAACTAGGTGAGGAGTTTTATGAAAAGTACGACCCTTCATGAAAAACCAAAAATTAATTAGGTTGATAAATACACATAAACTGCATTCAAAGGCGGTGTACAGTGTGAGGCTATAAGAGCTGCTTGCTAAAAGCCATGCAGATCATTACCTTGTCGCTGTACATAGCCACGCCACACCTTCTGGATGAGAACAATCTTGGTGGTGAGCAGGATCAGTCTGCGTTCCTCTAGCGGATCAAACACACTGTTCCTGAGGAAAACCTAAACATGGTGACAGCAAGTCCCGAAAACCGTCAGTGCTCAGGTGTTGTGCCCATGTGTTGAACCCGGCAACTGACTGCTGCGTATATGCAGCACATGTATGTACACCTACATGTACTGCACAAGGTCATGCTTCACATGGATAAGTGTTTCACCCCGGCCTCACCAGTGTAACTTTGAACTACAATAAAACTCTGATAAGAGAGACCTACCCTCATGGGCAGCAGCAGACAAGTGTACCCGAGGTGCTTCTTATCCAAGCATACTCCGGTATGGATCACTACAGCAATGCTACACACAATGTCCGTGCTAAGCAAGAGCATGCCTTATCGGATTACATGTCAATTACTAGTACCTACTACGCGAGTTCTCCAATGCTACTAAGCGAGTTCCACTTTAAATTCATGTAGAGCCCAACTGCCAGCCATGACCGGCATCAAGAGCCGCAACCATCAATACAGCTCAAAGAACCAGCGGTGAGAGACCGTGATCAGACTACTGCTGATATTGGGCAAAGCATACTGTCACTGTATTTTAAACAAAGAGTATACACCTGCCAACCACGTATGTGCATCGGTATAGTGACTATAGTGATTGCACAGCTTCAATCAGGCTAGACAGAGTATTGCACTGTATTATGTCATGGCCATATTCTTTCCATTACATTTTCTGCGGCATGTGTGTCCTCACCATTGTTTTCCCGATCTGCCACTCTGTCTCCGGCACCTTGAGTGACTTGAGGATGTGCGCCACTGCTTTCTTCTCATCGCTCGGCAGCGTGTCATTGACAGCGAGGCAGCGATACTTATCCAGGAACGATGAAGCTGGTACGTGCACCGGGAAGCCCTGGAAACGGAGTACACAATGCCATGTGTGTTTCTCTTCTCCTTCAGAGCACATCTACTCAGCAGCATACACATATACAGGGTGCACTAACAGTTGTACTTGTAGTACGCATGTACATTGGCCAGAACTTGAAGTAGTGCCGTAGATTCCACTTGGCCAGGAATGCTGTATACTTTGTGAAGTATTTCCCAACCTTCACGACAATAATTATATTGGTGATTATGTATTTTGATTTTGGGATAAAGGGATCCTTGATCAAGCAGAAAGTATAGCCCTGTTCAGCCTTCGATCAGGATCAGAGTTTTTGTAGCTCCTATCACCCAACAAGAGATACTTGAAGTAATTTCAAACAAAAAGTTGTCATGTCCCGTATGAACACTACAGTATGATACATCACAATACTGTTGCATTATTGGTCTGTTGCTTTGGCAGTGTAATGTAATCACCGACCCTCCGCTCCTACCTCTCGCCGGATGCGAATGATGTCCAACATTCCGGAGTAACGTAGCTGAGTAATGATCAGTTCATCGTCATAGACCTTTGGCTTCTTGACGGAGTTTGGCTTCAGGCAGCGCACATACCTGCGACAAACCCACCAAAATTGCATTTCCAGCGCGGTTAGTTCAATGGTGTAAGTTAGTGCGGTGCATTCGCCATTATACAGCGTAGCACAACGCAACATGAATGGAACTCCCTTCAATTTAGACTATGTCTTTGGGAAATCCTTGAATAAAAAAGCAAATAAATAAACAGTTGCCCCAGGGCGAGGCGCTAAGCACCATTGGTTTGACGACAGTTATCATACAACCCATGTGTGCCTGTTAGATCGTGTGTACTGATGAGAACTACTTACCAGGGTGTTGTTGTGTCCAGCACGTCAACAAGACACATGAGCTGCTGCTTGAATGTGTCACCGACTGTGGGCTTGCCCTGTTTACATACCAGATACAAGAGGAGGAGAGAGATAGAGAAGGCATTTTTCATCGATGCACATCTGCATTCTGGGTTTCTGCTAGATATGTGTGTGTGTGTGTGTGTGTGTGTGTGTGCGCGCCACCGAAGATAGAAACACTAGCTGTGTGTAGAACGGTCCCCTTTCACCTCAATTACTCTCCTTGTTTCTTTTCCTTTCTCGCTGTTGTCTCCCGCTTCTGGGAGCGACGTGGCCATTTTGTGGCAGTTGTACATAGTAGTACATAGTAGTAGTGTGTGTGTGTGTGTGTGTGTGTGTGTGTGTGTGTGTGCGTGTGTGTGTGTGTGTATGTGTATGTGTGCGCGCATGTGTGTGTGTGTGCGCGTGTGTGTGTGCGTGTGTGTGTGTGTGTGTGTATGTGTATTGGAATGGGGTCTCTGCATCAGGTACTATACTCTGAAGAACTGTGTACAGCAAAAGCTGCAACGTGCGTTTCTCTTTGAGCCCCCAAAAACGCTATCAACTGCTTCACTCACTCACCCTACGCTGCGTGCTGGATTCGTTCAGCTTGTCCTTGTTGACGGCGATGGTCTTTGTCAACTCCAGTGTGGCCGACAGCAAGTCCTGCACGACAGATGGGCAATTTTATCACTAAGATACAGATAATAAACCGGGCATTCCAGCTATGCTAGTCCTGTCACCCACTCTATATGCATGTAATGCATCAAAGTTAAATCCCTGCTTGGTGATCACTGCCACTGCACTGATGGTGTGGTAGTGATCGGTAATACACGATACTGTTCATTCTACTTCTTTGAGAAGTACACAAGTCAGTATTGATGCTGCGGTATTGTAAGAGGTACGACGTGGCCATGCAGTGGTGTCTACAACGGGTGGTCGTGTTACACAACTGACTGTGACTGCTCCACGGAGAGGGGTCAGCGTACCTGGAATCTACAGATGTCCTTGACGAACGCCATGCTCGACTTGCGCATGTAGTCGAACAGCATGTCCTGCTGCACGTCCTTGTTCTTCTCCAGGAAGTGAGAGATGCTGTACATGACGGCGCCGGCGTAGTGCTGAATTCCAAACTCCATCTTCAGACGCCGCTTGTCCTCCGGTATGACGTAGTTTGGATGGCCACCGAGATCGGCGTGCTGTTTCTCAACGTATGACTCATCCGTACCCTGGTCACGCATAAAAGTGTTGAGCAAAGCCAGACCATCATTGATCAGGTACAATGCTGCCATCATTGTTCTATAACGGTATAAGGCTTTGATTCGCATATGTGTTGTGGCTAGTTCTGAATAACGAACATAGTTCCTTACTAGTTAGTGTCAAGCGTCAAAGAAAGATACATTGCCGTGGAAGTTGACTACCAACTGCATGTTCTTGCTAATTATTACCACATTGCAGAAATCAAAGATCGCCCCACCAATGCACATGACCAAAGCACTCCCACATCCTCAATCGTGGATGATATATCAACACATCTCGGGCATTATCGGGAGCCGAGACACGCGCTTGGCGCCAGCCGTACCTTTGGAAAGCGGCATTCATCGTCCAACATCCTCAGTACACATGTTGGGGCCTGTGAGCACACACAGCAAACAGTCACAGGTGCAGTCATGAAGAATGTTCAGTTATGAAATGCCTGTCCACCAGAATACTGCAACTGTCCATGTATTGTACCTGTGTAAGTACATGTGTTAGCATCAAAACAGTGGCTCTCGGTTCTGTGGAATGAGTGATGAGTAAAGGTGAAGCATGACTCTTGTTATGCATGCGTCGTTGCAAGCATCATTGGTATTGGAACACGATGGAGTACCCCCCCCCCCCCCCGCCCTTCTAAGTATCCTTTCCAAAATATGTTCTACCCGTCACGATGCCCTTACCTTCTCAATCAGCTCCAGACACGCTGTATTGTCTGTGAACTGGATGTGAGAGAAATTGATCTCCTCCTCTCGGTACTACAGGGAAAACAGCAAGACAATGGGTGTCACTAAAAAGTGTGAAAGGCGCTTGCTATGAGCTACGTACGGCTACAGCAGTTGTATTGTTCCCCGCGCTGACTGCAACAAAGCCAGCATACCCTTCTACAAGCACCATCAAGCCCTGTGAGTGTCTGTGTTCTCGTGCACCATAGAGCACACAGCACTTCAGCAGGCCTTTGTACACCTTTTTCTACACAACTACAATAATGCAGGTATGCACACACTTGCACTCTTCTCACTCTCTCTCTCTCTCTCTCTCTCTCTCTCTCTCTCTCTCTCTCTCTCTCTCTCTCTCTCTCTCTCTCTCTCTCTCTCTCTCTCTCTCTCTCTCTCTCTCTCTCTCTCTCTCTTGCGCATGTGCACAAACGGGCACACATACACGCACTCTCCTCTCCTTGTTGCATGCAGAAAAGTAGGTCTAGCTCAAGCTCTGACCTCTGAGACCGTGATAAGAGTGTTGTGTATATGAGTTACAAGGTACTAGTCATGATCAGTGTAAACATTAATGACACCATTGCACATGCATGCCTACTAAGCTTCAATCAAGCTTTGCCATGATACCAAACACACATTATTATTATAGCGCTACTCTCACCACCCTCCTATAACAAGGCTAGGCATACCATACAGTAGTTGCTCTGTCGCCTGGCCGTTCACTTACGATCTGCTGCTCCAGAGCAAAGACGTAGTGGTTGAAGAACTTGTGCAGCTTCTCGTTTGTGAAGTTGATGCAAAGCTGCTCGAACGAGTTGATCTAGCAACATTCAGGCATATAAGAACAAGTGAATGAGTTTCACAGTCTCCCCACGCATACAGCGAAAGAACAATGTTGTTACGTGCTGTAGTAGAACTGTAACTAGTCCATGGGTGGTGTGACCAGAGTGCAACGTATGAAGTCTTTGTGGTACACTTTCACAACAATAACACACACAGAAGTCTCTGCTGTGAGCACGGTGGCTCGGCAATGGCGAAGTATGAACTACATGAGGAAAGAATGCCGATAAATCTGCAAGCACGTTGAACTTCATCCGCCAAATGTTCCTTTTCTCTTGTCTCAAAGCTCTTTATGCCGCTGCGTAACCTTCTCTTCTCTGCCACACAACCACGACACACCTTTACCCTGCAGGTGCTCTTATGCACTCACCCCAAAGTTCTCGAAGCCAAAGATGTCCAGCACTCCGATGAACCGTGCCTTGGAGATGTCCGTTCGCGTTGACAAATTGATCTGATGCACTAGCCAAGCGAATGTTCGCGAGTACAATGCCTTGGCCATGGCATGGCGGTTGTCCCGGGCCTGCACATGGGGAAAAGAAATTTTGTTCATTTTAAAAAGAACTCAAGTTCAGACAAGACATGGGCATGCAGGTCCTTCGAGGAGATCGCCCAGTATCACAGACTTATCAGCTTTGACATACTGTTCCAATAGCAACAGTTTTGGCGACAGCAAAGAACTGCACATTGTACTGTTTCGGTGCTGAACTTGGAGCTAGGTCAAGCAGCAAATGGATAGGCATGTGTTCTTATTCACTCACAACCCACCATACAGTAACCTGCCCTTGTGGAGATACCCATCCGTGCGCCATGACAACGTGCGTGACCTATTGGCGGAGGCCATGCATGGCTGAGGTGTGCCGTCATGTGTAGCCAGAGCCTGCACTAACTCCTCTGACCAGTTGGGCATTACATGGCCAACTGTGAACTGTCAATACAGTGTGGTTACTTGTTATCAGGCAGGCATAGCACTACTACATTCCCACACTGCCAAACAGGCAAACAGGACAATGCACATACCTCTGGCAGCTTGTGGGGAATGTCGGTCACCTGGCCGCGCACGGTTAGCTGCCGTGTGGTCACCACCTTTGCAACGTCATCCCTGCCGAGGCCGAGCAGTGTTGCAATCTTGCTCACCGTGTCTCTGTCCTTCTTGGTCAGCTCACATGACTCACCGTCCACATCCTTCATTTGCCCAAACACACACACACCGTCAAATACAGAGAATCGACTGTAGTACAATGTAAGTTAATGTGTGAAAAAAGAAAGTGCTATTCACAAGTTCTAGCCTTTTAGTACTCCCATAATCTTCACTGATGAGATCTGTATGATCAAGACAACTGTATTATGAGAGGAGATGATGCTAGTGTCTGCTACACTTTGAAGCCATGCTGCTGGTATAGTGAACGGGGTCGGCTGTAGTCAGTAGATTACATGTGGTGGGGAGTGTGGACTCAGTACATGTATTGAGGTATAGTGACTGGCATGTATTGAGGTATAGTGACTTGCATGTATTGAGGTACATGTATAGTGATCTTACCTTGAACTCTAAGTTCCCCACGAGTAGGATAGCCGAGAGAACACTGAAGATACCGTCGCACATCTCCGGCGTGATGTTGAGCACGTTGAACGCCAGCTTGGTCATTTCGAACATCTTGACGTCGTCCACATCCTCCAGCTCGTAGCAACCACTCTGGTTGATGTAGGTGTAGTACTGGGCTGGTTCCAGTAGGAACTGCTTCTTGACGTCGGGAATCGCAGCGCCTGAAGCGGCAGTCAGTCAACAAGAGAAACCGTACTGGGGGTGAGCAGGGTTTACAAATTTCAATGTAGTTCAATACATTTCCCTCCTCATATGACCATGCACAGGACATGTGAACATTACACGCATGCATACACACACTTACCAGCGGCGGCAAGGCGATAGAAGATGTGATAGTTGCGCTCGTCCTTAGCCTGAAAAGTAATGCGGGACTGCTCGAGGAGGTAGTCCTGGATGACGCAACCGTTGATCTGATTACTCTTGTCGAAGCAGACCTGGATGAACTTTCCGAAGCGACTGCTGTTGTCATTACGAATGGTCTTGGCGTTTCCTGAACAGTGCACAGCATGTGTACATGTACATATGACAGCGCACAATAGTTTGTTCGAACGTCTGTAGAGCGACGATTTCTGTGGACCTGGGGGTGTTCTACTAAGCTGGCTTTCAGAGATACCCGCCGATACGTACCACTTCCAGGGTGTCAAGGGCCGTGCAAGTTAAGGGCACCAAGTATGCACCTCGCCGGGGTTGGATTTCACCGAACACAAATGTACACTGAGCCCAGGCAACTAGGGAAGCAGCACTCACCGAAAGCTTCCAGGATAATGTTGGCCTCCATGATCTGCTGCTGTACCCACTGTACCTCACTGCTGGTCACTTCACACAGGTAGCGCAGGATGTGCTTGGTTGTCTCCGTCTGCAAGACAACACCAACATGATACCACATGTTTAAAGGTTTAATACCGGCATGACCTAAAAACTGAACTAAAAAGGGGTTGGGCTGCTTACAACCGGGGTTTAACTGCCATTGAACTGAGGTCGACTTACAACCTAAGTTAACTACTTAGACATGTAGTAGTAACTGGTGAAAAAACAGTGGTAGTTCAGCACGTAAACATTCTCCTCCCCACATGTGCTCTTGATGTTGATGCTGATGTTGGTGGGGTACTACTGGTATGATCGTGACTCAGTGTGGTATTCTCACAGTGACATGCATATTTCAAAATCTCGTATTGCAGTGCATGTACTGTGTGGACAAAGTGCTTTATGGGTCCAGTGTAGACCGTTATGCGATTCCTGGACACCAGATTACTAGTATTACGAGATGAAGATTATAATTATACAGATCAAAAGTCCAATGCAATCCACCCTAAATCATGCATGATGTCATTATGTCCATCCAACACTGCCGGGTGTACTGAAGGACACGCATAAGCAGCTGCAGCATGTAATCATGTTTTTAAAAGGCATAATTGCTTAGTGCTGTATACATGTAACTGACCTTGCCTGCCCCGCTCTCGCCGCTGATGACACATGACTGATTGCGTGCAGTGCTCTGCAGGTGAGTGTAAGCTGATTCGGCCGTGGCGAAGACGTGTGGTACACCGCCGGTCATCTTCTTGCCCACATACTTCTCAATAGTGTCCTGTAAGGCATACGGATGCGATACACACTGTTATCTGTACAGCCCCTTCAAGTCATACACACCTTGATTGATCCGTACTGCTCCTGCTAACCCCACGCACCCACACTGTAATTCAGACGTTACTCATGTTAGTACATGTACAGTGTTGCACAGAGAAGTCCCAATGGTCCACCGTCAGTCATAGCGAATGGTGTGAGTAGTACTGGATCTGATAACATTGCTAGAATAGCAAATACTTCAAAGTGTTGCGCATGCACAGTGGCACAACTGGTCCATCTTTCAGGGGGTGCTCTGCATGATAAAAAAATTGTCAGTATTCTTGAAACAGGTGGAGTTGTAGGTTTGTAATTGAAATTAGGCCATTTGGCCTGGACATTTTATTTTTTTATTTTATTTTTATTTTTTTACTAAGTACACAACCTACTCGTCAGAAGGGGAGAAGACAACAGAGTATACAATAACAAAACAGCAGGGAGAATAGGGGCTGCAAAGCAAGCCTGTGCTGGTGAGGCAAGCCCACAACACCCACCTATGGTCTCGGCGTTAACGTGAGCTTGCGCACCACAGCCTAAAAGAAGGGGGTGATTTAGCGATAAAGACAAGAGAAGGTTAGGTAGAACATGCACATGCTGAATGACGGTCGAAAGATGTTTGGGGACGCACAAGCCCCCTGTGCCCTCACACTGGCTATGTGCCTGCATGTATGAGGTCGACATACGTACCTTTTCGTAGATAGGGAAGAACTGGTATGGATTCACAGCAACCAGGATTGTGCCCGTGTAGGTCTGTAGAATTGTGCTAGTCAAGGAAATAGTTTTTGACAAAAAAAAGAATGTCCTCCCCGGCCGGGAATCGAACCCGGGTCTTCCGCGTGACAGGCGGAGATACTTACCACTATACTACCGAGGATTGACTGATGAATGCTGCAACGACTGATAAGGTGAAGCTGGACTTAGTGTTGCGAACAACCGGCAACACAACTCGGTTCAATCCTTCCATTTCCTTCCCTTTTCACTTTATTGTTTCACTTCGGTATTATCCCACAGGCGATCGGCCTTCTTACAGGCTAAATACAGGAGCCCAAAGGGAAGTGCATGAAAGAAGTCTGCCCAGCGTTGACTCCGAGACCCACGGTCGGACGAGCTGCCCAGGCCTCACCACCACTGCCGTTTCTGTGCTGCCTTCTCGATACATACGTATGTACACTGTATATCATGTGCACATTCACATGTCTGAAGGTTTGTGGTTTTTCAATAAAAAAGAAAAAGAAGAAAAGGAAGGTTTGCACTGGTGGATTGGTACTGCTCTACTACTATCCACTATTCACTGCACTAGTCATCTGGTCATGTGCTGTAATGTGATACGTATCCAGGTTTTCACAGTCAGTAACTGTTTGTTTCTGTATCAAGTGTATGTATGGCCGGCCCTATTGCAGTTTCAATGAGGAGAGGGCAGGTAGACTGCGGCTTGTCTCACTTCCTACATGACTGCACTATACTATCAGCATGTTTCGATCAATTGCAAGACCTGTGCAAGTACAATGTCAATGGGAAGAGGGTCCGACAATCACACACTGATCTCGTTTTCATGGAAGGACCTATTAATTTTGATGTACTAGTCTATGTATGTGTACCAGTGCGTGTGCATTTGAACGTGAAGTAAATGGCAAGGATACGTAGATCAGCTCTTTGCTGTAGCGAGTTCTCAGGTTGGTGTTGATGCCAATTTCGTCGATTTCGCTGATCACGGTCATGTCCGGAACACCATCCTCAGGCCTGGCACCTACAACACAGAAGACACGTTACAACCACCAACGGGTGCACACTGAGCAACTGGCGGCAGTGATGGCGCTCCGGAGGGAAGTCCGAGCGCATAATTCAGCATGATTATCCATCATTGACTTCAATGTTTACTTCGACTCAGGGCCGGCGGAACCGGTCAGGCTGGTCCGGCCATGGCCGGACCACTTTCCCAGCTGGATTGGACCACTTTCCCAGCTGGATGGTCCATGTGATTCGTGCAAAACCGGTGTAAAAAAATCCAGAGGTACATGACTCGACTGTATTGCCGACGTGTGATGTGCTTCGAAGTAGCTCAGGACTCCGTGACCGGCACTGTATGGCTGATATGGATAAAAAAAAGTTGTGTTTGTGTTCTTTCACTATAATTTTCTGGAGCCTTAGAGATGCCCAAATTCGCTCTATTTCACGTAAATTTTAAATATTTCTCCCGGGGGACGTCCCCCGGACCCCCCTCAAAAGTTCGCCGGACCACTCCCAAACTCCTTCCTCCGGCCCTGCGACTGAGATCTGACATTCACTTGAATCCTATCCAATGGAATTAGCATGTGATCAGTCAGGGTGTGCTGAGGACATACCAACACACAAGAGCCCTTACCGGACGCCGCCAAACGCGGCCTTTCCAAGACCTGCGCCATGGTTGGACCAGCCCAGCTGGGAGATGGATCCTTTCAGCTCACACAGACTCGCTCTCCTTCCCTAAGTTTCTGCGAGCGCTTCACATCGGGCACCGGTTCTCAACGGACAACTAAAGGAACGACCAAGTGAGAATCATATCGAGCGTCTCAGCTTCACAGGTCCGTGCTTGGCTAGTTTGAGCTCGCAGCATCAAGCACACGTTATGTGTCAGACCCGGTAGCCGCAACTTCTGCTGTTACACGAGCTTCGCACGCACGACCAGCGACCCCAGGCATACAAATTTCAGATCTGCTATTTCAGTAAATAATTTGTCGCCATCCGAGCTTCTCAGAAAGCATCTTCGGAGCGTCCCCCTCCCGCTAATGAGCCCGTACCTCTGGCAACGCCCTAGCGCCCTAGCTGCTAGCGCCCGAGTCATGCCTCTCGCATGCTTGCAATGGCATGGCGTGGACACGACACTCCACTGTCTGTCTCCAGTCAACCGGTCCTTGTCTACGACCCAGCTTACCGCATGCGCACGACGCATTTTGATGGCGTTACCGTTGGTGACACACACACAGCTTCACAACTAACACGACAACTCCGCAAGTCAGCAGATCAGGGAACAGAGTTGTCAAAACTCACCGACGCGTCCAACTATGTAATAATAATACGGTCTTACTCTGAAGACTGAAGTCCACAACTCCATGCATGATCCTCCCAACCAGAGTGTTACCTCCACTGACAGTCTGTATGCTGGACCAGGCTCCAGATCCAGTAACCGTACTGCGTCTGTCTGTAATACGCATTACTCGTCTACAGCGTGATGACCGGTTACGGTCGTTTGACTAGCACGAGTTTACGCCAAACAAAAAAAGTCCGACAAGCTCTCAAAAAAGTCAAAATCGTGTTCACGTGACGTAAAAACGAACCAGATCAGCACGTGCGTGATCATGGTGATGGAAAAACCCAGTCAAACAGCAAACAAATCCTTGTTGTATGAAGCCTATTTTTTATTGGAAAGGCTTCCTGTCTGAAGCCTTTCCATACTGGTACTCGATGTTCCAGTTTTGTGACACGAGAATGGCACGAGAATTAGTGTACCGCTGAGTGTACCGCTATACACGTGGTCGACACTTAGTCGACACGTTGTTGATACTTTTTTGACACGTGACCCCGTCAACGGTCTGCTTTGTGCCAATGCCACTCGGTAAACGCCGATGCCGCGTACGACAAAGACGACTATCCCGTACGCGAAACAATTGAGAACTGCATGACGTGGACCTGACGGCAAGGACAACTGCGAGGAGACCCCTTTCGGTCGACGGGAAGGAGAACTGCATGCAGAAGTCGACGAAGTCGAACGAGGAGGCCCCTTTCCGTACCCCGTACTGCAAAGTGCCATTGATGGATGCCTTTTGCACCTGGAACGACCCCTTAAACGCTGTCGCGGCGACTATCCCGTACGCGAAATAGTTGAGAACTACTGACGTGGACCTTTTGCACCTGGGACGGCCCCGTAAACGCTGTCGACGATGTCGTGTCGGCGGAGTGAATGTGCAGGGTGAAAAGAATTGCTGCAAAGACGTCCGCTCTAGGCCTTTGGAGACATCGTGGGAACTCCTTCCGGTACTATACAAACTGCTGACGTGGCCGTGGACATGTACATGGAGACATGGTGGGACTTCATGTACATGAATACATGGTGGGAATTCCTTCCGCCACCCCCGTACCGCAAAGCCAACGGTGGGGAAGGAGAAGTGCAGACGTGCAGGAAGACGAACGAGGAGGAACCAGGACGAGCGAGCAATGGCAGGACTAGCTGGACCGTAAGTAATAGCTGAATTGTGCATGACAACTTGACATCCATGCGGCACTCGCCACTTGCCACTGCATATTTCTTGTCCACTAACAATGTCTCTCCTCTGCCCCCTGTGTGTCCACGGCCCTGTTGCTGAATTGGCCCGATGAATCGAATGTCTTCCGCAACTGGAACGGCCCAGTAAACGATGTCGCGTCGGCGACTGAATGCGCTGGAGGGAAAATATTGCTGCGAAGACGTTTCCTCTAGACCACGGTAAGGCAACCCATTGATATGTTGCCAGTTACCTTCTACTAACACGTTATCAGGTGGAGAGTGTCTTGTACTCACGTTATCAGGTCGAGAGCGTATTGTAGTCACTCTCTCTATTCCTGTACTTCATTACGTTTAAGGTGTACGTATAACTTCTCAAAAAAATTTAATGGTCTACAGTCGTGTCGGAAGGGTACGGTGGGACTGTAGACCTGTTACCTTCTAACACGTTATCACTATATCAGGTCGAGAGCGTATTGTACTCTCTATTCCTGTACTTCATTACGTTTCAGGTGTACGTATAACTTTTCCAACAAATTTAATGGTTCACGTCTTCAGATAGAGAGCGTATTGCACCCACTGTCTAGTCTCTGTAGTGCATTGAGATTTTGTTGATCGCACATGAAAATGGATACACAGGCAAAGCAGGCCAAGTACATGGCGAGATGTCGCCAGAAGAACGTCTTCAGATAGAGAGCGTATTGCACCCACTGTCTAGTCGATTTTGTGGATCGCACATGAAATGGATACACAGACAAAGCAGGCCAAGTATATGAGAGAGTGGACGATGTGCGGATCGACACGGCCTGCGGGTACTTCATTAAAGTTACCCGTGACATAACTAGGATAAAAGTTAATCACTGCAAAGACATTGCCAAGTATGTGAGCACTTTGGACTTGACAGAAGAGTGCAAGGGCGACGTTGACAAAACATACCGCGGTGACTGTCACCATCATGACAGCAGGGCACATCGCACGCAGCATCGCAGATCGTGTCGAATTGCGCATCATAATATTGCAAAATTGCTCCTGTGCAGGCAAGTGGATTTCATTGCACTTCTCAGTTTGGGAAATGCTCGATTATGACAATTCTGCGTGTGAGTGCACTAGCCCTGAACATACATGTAGGTGACCCGTTTGTGGTGTCTCATAGCTAGCCCTTTCCCAAAGATGCTCGCCACTTTTTTCGGAACTTTTCGGTGTTTAGGAAGAAATCGCAACTTTCACAACTTTCTTCATTTTTCGGAACTATTTCGCAATTTCTCCGCAACCTTGGCGCAATTGGCCCCATGGTATGGGGTCGAAAGATCAAGTCACCGACTACATGTTGCATTGTTGGACAAATACATACTCGTGCTCGCTCATTTCTCGCCTGCCTTCAGGCTCATTTCTGAGAAACAGTAGATCAACGGTAGTTACGATAATTATGTGCATTCCCTTTTCCGTGCACTGTAATGATGTACATGTACATGTAGGATACATGCAACAGGCTACTGGCACTGTGTAAAATGGTGGTTCACAGCAGGAAGGGGTGTACGAGTTTGCTGTCGCAGCATCGCTGCATTTCTGCTATTTCTGCTCCCTGTTTTGTAGGTTTTGCACAAGAACTCTCCAATTTTGAGTTGCGATGTTGGCAACTTTTGAGCTTTTTCTGAAAATATGGATGCGATTTCAGCAACTAGCACTTGTTTTGGCACGGTTGCGAAAAGCATAAGTTGCGAAAAACTATGGCATCTTTGGGAAAGGACTACTCATAGCCTACCTCACGACCTTCTGCTTTCTTTCTTCATCACTTGTATCTTGCAGGTATATCATCCCGTGACGACCACATTGAAGTCTGAATTTGAAGTGTGAAGATGCTTCAGCAACCACATCGTACTTTTCCATTGCTTTCATTGTGCTTCTACTGTGCATGTGTGTAACTTGTGGGGTAAACATGTGATGACATTGTATGCTGGCGACACGGTCAGATGTTGTCCATGCGTCTAACGTACACGTGCATGTTATGCATTGAAAAGGATTTGCCACTTGCGATCCTGGGACGAGTATCAGGTCAGCTTTGTCCTGTCTGGGCTGTATCAGATTGCTGTTCACTTCTCTATCTGTTGGATGTGTGACTTTCTGCAAGTTTCTGGTGTATGATGGCCACTTCCTTTCTTGTCACTTTGTATGATATTACATTCTGTATTCGCTGCTTCCATGGCGTGGTCTGCAAACTGCAATCCTTGGGCAAATGTCATGTTTGCTATGTTGTGCTTTGGCCGTCAGCTTGTCTACACGCTGTAGTTGAATTATTTTTGTTTCACAACTGACTTCCTCAAGTACGGTGGCCACTGCTTTGCATGGCATTATATATGAAGAATTTCCTGTTTGTGTCGTGCGCATGTGCGTATGTGTGCGTGGCCACGTGTGTGTGCCGTGTGCATGTGCGTATGTGTGCGTGGCCACGTGTGTGTGCCGTGTGCATATGCATGTTTGTGTATCTGTGTGCGGGGTAGCGAGGCGGGGAAGGCTGGTATGTATCAGTGTTTTATTGCAGTCTCATGGCTACATACAGTACATCGCGCGTGGTCATCATGTTTATCTTCGGGGTTGGGGTGGGGAGGGAACGGAAAAAGAACTGAAATTATCCATATAAAACCGCTCTGTGAGCGGTTCTGAAAAACCTTTACTGGTACTGCCCCGTCGTAAAAGTAAGAAATTAGAACTGGTCCATTGTCCTCCCAAATGCGAACTGATCCACCTAAATCATGAATGACGGGACCCGAACGCACCAGTAGCACGAGGTTCCTACCTGTGGACGCAGATGGGGACGTTGGTCCGGACCAAAGGCCATGTACTGTACTAGCGGTAGGTGGTGTTGCGTATCGGAGCGTCAGCTTCGATATAACAGTGTATTGCCTATGACGTCAGTCATTTCCTTCAACCCAGACCGGTCTTCAAAGTGCAAAAAATAAAATCCAGGCCCAACCCAGGATCGTCGCCTTTTTTATTTCCGCTCAACCCTAGATAGGTTTGCTTTTCAGCGTTTTGTTTGTCAGGTTTTACAGTAGTTACCGTTTACCGTAGTATTTACTATAGCGATGGAGGACAGTACTGCGCTCGTTTCTGCCGTTTCCTCGGCCGTGCAGGGTTTGTTGGGCCCGCTGGAGGATCGGCTCAGCGCCCTTGAGGCTTCATTGCAGAGTCGCCGAACTGGTCCAGCGGACAGTTCGGCACCGACTCCGGGCACTTCAGCCAGCATGTCTGGTGAAGCTGACCCTACAGACTCTTCGAGTGGGCAGGTCCCATCGAACGAGGTTGTGGACGAGCCGAAGCATGCTTCGGTGACTCCCGAGATTGCAGAATTCCTGGAGAAGGAATTTAGAGTTGGTCTGAAGACCAAGGACCGGAAGGAGATCCTGGACAGGTTTCCCCGGCCAAACACCGAGGTAGCTGTGACCCCGAAAATGGATTCGGAGCTGTTGGAGTTCCCTGGGCTGGCGTCCTCGTACAAAAAAGGCGTGGACACCAACTTGTTCTCAGTCCAGAGTAGCGTTTTGGACTGCCTGGGCCCGCTAACCGAACTGTGGATGGAGGCGCAGCGGGCCCTCGATGCTGATTCGGGTCTTGACCCGCAAGCTGTGCTGGAGCTGATACCAGTTGCACTGCGCCTTTTGGGCAACGCACACCATAAGCTGTCCTCGCAGCGCCGGCATGCTTTTCTGGAGCACCTGGATAAGGGTTTGACTGGCATGGCGGATGCCCCTTATTTGCAGGCTGGCACAGCTCTATTTGGGCCAGAGTTTTTGGCCCAAATGCAGGGCAAGGCTGACTCCCAGAAAGCTCTGGCTGATGTGTTGCGTCGCTACCGTGATGCCCGTGGCGGCACTAAGCCTCGCTCCCACTCAGCTAGTACCTCAGCCGCAACGGGTGGTGGTCAGTTTTTTCGGCGTTCCGGGACTGGCAAGTACGGCGGCAGCTCCCGGTATCAGCCCTACCGCAGCCCGTACACCAACACCCCCGCAGGCCGCAGTCCGTATCGCGGCGGCAGCTCTCACTCCTCTCCGATGTCCCGAGGCGGAGCCTCCAGCCAGTCCAGCTCCCACCGGAAGGGCAGTCGGTCCTAGAGACCTTCCTCCCGTCAGCTCTACGGGAAGTGGTGCCCGACGAGATCCTCCGCGCCGGGTCTTCATTGCCCTCCTGGCGGATGCCATTCGTGATATCGGCAGAGGAGATGGCCATCCCACACGGGGGTCGGCTTCGCCATTTTTACGAACGGTGGACGCTGCTGTCGTCCGATCCATGGGTCCTACAGTCAGTTCGTGGGGTCCACCTCGACCTCCTGAGTGTTCCAGTTCAGTCTACATGGCCTCATCCACGCCCATTGACAGCGGCGGAGACTGCGGCTGTGTCAGAGGAAGTCAGTTCCTTGGTGCAGAAGGAGGCGATTTACGCCCTCCCCAGCAACACTCCACCCGGTTGGGTCAGCTCCATCTTCGTGGTTCCGAAGGCTGGTGGGAAGCTGCGCCCGGTGGTCGACTTGCGGGCCCTGAACGGATATGTCCCGTATCATCATTTCAAGATGGAGGGCATCGGCACCCTCCGGGACTTGCTCCAGCCTGGGGACTTCCTCACCCGGCTGGATCTGAAGGATGCGTACCTCACAGTGGCGATGAGGGCCAGCGATCGTCGTTTCCTTCGTTTCAGCTGGCAGGGAGTTCTGTACGAGTTCCGGTCACTCCCATTCGGCCTGTCGTCAGCCCCCTGGACATTCACCAAACTCCTCCATCCGGTGGTGGCGACACTTCGCCAATTCGGAATCCGAGTGATCATCTATTTGGACGATCTGCTCATCCTGGCGCATTCGTTGCTGGCCGCTCGGGAAGCTACGGCGTCGGTTGTGCACCTGCTCTGCAGCCTCGGCTTTGTAATCAACTTCAGCAAGTCGTGCCTGGTCCCTTCTCAGGAGACCACGTTTCTGGGTTTCCTGGTGTGTTCGACGACCATGACAATCCAGATCTCACAGGATCGCCGGGACAAGCTTCTGCGGACCTGCCGCCAGCTACTTCAGGCGGATCGCACAACTGTCCGCGAGGTTGCCAGCGTGGTGGGCATGATGCAGTCAGCGTGGCCGGGAGTGTTGCCAGCACCTCTCCATCTCCGGGGCTTGCAAGACTTGAAGAATTCCGCTCGCCACGCAGCATTGGCATGGGAGTCTGCTCTGATTCTGAACTCTGCGTCCAAGGAGGATCTCCGCTGGTGGGTTCGTTTTCTGGACTCTTGGAACGGTCGTCCCGTGAAGGTCGAGTGTCCAGTGCTGACGATTGCCTCGGATGCCTCGTCCCAAGGGGGCGGCGGAGGTTGGGGCGCAGTCTGCGGGACGCAGACAACGGGTGGTCGTTGGTCTGCCGCGGAATCTCGGCTCCACATCAATGCTCTGGAGCTCCTGGCCGGGACATTTGCTGTCCAGTGCTTTGCCCGTCATGTCCAGAAGGGTCTTGTGTTGCTTCAGATGGACAATCAGTGTGCTGTCGCGTACGTGAACCGCATGGGCGGCACTCGGAGCCAGCGGTTGAATTCGCTAGCCGCGGAACTGTGGCACTGGTGCCTGGCCCGCCAAATCACCATTCGTGCCGAGTACATTCCCGGGGCCCTCAATGTCATAGCCGATTTCTGGTCTCGCAATCACAGTTCCTCAGAGTGGCATCTGCTTCCTCAGGCGTTTGCCTTGCTGAAGACCCGATATGGAGGTTGCCACGTGGATCTCTTTGCCACTCGGATCAACACGCAGCTACCGGACTTTGTTTCGTGGCATCCGGACCCACAGGCGGTGGCGACGGATGCGTTCTCTCAGCCGTGGCAGGAGATGGACGGGTATGCGTTTCCTCCCTTCTGCCTGATCGGCAAGGTCCTACGGCAGGTTCAGACTCAAGCTGTCCCTCGGTTGCTCCTGGTCACCCCATTGTGGCGCGGGGCCTCGTGGTTCCCAATGCTGCTCCAGATGGTGTCGGAGGCGCCGACGTTGCTACCACACGACAGGTCCCTGTTGACGGATCCTCTCGGCAATCCTCACCCATTGATGGCCAATGCCCGCCTCCGCTTGGTCGCGTGGCCCATCTCCGGCATTCCTACTCTATGTCAGGGTTTTCTGCAGCAGTGTCCGACCTCCTCGTTGCCTCCTGGCGGACCAACACCTCCCGTCACTATGACAGCGCTTGGGCACTGTGGAGTCGCTGGTGTGCGCAGCGGTCGATCGATCCGCTTCGCCCCGCACTGACTCGTGTTCTCGAGTTCTTGTCCGACCAGTTCCAGGACGGTCGCGCGTTCCGCACTATTTCTGGCTACCGGTCCGCTCTCTCTACCATGCTCCCTCCCGTCGACGGCACATCAGTTGGCTCTCACCCTACTGTGGTTCGGCTGCTCCGTGGTGCGTACAATCTCCGCCCGCCTGCGCCTCGCTACACCTTCACATGGGATGTTCAGCTGGTGTTGGATTTCTTGCGGTCATGGCCAGATGTGTCCGTTCTCAGTGACAAGCAGCTTACTCTGCGCCTTGCTATGCTCCTGGCGCTTTCTGGTGCATATCGTTGTGGCGAGCTTTGTCTGCTCTCAAGTGTCTTTTCCCAGCTCTCCGATGGCTCTGTCCGGCTCCCGCTCCTTGGTACTCGGAAGACCCAGCGTGTTGGTGAGCCTCTGCAGACGGTCCAGGTGTGCCCGTTCTCTGTTGCTGCCCTGTGTCCTGTTCAGCATCTGCTTGAGTATGGCCGTCGATCTGCCGTGTGGCGGCTAGATGGCTCTGGTCCTTTGCTGCTCTCGTTTCGTAAGCCGCATAAGCCTGTCTCTTCTCCCACCGTTGCCCGTTGGTTGAAGGAGGTGCTTGGTCTCGCTGGCATTGATACTGCTCAGTTCTCGGCTCATTCTTCCCGTGGCGCGGCCACATCTGCTGCTGCCCGTGCCGGTGTCTCTACTGCTGTTATATTGGCAGCTGCTGATTGGAAGCGTGCTACTACATTTCGCCGCTTCTACTGCCGTGATGTCACCCCGCCGGCTGACTGCTTTAGTGCTGCGGTTCTGCGCTCTGCTACCGCTTAAGTGTGTCCTGCGGCTTTGCACCTGGCGCTGCCCATGCTGGCATGGCTTTTTCTTTCGTTGTGTGCGTCTCTGACCTCTGCATTGTGTGATCAGGTCTGTTGACTACATGCTTTGTTGACACGTCTTGTTCTTTATTTATACTTCGGCGTGCTTTCGGTGCGCCTTTCAGTTTCGCCTTCCTTCTCGTTGGACTTGGCCTATTTCCATACTTGGCATGGTTTCTTTTGCATCTCCCGTCCCTACCGGGTTTGCTATTATCCACTTTATGTCCTCGGTTTAGTGTTTGGGCTATGGCTTGCTATTTGCTTTCATATATCATGGCTCTGATAATATTGTCCCGCTTCACTCCGGTGTGGCGCATGGTCACCTTTGCTCCTCATTGGTGGTCTGGATTTATAGTGCTGGGGTTTGTTCAGCGCTTTTAACAATACACTGTTATATCGAAGCTGACGCTCCGATACGCAATTGCCCATTTCGCTAGCAATGGTACATTGCGACGGGAAGTGGGAGTTGTGTGAGGAGCGGAAGCGAGATATAACAGTGTCCCACCCGGCCCTTCCCTTTCTCTTGTCATAAATTAATGATCATAGGGTTTCGCTTCAATAACAGGCGACGATCCTGGGTTGGGCCTGGATTTTATTTTTTGCACTTTGAAGACCGGTCTGGGTTGAAGGAAATGACTGACGTCATAGGCAATACACTGTTATATCTCGCTTCCGCTCCTCACACAACTCCCACTTCCCGTCGCAATGTACCATTGCTAGCGAAATGGGCAATTACCCTATGATAATTGCTGTCCTGTGCCCTCCCGACCTCGTGCTACTGGTGCGTTCGGGTCCCGTCATTCATGATTTAGGTGGATCAGTTCGCATTTGGGAGGACAATGGACCAGTTCTAATTTCTTACTTTTACGACGGGGCAGTACCAGTAAAGGTTTTTCAGAACCGCTCACAGAGCGGTTTTATATGGATAATTTTTAGTTGTGCTTCCTCCATGATCCAGATTGGTTGTAGACTAGTCGTGCTGGTGATGGAACATGAGTGCAACTTTGAAACCCGTCCCTTTCCTTCCTGAGGAGATCAAACGACACGTGAAGGATGAACATCGAACAATTTTTCTCAGTGAAGAAGCATCAGGAATTGCTCGAAGTCAAATTGTTGCAGTGAAAGCACAGCATGGCAGTCCGGATACTCTAGCTCTCGTTCAAGTTGTGGATAGTGGTGTTTTGCAGTCACTTGAGCAGCTCCATGGAGAGTTCTTACGGATGCCATCCTTCGTCAGCACTGAGAATCTCAACTCGTCCACTGCTTACAGCTCTCCATGCTTGCTGAGTAATGCCAGGGCACATCCCGTAGCTTTCCCACGTGGACTAGCCACCGTTATTAATGTAAGACCCTAATATGGATAGGACAGATACATGGAATATGTGTGTGTGTTTTCACTGTGCAAACATCCTTTCCAACTTATGAAGGAGAGTGAACTGTGTGAAACAAAATGAAGAATGTGAATATTCAGTCAGACCTCACTTTGCAACATACCTATTCGTTTTGCGTTCATCAAATATCCGGATAGGCGATGGACCAGAATTTGAAGTCGCACGCAACACGGAAACCCGAGTCCAGTCAATTGTTGCATAGCAATTGGCGTAATGTGCAGTCATGCTTCAAACTAAACAATTCCACGTGAATAGAATAGTGTGCCAGTGTAGTTCAGTGTGCCCCCATTGCATTTGCTATGGATCCATGGATTGTTTGTAGGATAGATAAACAAACCTCAAAAAAGATCTTGATTAGATAGCACATAATCTTAGTCTTGAGCAGAATCGATGAAATGTGTACCATGTGCCCGTAAAATATTACCCAGTGGCCCAGCCAGGATTACATTCAGGCAAGGGGCCCTCGCTGATAAAGAGCTTGGGAATTGCTCCATAACTGGACATGCACAGGACCAAACGTTTAAGTCTCCAACCCCTGCCCTCTATGCCCCTCTCTCTCTCTCTCTCTCTCTCTCTCTCTCTCTCTCTCTCTCTCTCTCTCTCTCTCTCTCTCTCTCTCTCTCTCTCTCTCTCTCTCTCTCTCTCTCTCTCTTCTCTCCCTCCCTCCCTCCCTCCCTCCCTCCCTCCCTCCCTCCCTCCCTCCCTCCCTCCCTCCCTCCCTCCCTCCCTCCCTCCCTCCCTCCCTCCCTCCCTCCCTCCCTCCCTCCCTCTCTCTCTCTCTCTCTCTCTCTCTCTCTCTCTCTCTCTCTCTCTCTCTCTCTCTCTCTCTCTCTCTCTCGCTCTCCCCCCCCCCCCATTCCTCCATATCCACCACTGATTCTATTATGCACATGCATTTTGGCACCAAAGAATAAAAATCATAACAAAACTAACTTGTGACAAGTAAAGACCAATCCCTGGTTCCCCGCCACTCTATGCAGGATGCACTGCCTTGCCTGACCTCTGCTTGCCTTTAGAAATGCACACTCTGATTACACATCCATCTGGGGTGCCGGGATGTCGGAGGAAGTGAGAAATGCGTTAGAGCCGTGATATATTTCAGATGTGTGAGTCCCAGGGGAAGTTGGTTGCTCCCCACACTGGAGCTCGTGCTTTCCCGCCTACCTGATTTGACAAAGGCGCAAGCCCCGGTGCGGGGAGCGACCAACTTATAAGGTTATCGCCGAGGTTGCTAGCACTATTTGGCACTGTGTGATCCCTGTCATTCTTGTGCCCTGTGACTGTGCTGCCCCTGCTGAACACTTTTTTGTTCTCTGCTGTGTGCTCTTGCCTTGTACAGGCTGATTGTCAGTTCTCATCAGGTACGGTGCTCTATGCTAAGTGCTTTGGGTAATTTAAATCTGTACATGTATCCGTCAAAAGGGACGAGCTTCTTCTATATGTTTTAGTCCTGTGGTCACAGAATCATTGTGTGTTCTGTGTCCTCGTTGAGCGGAGATCTCCGTGATAACTAATGTCCATTGCTGAGTGATTGACTTATTTCATTGCCATCTTACTTCTACAGTATGCAGTGATATGGCCTTTTGTTTGGAGACAGCAATGAATACACTTTATTAAAGATATCATTAGGTAGATAAACTGTGCATTCAGCCATATGAAACCCAGGCTCTGGGGTGAGCGGTTGCTACTCTCGGTCTATACGTGTATTGATAGAATGCATGTACATGTACACTCCATGGACGTTATTGTTGATTACAGCTGTTTGCTTTATTTTCCCTTGATTTTGTGTATAGCTGATGACGTACCCAGTGCATCAGAGGTTCACATTCAGTTTTGTGGCGGAGCTCAAGTGAATGATGGGACTGACGCAGCACTAAAAGCGTACTTTCACCGTCCTCGGTGAGTCTGCCTTCTGGGCTCTGTAACTGGTAATGTTTCCCATTCACCTTCAGGACGCACTGCTAGTTGCAATGGCGCTCTATTGGTACCGTGAGCTGACAACTTGTACCGAGTGAAACATCGCACCATCATGCATTCCATGAAGCCCAAGAGACTCAGTACTAGTATGCAGACTGTAGTTCTTAGTTGTGTGTGCACATGGACTTACTCCATTGGATGTGTCATCATAGTACTAGTGTTCATTATTGTATTGTATATGTTGTGTTTTCTGCTTGCTTTTTCTGCTTGTCAGGTTCTTATCGGTCGGCTGGGTTTTTGCTATACCTGCAGTAGCTGATAGTAAGTACTGTAACACATGTAATTTTAGGTGCATCAACATTTTGGTGCTAGGGACCTGCCAGGTTTCAGGTGTAATTTAGAATTAGGTGACCAGCATTCCCTGCACATACAGTGTATACTCTGGTGTCTTTTAGGTGTAATCTAAATTTAGGTGCTGGTTTTCACTACCGAAATCACCGGAATTAAAGTTTAATACACCGAAAATATCGTGTTTTACAGTAGTATGCACAGTGTTGCCTTAAGCCATGGAGTCACGGGTGAACCTATGGCATTGTTGCTCACCACTGTGCAGGCATGTCCGGGGTATAATACAATGGCAAGAGTACAACAATGTCGCCGTGGGATCGGTTTTGTGCTGCATAGATGCGGAGCCGCATGCTCTGGTTTATGTACGCTTGACGATAGTGCAAGGTCATACATCTATGTAATATCTATCTATGTTGGTGCACTCATTCAGGTTTACACATGTCTGCCTTGTTTTAACCATGCTCTGCCTGTTTCTGTACTTTCTCCCATGCTGATTAGATGAAAGTCTCTTTGGCAGTCAGCATGTTCCACGTCGGTAAGCAGCTTGTCAGTGCTGACATCACAGTAGTCATTTGACCAGTTCAACTAATGGTTTGCTTTACAGACTTGTGTGTGTGTGTGTGGGGGGGGGGGGGGGGTATATATGCGTGCATGCATTCATATACTTTGGAGCATAAACATGTTCGATTGGCGAAATTAATCAAGTACTTGTTTGTGCTTGTGCTCTCGTGGCAGATTGACGTACTTTCGAGTGGCAGCAATCAGTCCTGTACCCGAGAGTGATGTTCACCTGTACCAGGCCTCTGCTGCAGACACAGCTCTAGTACTGGTGAGTGCAACCGTGCACTGCTGCCGCTTTTTGACCGGCAACGTTATGGCCCAGTCTGGGTGCCAAGATTGCCGTTGGGGAAAGAACCAGCGTGCCAAGCAGACTATTCTCATTCCCTGAGTCCCACACAGGGTGACAGTTGTGGCTGAGACATACTATAGTTTCCAGAGCATAGGCCGCACCCAGATTTTGTTGTCACGAAATACAGATCATGTCTGCCCTGTATATCACCGTTTGTTTGACCATTGTAGTATAAGGCGCACCGAGCTTTGGGTGAATTGTGATTTAATATACTCCGAAAAATACGGTAATATGAATGTGGTTGTGTGTGTGTGTGTGTGTGTTTGTGTAAATGCATGTGTAGGCAAACTATTAATGAAAAGAAGACACTTTCTCAGGTCTCCAGATTTTTTTTGTCTGCCGTCAAATTTTCTGTTTGCTTTTAGGATGCTGGCCGAGCGAATTTTCCCATCCCGTCTCTCTTAGAAGCGTGCAGCTGCGAGACTGTCAAGCATGTCGTGCCAGGTATGTTTGGTGTTGATACATGTACAGTGATGGCCAAAGAAATCCAACCTCATGAATAATGTAGCGCCGCGTTTGAGTGCACAGACCTGTATGTGTAGGGCTGCGTAGCGCCCGGTGCTGTTTTATTCATGAGGTTGGATTTCTTTGGCTAGTATTGTACATGAGGGTGGGGGCTGGGTGTCAGGCAAGGCAGGTACAACTAGGTGCAAAAACTGCTGCCACCTTAGGGGAGTTGTGATCAGACTTGTCTTGTGTGGATAGGGGATGGGGGATAATGTGCAGGTAAAGACCCTATAGAGAAAACAGAGGAAACTGGTTTGGCAGAGGACTTCTAGAAAGAGCCAGAGTGTATACCACCGTCCACCATAACATGTAAACACCACTTATAACAGCAGCATGTATGCAAAGAGGATGGCTGCTGAGTCATACCAAGAGTACATAACTCTTATGTACTCTCGGTCATACATAGCAGGCAATCTAGCCTAGGATTATCACCATCATTATGCAATGCTGTAAGCATCCAGACTACAGGATTATAATAGAGCGGCCAGTGCTGCTGAGTGTCCACCTACAAATGTACTACTAGTTAGTGCTGTTACAGTGCGTTTCAAAAATATAGACGCGTGGTTTCAAAAAACCGTTAGGCCAGCATCTATACCACGTAAAATCTGTGATCACTAAAAAAATTCTCGAAAAGCTCCAGCCGAATTTGAAATATTTCAAAAATACCATGCGTCTATTTTTTTGAAATGGACTGTAATTGTTAGGACAGAGTGCAATGCTAACATTTCCCTCCTTCACACCAGCAGCTCCCAAGTTCAACCGCCGAACTGGCTTGCAGGCCCTAGAGGAGTGGCGGATTATTGTCGGTAATAATATCGGATGGATCGAAAATGGTAAATCAGCACCGACATACACACACACACACGGTCACCAGCAACAGTAAATGAAAAAAGGGTTCACATCAGGACACTCAATGAATGAGAAATAATCAACAAGCGTGACCCGGACAGCATAGCCAGAGCGACGGTTATATGAATAACTTGCTGCCTGGAAGAGTTCAGTAAATGCTCGAAGTTCCCATCAGGACACTACTTGTCAATTACAAAGAAATAATCTGCAAATGCGTCGCGAACCGCATAGCCTGAACGAGAGTTGTAAGAATAAATGGCATACCTGGAAGAGCGGTGATTGCATGCTTGAGTGGTGCGCTCTTGTGATATCTGCTGCTGGAGTCAAGTGCTTCTTACGTCCTCCTCCTTCCTCAGTGAGCAGAAGTTGTGAAGCACAAAGCATGTATAGATGACATCGGGTAGGATGTCGGTGGCAAGGTCAATGGGCTGGTTTAGTATGCGCCAGCGACCCTTTAGCCTTCCAAATGCACACTCAATCTGGTTTCGAGTGGACGTGAGCCGTGTGTTGAAAAGCTCATGATGCTCACATTTCACAGGGGGAAACTCCTTCGTGACTCGTGGCAGGATGGGGATAAGCTGGGTCGCCAAGAAGCACCGGTGCCAATGGATTAGCACCAGGAAGTTAAGCTCGGCGGACAGTAGAAAATCCAAGTATTTGGCCGATTGACGCTAACCTTGCTCTCATGTAGCTGGCTAGCAATAGCCAGTTGACTGAGTCACGTCTGGTAGTGGTCCTGACCAAGGCCATGGTCCAGGTCGAGTTTGACAGACACTTTCACTTTACCGGCCATGGTGAAGGTCAGGCAGAAGTAGTGCAATTGATCCTGTTCATTGCACCAAACTGTTACCACCTTTGCGTAATTGCCAGACTTGCCCAAGGTGCGCTCAAAACCAGCATAGAATAGAGCAAGTACCGTATTTTCCGGAGTATAACCGCACTTTGAACACTCAAAATTCACCTAAAAAAGGGGGCTGCGGCTTATACTCTGATGATGAAATTAACGGTGATAAATAAGATAGATGATTAGATGTCTGTATTTCGTGGCAAGGGGGGGGGGGGGGGGGGGTCGGCTTATCCTCCAGAAAATACGGCAAATGAGAACAACAACAATTCAGCAGCTAACGGCACCTATATCAGCTGATGTGTAGTTATCCGATGACCCAATAGAGAAAACAGGGGAAAACGGTTTGGCAGAGGACTTCTTGAAAGAGCCAGAGCATAGTCGAGGAGCTAGTCCACTAGAACATGTAAACACCACGTACTACAGCAATGATGTATGCAGAGAGGATTGCTGCTGAGTCAGCCATAGCAGGTAATCTACGGTCCATTCATAAAAAGATATCCTAGCTTTTGGCCATAACTGGGTCAAAGTTTGAGTTTCTCAAAAAAAAATTGCAATCCCCGTGGAATGCCCTAGTTTCTTTAGTCTCTTTCTCCGAACAGCAAGCCATAACAAGAATAGGACTTCGGCCAGGTTTTGCCCCAAACGCACTAAATTGGAAAAACCTTGAAAATCCAGGCAAATTTCGCGGCACTGCACCGTGTACAATAAAGTCACGAAAAATCACCAAACACGGGAGCTCGCCAGAGCCAGCGCTCATATTTTTATGAATGGACTGTAGCTTTATTCGCTTTCATCCTTTGTTTCCTCTCTCCTTATCTGGTGCACAGGTGGCTATGGTGCAAACGCATGGTGTCCATGTGTACCGCCAGGTCTAGGCGTTCAAATGGAAATCCTTCAGAACGCAATCATGCCGGCGTTCTCCTCTGCATGCCTGCCAAGGTAAACACGGTAACTGTGATGCTGATGCGTAACCCTAGGTTTGCGGTGCTGCGTACCGAGCGCCTATGTCTTGTTTTTCAAAGTGGGCAACGAAAAGAAACTGGACTCTAAGGCCCAGCAGAAGTGTGGCCAGAAGGGAGTTCATGTTGCTTTCCTAGTGGTTGTCTGTGTTATCTTTCTATTCGTATCTTAGAAAGAAAGGTTACAGAAATCGTTCACTCAAGTGCATGTCACTTCTGTCCTCCTGTTGTGTCTGTTTCTTTCCGTAAACTTGTCAGGAACATTCGGCCGCGGTGCCATCTCTTGTTGACCGGTGACCCTGGCAGCGGGAAGAAGAGTCTGGTTCGATCGTGCTGCCGCTGGCTGGGAGTGACCCTCTGTGAGGTACGAGTGTTTACTGGCTGTTGTGGTGTGCTTCCGTAGCTCATGTCTTGGTTCTCTTGCTTTTTCTGGGTGGGTAAGGTTGATTTGAAGCGTACAGTTGGCATGCATGCATTCTGCATTCTGCAGTACATGTACATACACTCAATCTCCGGACCACTAGCTGTTTTGACCTTGTTACGTCTCGTCAGCGGAGCTCAGAGTGACTTGCCGAACCGATTGCAATAATAATAATAGTCCAATGAATGAAAAAGCTTTTATAATTATACCAGCTCAAAGCATCGCAGTCAGAGCGCTGTGAGTGCAAGAAACACATGGAGCATTGCACGAGTATAGCACATGCACATGACTGTACTTTTTACTCAGTTGTAAGTACGGACTATGATTATGTGTCTGACCATGACATCTCCATGCTTTAATTTTGTTCCGCTGTGCCGTTTAGGTGAGCTGTTATGATTTGCTGGCGGACACTGTTCAGGCGGGTGAGACCAAGTTGAAGAACGTCTTTGAGAAAGGTTAGAGATGCGCACAAGACTGCGGGCATGCCCTGAGTAGTGATATCATGCCGATTTTAGTTTCCCGAATTTGGCCGGTTTGGTGGGTACTGTTCCGTTGTTTGGGCTCAGTTCAAGCGAATTGTGAAGTTTGAGAGGTCCTGGGCATATGCTAGTGGTCAGGGTGTTGTGCTCCTAATAGTGTCTGTGTGAAAAACATAGTACAAAGTCATATACATGTACCTTGTACATTCTCATGTCTTTTTCACAGCTCGCAAGCGCTGCCCATCTGTCCTTTACTTATGCCATGCGGAGGTGCTGGCACGTCGGAAGGATTCCGCCGAGGAAGGTAATGTGCCTGACTGTACTGTACTGTACATATAGTTATCTATTTTCATGGGACAGTGTGCCACAGTAGCTACTGTGATAATGCACGCGAGTTTTTAGGTCACCTGACTTAATAAAGTCAATGTGGCCAGGGTCACCAAGGCTTCTTCAAGGCTTGGCTTAACTTGCCTGATTTACTGGTACCTGGCATGGCCATTTGTTCAGTTGAAATACACATTGGCGTAATTAATTAATTATCTTCCTTACAATGTGTTCCAGTGGAACGCACTGTGTTACGGGTTCGTGCGGAGGTTTGCCATGCGTGCTGTCCTTCTACCCTTGAAGTTTCTGGCATTTGTTCTACTACTGACACTGCAGCCCCGCAGTACAGTGTACAGTGTTTCTTGATGTAGAACATGTTCTCCTGGCTGTTGTTTTTCAGGATACAGGGCCACTGCCTATGTGGACGGCCTTGAACGAAGTGCTACAGAGCCTTCTGTGTTTGTGTTCTGTCATCTGCAGAGCTACGGCTGGGTGCAACCTTCCAGGCACAGCTAGACTCGCTGGCAACACTTAGTGAAAGGTACGGCGGGTAGCTGCTCTTACCGTTGCGTCAATGTAGTACAGTTGTCTACATCTCTAATCCAGCACTTTATAACACCAGCACCCTGTATAAACAAGTACCCTGTATAAACCAGCATGATTTTCAGTTACCAAAATGTACTCTTTTAATATGCACATGTTATGCACATTGCAGCAATAAATCAGATTTGTTAATCCAGCACCGTCCCTAATCCAGCAGAAATTCTGTAGCACAAAAAATGGTGCCGGATTATAAAGGGGCCACTGCTAAATAGAGGCAGTGGAGTCCGGTGAGCCCCTTGGGAAGCTGTCGAAGTACAGTGAAACCTGGTTAGGAAGAACCGACTGATAAGACAAATTTTTGCCTAAGAAGAACTAGTATTCGTAACTGTATTGGATGAAACCCTGTGTATTCACTGGGTAAAACATTATGGATAAGAAGAACTGCCGTTATTGCGAACAAATATCAGCGGTCCCTTGAAGTTCGTCCTAAAGAGGTTTGACTGTATCGAAAAAAGAGTTTTTTTAGCATTTGATAACCATGTTTTCCCGTTGTTTGTGTGTGTGTGGTTCAGTGTGGTGGTGATCTGCTCTTGTACGAAAGCAAGCCGCCTGGCTACGTCTGTTGCGCAACAGTTACGCATCACTATCAGTATACCGGTGAGGGAAACGATGGCATGTGCTCTATGAGATGCTAGTGCTAGTGGGTGCCATCCCATTGAACGCCACTAGCAATCCCGTATATCTAGCAATCATTCTATCGGTGCTGATTGCCGCGGGCAGTTGCAGCGCTGTGCACTACCTTAGTGCCATCAAGAGTACATAACCCCCAGGAGTGTGCAACTGCCTGCACAGCCTCTATGCAGTGCTGCGACGGCAGAACTTCACATCACGTGACATGGTTCGAAAGGTTACGCTGGCAAACAGTGCAAAGTGACCACAAGAGTTGAACTCAAAGCTGGGTTCCTTACCACCCTGTATCTATCATGCACAGCGTGCAAATAATGTGTACGGGTTCATCACGTGATGTGAAGTTCTGCCGTCGCAGACCCCATAGCTGGAGTTGCACACTCTTGGGGGTTATGCACTCTTGGTGCCACGAACAGCAGGCTAATGCTCTTGTGTGGCTTTCAAGTAGAGCTGCAAAAAAGGTTCTACGGTTCTTTCAGTAGAGCTGCAACAATAGTTCGAAGATTCCTTTCTGCATGCAAAGGAAGGCAAGTTGCCTTCAAAAGAAGGTTCAAAGCCTGGCTATAGGTAGTGCATTCTCTCAAAATCTACTTTTACCACAGGTGTGTATGTGAAGAGAGAATCTAAAAAAGAATATCAACGATACATGCGATGTGAAATATATCAACTCCCTCAAACTTCAACTCCTTGAAACTTAAGAATAGAGGGGGGGGGGGATGATAAGCCTTGCCACTGGTGTGTTGTAAGAGGATGTGCTGCAAAAGGCAGAGCTTCCTTGCAAACAAGGTAGAGTGAGGTGTTATTGTGACTCGAGCATTATCCAGCTTGTTGGTGTCAATATTGTGATGTGGCTTGCACTGCGCCGCGAAGTGGCTACAAAGCAACTCTGCCTTTTCTGTCTCTTCTTCGACATGCACACCATTGTCGTCAAGGAGGCCTGGGATGCAATGTTTGGGACGGCTGATATTGCAGAGGGATTTTGATTGATTCCACCAAGTAGCAGATTGGCATTTCTTTAGGAGGTCGAATCCGAGTTGACGGAAGTAGTGTTTTTGGCTAGTCCTCAGAGAAGAAGTGAATGCATTTCGAGAAAAACGATACAGAGTCAGTCTTCTGGGCGTCCTGTGGCCTTGGCCCGCTTAAAGAGGCGATGGCGAGCCTTCCATAGTATGTGGTGGTGTGACGTGAACCATGGTCTGCGGCTCTTCTTATGTTCTTCTTAGGAGGGTCGGGTGTGTTGATCTTCGTGTGGCGCCGTGTCACTGGTGCTATCATTGGTCTGGTTTTGGGCACGAGTGTCGGAAGGTTGTACGGGTTCATTTGATCGGGTGCATTCTTCGTGTGATGCCGTACCACAGTTTTTTGCAATGTGGCCAGCCTTTCCGCATGCCCTGCACGTTTGCACTTGTCCCGAGTACCAAATTTTGCAATGTGTGCTCCCTTTGATGTAGCTTGGGATGGATTTTTTTAATTTTACCTGCACGTATCGTGTGCCTGTTGCCAGGACTTGGCCATTCTTTAATTTCGCGGTGCCGAACGTAACCGCCCTGACTACCTCGCCATACTCGCTGAGCACGGAAGCTAGCTTCGGTGACGCCCCGAAAAGGGGAACGTCATGCACATGTAGTGTCGTGACCAATGGCGCCAGAGGTTCTACATTTACTTCCTTACCGGCAAGCTGCAGTCCTTTGCGAATCAAGTCCGGTCACAGCCGGTGGGTTGTTGAACGGTGATCTTACAGTGTCTTCCGCTAAACTGCACGCCAAGCGGGCGACATCCTGGAGCCGAGACTTGACATGCCGCGTACATTGATTCGTACCGCTTTTCAAGAGAAAACGAGGAAAACTCACCGGGGACTGTCAGAATGACGGTTCTGGTCCGCAGCTCGCCAGGCGACAGGTCACCCGGTAGCTTGCCTGGCATACCAATTAATGGCGGCGAGAAGCCCGATAAACACACTTAATCCTAAACTTGCTCGGAGCACTTACATCATCAGTGCATCGCAGCTTTACTGAGAACTTCCGCACAGACTCTGTGTCGCTGTCAGAGGTGATATGTTTGTGATTGAGAATCTCTCCTGCAAGGGAAGATGGCGATCAGAACCACCAAACAACGTTCTTTAATTAATAGCTCCGTCCATGCAGCAGTGCACGCACCCGAACCGTCAAACATATCTGCTATTATATCTTCGGCTGAGCTTCCTTGCAGCGCCTCCTTGAGCCTTGACAGTTTGTATTCGTCGGAGACGAAGCGGTTCGCATCCACGAGGCGAAACTGCTGGGTATTGCCACTGAATTTGGCAGCTCTAGGGTCTTCGAATGATGGAAAGCGCTGACATCATGTGGCCATTGATACTTGCAAGCCTATCGTTCACATAGGGTTCGCGTGCGCGGGGCTGGCTACTAACGTGAGAGGTTAGAATGTTTGCTGCCTATGCCTGAGATCATTTACGGAAGTATTCCTTGCTCCTTGGTCTTTTCGTGCGCAGTGTGTGCATTATTAGGATCACGTGTGTACGCAGTCATGTACACATGCACAATGCCTTGGGACCAAAAATTATTTGCGGTCGGATGAAAAATGACGGTCGATCGGGTGACTCGAAACAACGAATTAATTCTGGGTGGCCCTATGTGGGCAGTGACTGATGCATAGCTATTTGCTCCCATGTATTGGATTCCAGCCATTGCTGGCTGGTGTTGGTTACATGTACAGAGTGTCGGTGTGGGTGTGCTGTGTGCTGTGTGCTTCTTTTCTCCTAGCCACTGTCAACCGAGGAGCGCGTTTCCGTCATGAGGGACATGATTGGCAACAGTCGCATTGAAGACGGTCAGTGCTTGAGTTGGCAGCTCGCTCTCAGCATCGGATCCTTTTGATTCACTATCAACGTGTAGACGATGATGCTTTCAGTATTTCTATGCAGCATTGTGTTTTCTCTGACCTAAATGCTTGATAAGGCGCATGTAGGCTCTCAAGCTTTGCTTGTGTTGACTGCTGGTCGATGAAAAGACTACACACGTAGACCTGTTGGAAGTAAGCTTGTCACAGCACAGGCGCTCAGTTTAGATGTGAATGCATGAAGTACGGTGTGCATCTCTCAATCTCTGCCTGCAGACTAGCCTGTGTTTGTTGTGCTCCACAGAAGCAATAGTCTGCACACACACATACATCACAAACGTGCGTGCACACACACACGCAGGCGCGTCGGAACGACTTTGGAAGTGGGGCGGCCATGGAAGGGGGGTCCGGGGTCCTCCCCGGGAAAAAATTTCAAAAATTAAAGCCAATTGCAAGCATTTCCGGGCATTTGGTGCCATTTCAGTGTACGGTAACTACAATGAAAGACTTTTTGATTCTGCAAAAAACCAAGAAGATGCTACGGTCGGGGACAAACATTACACTTCCCCGGGAAAAAAATTCAAAATTGAAGCCAATTGCAAGCATTCCCAGGCATTTGGTGCCATTTCAGTGTACATGGACTTTTGATCCTGCAACAAACCACGATCGGGGACAAGGATTTGCCACGTTTGCGCTGAGATCATCGCGCTTTGTTGCAGTGTGCTAAAAAAAAAAAAAAAAAAAAAAAAAAAAAAAAAACGGCCGAAAAAGTGGGGCGGCCATGGCCGCCCCGGCCGGTGCGGTTCCGACGCCCTTGACACGCACACACACACACACACACACGCACATGTGCTCGGTCATCGGTTGCAAAGTCCTAAGTGTGTGCTAAGTTCTTTCACCTTCTGTTTTTCACTGTTCCATGCAGAGTCTCAACTCCAGCGTATTGCCGAGAAAATCCAGGTTGGTACGTGCAGGTTTTGTTCAGCTGATGTAGTACCATCACCTTCTTCAGCCTTTCCATTGTATTGCTCTGCGATTAGATAGGCATGTGGCGCTGTCTACATCATTCCTATGCACATGTATGACATACAGCGTGTCACATGGAGAAGACCCGCCACAAGAGACACTGCTCCTGACTACAACCAAAACTGGTTGCTAATGATTTGGTCTCTGCGACCACTTGAACCATTTCTATGGTGCAAATGATCGCACCGACCAAGTCCCCGGCGATTAAAGAGCGTCTGAGCACACGACACTGCCTTAACCCTTTGGAGTCCGTAACGTTTTTGCTTCCGCAGAATTTGTGGCAGTTACGAAAATGCGCACTCCATTTCCAACATAACTTTGGCTCTACTTCACCGAATTTGAAGATCTTGGGCTCGTTGGAAAGCTCTTGATGAGAGAAATACAATGAGCCCAAACTCGCCAAGAGCACTATTCATTGTCCGCCACAACGCACCCGAAACGCGAGTCCAGCTCCAGATCTGAGACGAAATCGGTCTCCTGTAGCCATTTCACTGAATCTAGCTCGGAAATGTTCAACTTTTTTCGAGTAGAAGCTTACCTTGCCGTGACTTTGCGCTGCGCCGGCCCTGGCACGTGCCGCCTGTCATGAAGCTGGGAAATCCCTTTTTTTCACGCACTGCTGACTCGCAGCACGCAGCGCAGAAAATTCGAAATGTTTGATCGCTCGCCGCTCACTCAAACTTCATCGCAGAGACTTCGGACCTGTTTGAGGCGATAGCTGAGAGTTTTCTCTACAATCTAGACCCTTCGATTGTTGAATATGGTCAATATTTGGCCGAGAACCGAAAGTTTGACTGCGCCCACATGCATACAAAATGCCCATGGTTCGAAATCGAACCATGGACTCCAAAGGGTTAAAAGACAGTGTCGTGTGCTCAGACCCTCTTCTGTTAAGGGAAGTGAGGGGAAGGGAGGGGAGGGGAGTTGGATCTCCGGTTCAATCGTTTGTATGCAGTTCGTAATGTGCTACAGCCCAACCGGACCAAGGCCCTAGCAACCGGCTGCTATGCTTGTATCCAGAACCTCTGTCCCCTACAGTGGGTGCTGCGCCTTTTGACCGGCCGCCGTGCGTCATACCTGGTAAACTAACAAACTGGGCCTGCATGAATTCGGACCGTGAAGAAAGACTGACACCTTCACACATCTGACAACCATTGTGCTGTGTGTGTTTTGGTTGGTTTTAGGGTGCAGTTCTGAGCGATGTCTGTACGCTGGCCTCGCGCGCCTTGCAGTGCAGCCGTGCACGTTTGTTCAGGTCAGTGCCTAGCTGTCTTACTGTAATTTGTTCATTTGTTCTCGATGTGAGTGCTAGTAATATCAGCTCCTATGTGTACAGCGTCGTCTTCATAGATTGCTCCGGAGAGGTTCATTGCTGTGTGTGTGTGTTTTATCTGGACAACGGAATTCATTTCTTCACATGGACGTACACGAATATGTGCAGTCTAGGATACATCACAAGTACACACGTGCACACAAGTTCACATGCACATGCGCTGCTGGGTTCCAGACTGGTAGTGGATGTACTGACACACCGCTGGATCAGTAGTATGTTTGTCAAAGACTGTGAAATTGTGGGCCAGTTCATCACTCTCGTGTACGCTTCTGGCTGTGCATTTGTTGGGTTTCCTTTGCAGCGGCTGCACACCATTGGATGACCCAACATCAGCTTGTCTTCCCAACCATCTACCACCAATCACCGCGGATGATTGGCATGCGGCGCTCAAGCAGTTCGAGCAGTCACGTTCGAAGGACCTCGGTGCACCAAAGGTACAGATCAGCGGTGTGTGTTATTGATTTTCCGGCATTTTTTTGTCTCCTCGCACTTCGGAGTATTTCCGGCATGATTTCAGTCCGCCTGCATGGGGAGATTGGCTTTTGGCTCTGTAAAGATAGCCGGGAGTATTGTGGGGAGTATCAGGTCAGGAGCACACACTTCTCCTTGCTGGGACCCATTTCTGTTCTGTGTCTCTCCAATTTGTAGCAGTTTTGTAGCAGTTAGCAGCTACTGCTACCTGCTGATTGTATGTGGAACAGCACATCGGCACCACTCGGCCGGCCCCGGATGCAGTTTGGTGACTCTCTCTCTCTCTCTCTCTCTCTCTCTCTCTCTCTCTCTCTCTCTCTCTCTCTCTCTCTCTCTCTCTCTCTCTCTCTCTCTTCTCTCTCTCTCTCTCTCTCTCTCTCTCTCTCTCTCTCTCTCTCTCTCTCTCTCTCTCTCACACACACACACACACACACACACATACACACACATACACACACACACACACACACACACACACACACACACACACACACACACACTGTGTTCAGGTGCCAGAAGTGCATTGGGAAGATGTGGGTGGTCTGAGTGATGTACGCCAGGAGATTCTAGATACCATTCAGTTACCTCTGGAGCATCCGGAGTTGTTTGCTGGTGGTCTGAAGAGATCAGGTGAGCCCCCCCCCCCCCCACACACACACACCGGACTGATGGGAGATGATGTCATTGGTCTCTATCGGTCTGGTCATCCAAATCACGCTCTCAAAATTGCGATTCTGGCAATCTTGGTCTGTACAAATGCACTGGTATGTATTGAGTACACTATCTGTGTAGAGTGGTTTCACATCCAGTCATGTGACTTCATTTGTGCAGAAAGTAGATCTACCTTAAAAAAACAATAGTGTACACGACATGGGGACAGTGGAACAGTGGACCAACCAACATGGCCGACATCATGTGACCCATTGGTGCAGGGATTCACTGGTGTTGGATCCGACATGGCCATCCGGTATGTGTCATGTGTTAGATGTACGCCAGCTGTATAGAACTCCTATCATTTACAGTGTACAAGTACAGTGTACAGGGGTATGTCACTGTTAGAGCTGATCTGTTGAAACACAAATCTGCACAACTACAATGGTTGTTGGTACATGTATTATCAACGTGTGGATCGGTTGAACCGGATGTTGTTTTGTGTGTGCCCCAGGCATTCTTCTGTATGGACCCCCAGGATGTGGCAAGACTCTCCTCGCCAAGGCTGTGGCAACAGAGTGTGCACTAAACTTCCTTAGGTATGCTTAGTGTGTTTGTAAACGATTAGAACGGCATAATTGTTGTCAAGCTTTTGATGTTGTGTACCTCTCTGCAGTTACTGTGGGTGTATAAATATGTGTGTGTATGTGCGTGTGTATGTGTGTGTGTGTGTGTGTGTGTGTGTGTGTGTGTGTGTGTGTGTGTGTGTGTGTGTGTGTCCCATATGGTGCAGGTATGTGCAGCGATTTCCAATCGATAGATTGCGGGTTCGATTCCCGACGATTATGGTCACACACGTCTTTCTTCTCTTTCTCAGACTCTTCCTGACTTTTCTTTCATTCTCCTGGGTGGTTACCAACAGCCAGTGCATGCCGGAGTATGTGGTGAGATGTGTGTGTGTGGAAAAAAAAGAAAAGACCAAAAAAGACCAAAAAAGAAAAAAAGACCAAAAAAGGGATTCACTGGCCAAAAAAAAACTCACTTCAAATAGCTGTATGGTGTAGACCAGGCTGAATAGTGACGGTCAATTCTTCAGCCTTGCAAGCTGTTGAATGGTGCAATCCCAGCACAAGTTGCTATGGCTTCTGCCATAGCATTGCTATCATCGCCTCCGGCGATGGGCGTCAAAGGTCAGGTGTGTGTGTGTGCGTGTGTGTGTGTGTGTGTGTGTGTTTCCTGTGTGCATGGGTGGATGTGCGTGCGTGCATGCATGCATGTGTGTATGTACCGTAAAGTACCGCCAGAGCGCCCCACCATCTCATCCTTTCGTGGTCGTATTGTGGAGGTGGTCTGCTGTCTGTAGGTCATACGACATGAACCTTGTACACATATTGCACGTTTTGCAGACAATTCGAACCTTCCAGCAGACACAAGCTCCACACAAAAACCTGCCAAGTGTGACCTTAGTACACTAAGATTCTCACATCGTACAAACTTCGTTGCACTCTGCCATACGATTTTCCTTTCTCTGGCTGTAAAATCAAGGTGGGGCGCTCTCGCGAGACGGGGCGCTCTGGCGGTACTTTACGGTATATACATGTGTGCCTCAACGTTACATTCGGTATTGTGTATGTACTTCATTCTCATTCGCGTCTCCATTTTCTTCCGCACCCTGGCTGTTGTGTTTGGCAGCGTCAAAGGTCCAGAGCTTCTAAACATGTATGTAGGACAGAGCGAGGAGAATGTGCGTGAAGGTCAGCAGTTTCAGCATTACCTCCATGATTATGCCCTCTTCATTTTCAGTCTGCCTGCATGAGCATTCGGTCAGTGGTGTATAGAAACCTCAATGCATTGCCTTGGCCTATGGTAGGGCTCTTGTAGGAGTTAGCCCACAGTACAACATGTATTTAGTGTGTCCCCTATCCACCGAGCGTAAAATCACCTTGATAATCCACGCAGCAAATACTAGTAGCCTCTGCACTGCCTCCCTCCCTGCTTGAGCGCTGAGCGTTTCCAGGAGCTTCCTGTGTTTGTTGAGCCGATCCCGTAGATCTTTGTCCGTATAGAGAGCATTTTCTTTTACGGTTACACTCTGGTAGAAGCCTCTCACATGCATTTGAATCTTGGCGACTGCATTGTTCTATACATGTTTGCATTATCTACTAGTAGTATTTGTTTTTTGGGCGAACACGCTCCTGTTGTTCTGTACTTTGTGTGTGTGTGTGTGTGTGTGTGTGTGTGTGTGTGTGTGTGTGTGTGTGTGTGTGTGTGTGTGTGTGTGTGTGTGTGCATGTGTGTGCGTGCGTGTGCATGTATGTGCGTGCGCGTGTGTGTGTGTAGTGTTTGCAAAAGCACGCTCCGCAGCACCGTGTGTGATCTTCTTTGACGAGTTGGATGCACTGGCCCCGAACCGAGGACGCAGCGGTGATTCCGGCGGTGTGTCCGATCGGTGAGTGGCGCACAACCATGAATGGCAGCAGTCTTCATTCACTACTGAATCATATTCAACACAGCACATCGGCACGGTGTCCCTGCATCCCCTGTGTCTTGTTGTTTCTTTTTTTCTTCGTTATCCTCATGTTTTCCTGTAGGACTGTGTTGATAGTAAAAAAACAAAACATAAAAAACGTCATGTTTGCAACACCAATGAGGCCTGCAGTCTCCGCAATTTTCGCATTCTGGTACACGGCCTGCATTGACCTTGCATAATCCTTGAATTTTTTATCGTAAAGCACAACAGTACGTACTGTGCAATCGCTGGCGCTCAGCGTTTTTAGTCAAAGTCTGTTGATGAAACTGTGAGCAGTGGGTGATAGGTCTACAGTGCAGTGTGCAAACGTTTAACTTTCCGTGTCGGCTGCTCCGCTGCCGCCGCCACTGCACTTCTGAAGAAATACTAGCATATTTTGAGAGATTTGTCTGCGCAAATCACAGGAGATTTTATTCTCTGTGTTGTGTCAGTTCTATCATGAGCGATGTGAGCAAAAGCATGCGGGGAATGACCAGACTCACTCCAGATAGAACTGAATATAAGTCTCTCTTTTATGATTTTGTTTTGCCTTGAGCTAGTGACCCCCACGACCACTTCTGGTTATGGGTTATACAGACATGTACACACCTACAGTCATGTTGCCTCAAGCACTGTAGTGTAGGTATGCTGGGTAGTGTACGTTGTATGTATGCACATGCACATCCAACAGTTTCGACCAGTCTCAGTGCCTGGCTCTACCACCTGCTTATCGACGATATCTGGAACAATATGCTTGTGTGTGCATGCATTCCATAGACATGTTGTATGTTGGTTTGGTTCAGGATTGTGTCTCAACTGCTCACTGAGCTGGATGGCGTGGGTGGCGAGAACAACGTGTTTGTGATCGGCGCAACCAATCGTCCCGATCTGATAGAACCGGCGCTACTGCGACCAGGAAGGTAAGTACATGTATGTTTGTGTACGTGGCTGGTACTCAACCAGAGGACATGTATGGGAAGCTGAGCAAAATACTCAATACTTTTGTTAGATTTTGGAAATATACTTGGATGGCGGTGTTTATTGCAATTGCAGACGAATGAAGAGATTGCCTGGAATGAAACAATCATATCTGCAGTATGCTTCTGCAGGCCATCACTAAGCGCCCATAAACAAGAGTATGCAACTCTCTCCGGTAATGGGTCAGACCGCGATGCGCAGTCTCCATTACCGTAGGTTGCCTGCATTGCACCCTGCTCTCATGCACCAAAATGCACAATCTCTCCTACATGTACCAGTCTACCTGGTCTTGCTTGATTCGTTCACGTACAGGCGTGAAGTCTAAATTGTGGGTGCATGAATTTCAGTTCCGTACGGAAGTTTTATTTGTTCAAACCACCAGGAAAGTGTGGTGTTCTTCCTCAGTGCGTTGGTGTAGCTACAGTAGCGCTCTATGAATCCAGTTGCGTCACTCCAGTTTGCGCCTTGCACCATTTCGCAGCCCAGTGTTATCTGGCGCAAGTCTTGATCTGTCTCATTCAGATCTTGTTCGCTATCGTTGCTATAAGAGAAAATCTGTGGGTGCACATCCAGTGCATTTGCAGATTTGCGTACTTCTCTTGCGACGGGCGTATACATACATGGTGTGTGTGTGTGTGCGCGCGTGTGTGTGCATGTGTGCTTGTGTATGTGTGTGTGCATATATCCGCTATCATTCAGGTTTGATTGCCGCGTGTACGTCGGAGTCTACACGGAGCGCCGCTCACAGCTCTCCGTCCTGGCAGCCCTGACAAGAAAGTAAATTTCATTCTGTGTGTGTACGCGTGTGCTGCATTAGAACGCACAAGTACAATTCGCAAAGCCCATGCATCTGGGAGACCCCCTGTGCCCACTCCACCCTTATTATAGTTGTGTTTTGTGGATAGGACAGAGAAGCATGTCCAGTCTATAGGTAATATGAAGTGTGCATGGAGCTAACATTCCACATTGTGCTGTTGGTCAATCCTCACTTTAACTCCCAGCGGGGGTACTAGTACGCCCTACACCGGGAAGGCGAGCGGGTGCAAGGCCATGCGTGACGCTTGCACACTCAGGCTCTTACACCGTATGTTGTGGGAATTCCGCTGGTACTCTTTGGAGTATGTAGTGGAATACCGCCGGATGGACGGCCATTGTCTACGCGCGGCTGGAAATACGCGTGTGGTTGCAGCAATAGAATGGGCGCAGTTGGCGAACACACTGTCACATTCTTGCCCTCACCTCCCTATACAACCTCAATTGCTCTCTGCCATACTTGTACAGTGTTCCGTTCGCCGGTTGCACATTCACGCAGGGCGCCCTCAAAAGGTGGTACACTCTCGTTGTATTGTCCGGTGCATGCCGTAATGGCGTGGCTGAGTGCAACCAGCAGTACAGGGAACCCGGAGTGTGCAGCTCGGATGCAGGGTTGCTGTCACGGCGGAATTCCAGGATTACATCACTTTAATGATGTAGTGCGTACACGCAGGATTCAAGCAGGTCTCTTTCTGCACAACTGCAGCTCAGTTGTACGCACTACGCCATTCCCGCCTCAGATCTGCGCCAAATATGATGTTCTTAGTACAAATCACGGAATTCCGCCGTGACAGACACCCATAGTAGAAAAAGCCCCAAGCTGCACACTCTGGTTTACATGTGCTCTTGATGCAACACATGTGCACATGATACATGTACTGTTCAGTGTCTGGCCTAACGGTGTCACGTTGCCTGATATTTGAATTTTGAAACTCGTGTGCTGCTTTTAGGTTCCAGCTGGCACATGATGTCGATCTTCGTGCCATTGTGGAGACATTGCCCGCATCTGTCAGCGGTGCTGATATCTCGTCTGTATGCTCCGATGCTATGATGTCCGCAGCCCATCGTCTTATCGGACTTATCGAAGCTGAAGGTATGTCGTTATTAGGATGAGAGCAGTGCCGGTCAGTGAAGAATACAACCGCTAGCACTTTTCTGCGTTCCAGCAGCCCTATACCGTGTATACCGTTGAACTCAGCTCAGTGCCCACATGTTTATGGTATAACCGGAAAACCCACGTGTGGGTACATGACTACAGGTATAATTAACAGTGAGGGAAGTTAGTGCAATGCAAGCATAATCTAGGATTGTGCGGATGTAGGAGGTGTAGAGTGTTGTTATTGTTGTTGTTGTTGTTGTTGTTGTTGTTGTTGTTGTTGTTGTTGTTGTTGTTGTTGTTGTTGTTGTTGTTGTTGTTGTTGTTGTTGTTGTTGTTGTTGTTGTTGTTGTTGTTGTTGTTTTTGTTTTTGTTGTTGTTGTGAAACTTGACAGATCTACAAGGGGTGATAACCAACATGTACCTGTACTACGACAGCGTTGGCCGGCAGATTGATAGGACATGTACATGTGCATTCACACTGGCAACTGATCTAACTGTATGGCAGTAGTCTGTATGGGGATGACCACATCGCTGTTGTTCCAACTGTGCGACTCTATCTGCACTTCCTGCACTTGCTGCACTGAAGCGCTGGGTGTTTTTGCAAGCTGCATCATGCTGTTGACTGCGGTATCTTTCTTATTCTTGGTTTCTTACTTTTATTTCACAATCTCGGTGGCATCTGGCAATGAACTTGAGATGTGGGTGATTGTGAGCAGCCATGTCTTGCTTCTCTCGTCACAATTGCCGCTGTTGCGTGTTTTCTTTGTCTTCAGGGCAATCCGGACAGAGCTCTGAGCGACTTGTCGTATGTCAGGAGGATTTCCTGCATGCTTCGGGGCTGCTGATCTCATCTGTGTCGGCTGAAGATGTGGCTCTTTATGAGATGATGAAAGCTAGAAATTAGTCCAGGCGCACACGATGCTGAGCGTCCCCAGACAACAACTTCTGAAGTGTAACGACGTCTTCATGTTCAAGTACATATTCATATTTACACATATCATTGTTTTTAAGTTAACGTAGCATATATAAAATTTAATTTGTAATCACAGGGTAGGCTTCATACTTCGAATACAGTTCTGTCGGGTGCCGCTGAACGAATATGCTAGGATGTTACCAGGTACAGGGTATCCCTATGTACATGATGGCTCTACTACAGTACAGAACTGCTCAATGAAATCCGATCGCATGAATCAAGTCCCCCCCCTGCGCCCAGTGCACATGGCAGTGTTCACAGGTCTAGGGTTGCACACTGGCTCGCTTGATCGGATTTCATTGAGCAGCACTGAGTACAATGTACTGTAGAGATTTCTGCACGAACAAATTAATAATGGACTCTGTTCATGGGCACGCTTGGTGTCGAAACTAACATTCCCCCCCTGCGCCCAGTGCACATGGCAGTGTTCACAGGTCTAGGGTTGCACACTGGCTCGCTTGATCGGATTTCATTGAGCAGCACTGAGTACAATGTACTGTAGAGATTTCTGCACGAACAAATTAATAATGGACTCTGTTCATGGGCACGCTTGGTGTCGAAACTAACATTTCTAATTGATCAGTCCAATCATATTGGCTTTCCTGAATCCGCTGGAGACATCATTGGTGGCAATTATCGTACTCGCGCGATTAGAGCCCTCTCTTGAATAGTGCCCTATCTCGAATAGTGTCCTAGCCAGTGAAAAGTAAAGCATTCTCTTGAATAGTGCCCCCCCCCCCCCCCGGTCTTGTAACCAAGCCCATGTGCAAGTTTGGTGTTCTTTTGCTAATGTTCTTGGCCATTTCTTGGCACGGGTGTTTTCAGGAACAAAATCGCAGGTCTTGTTCCCGTTTCTGTGGAGTCGTGAGCGTTTACAGTACACTTTTGGCTCTGTTTTTCTTTGTTTTATGCTGGATGATGCAAATGTACCAGCAATGAAAAATAATAGTGCCCTCTCTTGAATAGTGCCCTCTCTTGAATACTGCCCCATCTGTGATGGACATTGAAAAAAAAGTGCCCAGGGGCACTAGTCGCGCGAGTACGGTACTGAGGATCTGTTTTATTCACGAAGAAAATTGTGTAACGCTATGAGGTGAGAGCCAAATTAAAAAGATTGTCAAACGATTGTTTCCAGTATCCAAGTGGTGGCAACACTACTAGTACTACTTTTGAAGTCGTGGTAAAACGAAAAAGGAGAAAGCAAACCGCAATATATGCATTACATGCAATATCGGAGACACACCAATTCTCGGGGCGAGCACAGCTAAACTTGTCATGGAGAGTCTTAATGAGCAACTCCAGACGAAAATAAAAAAGGAGCCTACATCATACTGGTGATCACAGTGTACTTGGAATACAGCTCCAAGCTTGTGCATTACGGGTGCACGTGGCAAAGGATATCTGAGTGGACCTGTGGCAGTGCGCCCACGCCAGGCACAAGTACAGTGCAGGGGTGTAGCAGCCGGCTTTGGCCGGACCACTGTTTTGCCCGGCCACAAAAAAGTGCCCAGCATGCAGGATTTTGCACCCTAATTTCAAAAATGTCCTACGGGGACACCCCCGGTCCCACCTCCAACAGCGGTGCCACGCGCCTTTCATGTTTCAGTGGTCCCTCTACAGTCCGGCACCATTTGTGCTACGGAAATTCTGCTGGATAATAGGGAGGGTGCTGGATTAGAAAATCTGATTTAGCTGCAATGTGCATGAAAAGGACGTTTTGGTAACTGAAAATTATGCTGGTTTATAAAGTCTGTCCCTGCGGGAATTTGCGGAAAAAACTCTCGAAAACTTGCGCAAGAAATTGCGGCAGAAAGTAACAAAAAATGCGCCGAAAAGTGCGGAATGATGCAGAACTTGCAAGGAATTCGCGGAATTATTTGCAGAAAATTGCGGATTTGGGCCAAATCACGAAATTTGTTGCATCGTATATCTACTCCGGAGTCGTAATGTGCAAATAACCTACAGGATCACGGAAAGAACTGCGTGAAAAGTGCATAAAAATGTGAGATATAGTGCAGAAAACAACAAAAAACGCGGGAAATAGCGGATTTTGCTGAAATTCGCGGGTTTGGGTCAAAATCGCGAAATTTGTTGCATCCGTGGAATCGCGATTTCCTGGAGGGTCAGTAAAGTGCTGAATTAGAGAGGGCCCGCATGACGTCATGGCGCGTCCCCCGGAAGTACAATTTCAACCGAAGATATCTCAGGAACACTTGGTTGGATCGAAGTGGGACCTTCACCATTCGACGCAGCGTCTGAAACTCTATGAACCATGAAGTTTTGATTTTTGGGGGAAGTTCCCCTTTAAAGAGGGACGACTGTAGCATTACGCTGGACATGCATAGTGTGACACCATCATTGTGTTAACTGCACAAATTCACTGTAGTACGGATGGCCATGCACACGATGCATGTAAGCGGTGCACGCGTGCATGCAGCTCCACTCGATGCAATCGAGCAACGCCGATGTGTGCCTTGGATCCGCAGAGCCCGCGCTGTTACACGTCTCCTCTGATGGCGAGTGATGGGCACGAAAGGAAATCACGCTGCATACATGTATAGCTCTCTCTCTCTCCCCCCCCTCTCTCTCTCTCTCCCTCCCTCTCTCTCTCTCTCTCTCTCTCTCTCTCTCTCTCTCTCTCTCTCTCTCTCTCTCTCTCTCTCTCTCTCTCTCTCTCTCTCTCTCTCCCTCTCTCTCTCTCTCGCTCTCTCTATACTAGTAATCTAAGAAAAAAGTACTGATGTTCGTAAGCAATGCTTCCATTGAGTCAATATTAGCAGAATGTCCTCATACCCGTGCACCGTGGAAAGCACACAGCAACCAGTTAGTCATGGAGAAGTAATTAGTTACAAGTAACAGAAAAGAATAGCAATTACTAAAATATACTAGTACTGCGCAGTCACTCTATATTATCATGCAATGATAATACTAGTACACACATCATCAAGGAACATGTTAAAGGGGAAGTATACCCTAAAATCAAATTTTCACCAGTTGTAGTCTTCGGGGTGCTGAGTCGAATGGTCTTGGTCCGAGGAAGCTGAGACGCTCCCTTCCTACTTGAATCCCAATCGAACTCGCGCACTTCCACCGAAACTGGGTGACTGCGCCCTACTAGATGGGGATTTGTATGCAAAATGTCACTAAAAGCGCCATTTCGTTCTTATAAAAGCACGGATGACCGCGATTGGCCCATATGTTGTAGTCTTTTGGACGCTGAGTCGACTGGTTTTGGTCCGAAAAGGCTGCGATGCAGCGTTCCTCCTTTATTCCCAATCGAACATGGTTGAACAAGTGGTCACGTGCTCCTGCGTACACCAGTCAGCTGGTCACCGTGCCTGCAGGGTACAACTTACTAGCCTGTTTGACCTTTTTTGGGTGCAGTCCTGTCACTCGAGTTGAACTCGAGTTGAACCTTGGTGTGAAAGTTGTCGCCTGCTGGCGCGGTGACCAGGTGATTTGGGCACCCAGGAGCACGTGACCGCTTGTTCAACCATGTTCGATTGGGAATAAAGGAGGAACGCTGCATCGCAGCCTTTTCGGACCAAAACCAGTCGACTCAGCGTCCAAAAGACTACAACATATGGGTCAATCGCGGTCATCCGTGCTTTTATAAGAACGAAATGGCGCTTTTAGTGACATTTTGCATACAAATCCCCATCTCGTGGGGCGCAGTCACCCAGTTTCGGTGGAAGTGCGCGAGTTCGATTGGGATTCAAGTAGGAAGGGAGCGTCGCAGCTTCCTCGGACCAAGACCATTCGACTCAGCACCCAGAAGACTACAACTGGTGAAAATTTGATTTTAGGGTATACTTCCCCTTTAACAGTTTGTTGAATCTAAGAACATTTTCTTGTGACAACCAGTTAGAATATGTCACTGCGTGGTGAATAAAGAATATCAAGGTGTTCTGTAAAAGTCTACCTACTGCGGCATAGCAGGCATAGCAGCAACAGGCTGAGCAATTCTCGCGCCAGCTTTCACAACACACGCTGTTCCCCAGCATGTGACGATGGCGATACCCTGGACCCTTTCCATGTCGAACGCCACTCCTAGGACGATGTTGGCACCGCGACTCGCCGCCTGCTGTCCCATGTTGTTCATAGCTGCCACGCGAGTTTGCTCAATGGCCTGGGCTTCCTTCTGCATGGCCTTGGTTACACTGAATGTCACACTATAGTTGGTACCCATGGCGGTGCCGAACACTACCCCAAGATCTCGCTCCACCACATATCCATCAGCAGGAGTTTGCAACGTCGAGTAGGCAATGCCAGGAGCAGCCATTGCGAAACGTATCCAAAAGTCGCGCGACCAAAGGAATATCACAGATGTATAGCTGCGCTGCGACCAAAGGAATAATTATCACAGATGTATAGCTGCGCTGCGACCAAAGGAATATCACAGATGTATAGCTGCGCTGCGACCAAAGGAATATCACAGATATAGCTGCGCTATCGTCTGTTCTACAGACTCAACTAACGTGTTACTTCTGCTGACTTCCGTTTGTTTGCTTTTCTAAAAAGTAAACGTTTACCAGGATCGAACCAAGTAATTATTATTATTATTTTTTGTTAGTTCCGTGAGCTCAAGAGAAGTCAATGGAAGTACTGAGCAAGGCGTTTAGGTACTAGGTGAGTGGTTGGTGAGATTTCTCCTTTTATTTCAACGCGAATCCCGCGAATTATTATTTCACATATTTTGCAATGCCATGCCTTGATCGATCCTGGCCTAGCGCGCGCCTGGCGGAGGTCGAGTGGCGCCTGGCCATGAATGGCCTAGCTGGGCCTGGTTGACGTAGACCTAGTAGTACTAGGCTAGTACCTACGTGATCGTGATGGTAGCGTTCCTACCAAAAACTAAGTACTTGATCGGTATGCACGTGATCACGGTAATCCTGCTATTCATTCATGAATCATGACTACGTCGACTGTAGACTACTGTCATGGCCGGGGACTCGCGGGGAGTGGGCCAGACATACTATGTATCAGGATTCTACAATTCCAGGTTCTTTACGGAAATATACCAGGAGTCCAGATACCCATTCTTCCCCCTCACCACACAAGAGGACCAAAGCTTCACTCTAGGACCAAGCTCAAACAACAGAAAAGCAACAAGAACAACAACAGCCAGTGATCGAAGCAAAGCATCGAGCTATAAACAACAACAATTAATAGTAGCGTGCAAGGAGCGAAGCGAGCGAGCAGCCAGACAGCAAAGCATGAATGGTGATAGGTTTCACAACACTATTGATCGACGAGACACATCGCCGCCACGGCAAACACTTCATAAAGGCACATGTAACTTAGGACTAGGAGCAGACGGAATACAATACAGATAATAGACACCCTTTAATAGCAAAAAAACGCTATGTTGTAACGGTATTATCGTAAGGGGGAAAATACCGTGATTTGGGTTCGACCTTTAGCAAGATGCACACTATTTTTAGTTGTTGTTTGTTGTTGTTTATTTATTTTTACATCGCAAGGCAAACGGGCAGTTCTACCCAATATTATGGAAGCGATGACAACCAGTAAGAAGAGTCAGAAATGAAGAGAAAAATAAATGAAAATAAAAATACGAAAATGGAAGTAGCAATGAGTGGAGGCAGGGTCAAGACGAGCAGAAAAAATGGATCTCAAATCTCAAATTTACAAGTCGGGTCATCGTAGCATGATTCTATCGAGCCTCATCAGCAGGTTACGAAAGCCATTACATTTAACCGAAGTAAAATACGCGTACTATGGACTTCATACAGTCGGGCAGGCCATTCCAGAGTCGGCAGCTGGCTAGAAGCGGTCGGCATTCGCCAGAAGCACTGTGGGTCAGGGGGAGGGGAAGGTTGCGTCCCAATTGACCTCGAGTGGTCATGCCTGTCGGCGGGCCTTGCAATACAATTCGGGACGACAACAGCTCACTGACGATTCCAGAACGGATTCTAAATGTCAGGAGTC